TATATAGTAGAGAACAAATGACTATGTTTTGGGGCAAAAGTAAGTGCAATTGTTTTTGGTTTTTTTAAGGAAAAATTTAAAAAAAGCAGAAACTTTGAAGCATTGCTGGCAGTGGTATTGTTGGGTTACTTTTGCTAAATAGGATCTGAATGTCATTAACACCCACCTAGATGTAATTACCTGTTTTCTGTCATGAATGCCGTATTGAAAGATGTCCCAGTACAGGTGGTTATGGTGCAATATAGAATACTGTTGTTTAATATGCACTAGGTAAAGGAGATAAAGACATTCATTCTGAATTATTTAGACCAGCTAGTATCATATTGTACTATCCTTGGTCATACTTTGAGACTTCAGACTACTGTACTGAGGTGACTACTGTGAGGTGACTTCAGTGTGTTTCACATACAGTATGTTGGTCACTGGACAGTGCTGCAGAAGTTAAGGCAACTTGCAGTAGCACTAATTTCAGCTGCACAGCTTCTGCTCTCATTGGATGTGATAATAGTGCCCATCATTCTGCTATGCTTCATTCTGAAGAGTTTATCAATAATTTCCTTCTTATGTGGAAGAATGTCTATTCTTTCCACATGATCCCCTTCTTTATCTCTTTTTGTTCCTCTCAGGGTCCTTTCAGAAGGAAACACAGCACAATTTTGTCAGTTCTCAGACAAATACAAATAAGCATTTTACTCTTACACCCATCCCTCTCTTTCGTTATCTCTCTTCCTTCATCTCCAGGTTCTCCTTTCATCCTTGGTGCAAGAGCCTGGACTTGGGCCCACTAAGTTGAGGGGAGGGAGTGTAATCTTAATGAGTCAGTGTATGGGTCTGTTGCCGATAGTCTCTCAAGTACTGCTTTGCTGGCTAGATAAAGGGTTAGACAGTAGAAGAAAAACCTATGTTACTGTTGATGTGTTGCTGCTGATTGTTTAGTAGTTGTTGAAAATGTGTTATTTTTATTCTGAGTGTTCAATTAGAGTGGTAATACAGTAAGTACAGGATTACCTCACACAGTGGCTCAGATATTGTGGCAACATTCCTGAAAAAATACCACAGATTTCTGTAAGAGTAGATTGGATCTTAAGGGGTGAATTTATTTTTGTTTGCCTTCATCAGCCATACTACTTAAATCAAAATGCTAAACTGAGAGCTTCCCACAGCCAGGTGCACAACCCTGCTTGGGATGCATTTAATGAGGGAAGAATGCCTTCCATGAGATTGTGTTGTTTTGTCCGGCTATTATTTATTCCAGGGCCTCAGAAAAATTGCTACAGTCCAGAACCTATTTTCAAAAACAGAAGCTAACATTTACTTTCAAATTGCAAAGATCTGAGAAATGCTGACCAAAAGTTTCAGAAAGGTAGAGCACTTGCAGCTTAAAGTAATTTCCCACTATGAGATCAAGTCCAGCTGTTTCAAGTTAGATACCCAAGAACCAAAGTTTCCACCATTCATTATGAAAAGCTGGGATTTAACTACTGGACAGCTTTGAAAAATTTTGGCAAGCATATTTGCAGATTTAAGGGCCTGAATGCTTTTCTGAGTATTTGAACCTAAGATTTATTTGCATATACATCATATAGGCACTTTCTCCTTTGTGTAATCCATTCTCAGGCTGCTTTTTCCAGTACCTGTTATTTGTGTGGTTGGTTAAAATGCTTCCATTGAATATTTTTAGCAGTGGAATTGATGAAAAATGGTCTAACCTTTCTTCCCTCCCCCCTTTCCTCAGTCTCTACAAGTAGAATTTCTCTGTGTATTCCACCTAATAAACTTACGGGATTTTTTCCCCATTTCAGATTTTTAATATGAAATAATTGATTTATACTGAGAGTGTATTTGCTTGACTACATTTTTTCTGTCATTTTCTGTTTTTTTCACTCAGCTTCTGCTCAGCCCTAGGTGCTTAGATATAGCCTTAGCTCTATCTGCACATCTAGCAGATCACTGACCCCTCTTAACATTGCTGAGCAATTAGTGAGGTCCTTTATGCAGCTTTAATGGAGAATTCCAATCCTGTCCTTAGTTTGCCAGACATGAGCAGGTTAGAAAGAGGTCTGCTTTTTCAATGAAGGCTTATTTCCCATATCTAATACACACTAGATGACTCATTTGCACATGAAACTGCTTTGGATACCAGAAGCACTCTTTTTGGCCTTGCTTTCTTCCTGACTTCTGCAAGACCGGACCATCTGCATCTCTAATGCTGCTTTTTTGGCTTGACCTCTGTGGAAGTCCCCAGAGATGAATTTGGTCCAGTGAATGAAAATATAAACAGAAACCTGTAGAAACTGCATCTACAATTCTGGAGCTATAAATTTTAGACATAAGGACAGCTGGGTGTAAACAATGGTAACTTTATGTACAGGAGTTGTTGATTTCAAGTTTGAATTTGATATAATGGTTAGAACTGCAATAAGTGCTGGTGAAGTAAAACATTGCTGACTAGAGTTCTGTTTTGATATGAGTGAGAGCGTCTCCTTGAGCAGGAAAGTGCGGTATTGCTATGCCATGTAGGGCTACTATTGCCAGAACAAATTAGACAAAGCTGAGACTGAAAAGTTCTGTCTGACAGAAGCAATAATGTGATGGGATCTTTACAAACTGGAAAACAGTTTCTTTTTCTAATGTTCTCTCCATAAACAGAAGACGTAAAAATACAGCTTTATAATAAGGTTATAAAACATCAGCTTCTCAATAAACCATGAAGCATATGTGCAGTTTAGTGTAAGAAGGCACAAAATAAAAAGGTAGACTTACTATGAAATGCCCATTAGGCATTTAAGGCCAGTGTATTAGAAATCACTGGTTGATTTTTGATCAATGCTGTTATACACATAAATCATTACCACTAAATGTTGTGTTCTGGATTTGCTATCTGTACATACTTCTTATTAATATTAATTTAACTGATTTTATGTTGTTGTAAAGGATTGTGGCAAATGTGATTGCTTATTAAAAGGCTGAGACCGGTATCTGTAACTTCTCCACTGAGAGAAGTGTGGGACTCCAGTGCCATCCCCTAGAATCATAGAATCACAGAATCAATCGTGCTGGAAAAGACCTCTGAGATCATCAAGTCCAACCCTTGATCCAACACTGCCGTGGTTACTAGACCATGGCACCAAGTGCCACCTCGGGGCCGAGACACGGCTGGTGCCAGGAGCTGCGCAGGGGTTGTCTGGGTTAAACGCGCCATCTAGTGACTAGCAGGTGATAGTTAATTTAAAACGAAGAAAAAGGACATAAAGCCAATGGAGATTTTAATGAATTTTTACACCAGCGGGGAAAATAGATGGAGGTTGACAAATCCTTATATTGCCTTATTTTTCTCCCCCTAATTAACAGCCATTACTAGATCATTATTTGTTTCAAAAAATGCCACTGTTTTTTTTTCTGTTCTCCACTGTCTGCTCTCAGGCTGTTTGCTGGGGTCCAAGTTGAAATCATCTGCTACGGCAGAGTATTTGGGCAGAAAATTAGTGCTGTATTCACAATGCTTCAGAAGTCATGTTACAACATCTGTTACTGCCTGCATTTGAAATGCTGATTTTCAAACATTTGCTTCAAATGACTAGAATTGTCTGAATTTCTTAAAATCATAGAATCATTTGGATTGCAAGGGACCTTTAAATGTCATCTAGTCCAACCCCCAGGCAGTGAGCAAGGACATATTTATCTAGATCAGGTTGTTAAGAGCCCTGTCCAACCCAACTTCGAATGTTTCCAGGGATGGCGAGTTTACAACCTCTTTGAGCAACCTGTTCCAGAGTTTTACCACCCTCAGTGTAAAAAACCTCATCTTTATATCTAAATCTACCTGGTTTAGCTTAAAACTGTTACCCATTGTTGTATCTCAACAGGCTCCACTAAAAAGTTTGTCCCCATCTTTCCTATAAGCCCCCTTTAAGTATTGAATGGCTGCAATACGGTCTCCCATCCCTTGCTGCCCTGTTGGCCACCTGTCCTTTATGTAACTGCTAAACTTCACTCTTGATTGTGCACACGTGGTGTGCAAATTGGATTTTGTGCAGAAAGCGGCCCCAGAGCTTTCTAGTACCTTAGTAGTTACTGTAGGCACCCAGGATGTTCAAGACCCAGGGTTAAGCCCCTTGACTGGTTGGCTGTTTTGAACTTGGAATCCTGTTGGTGCTGAGGTTTCCACTAAATAAGATTTTAGCCAAACAGCCAAACTCACACACCCATCCCCAGTTCTTAGAAAACCCCGAAAGAAGGTGAATCCTGCCCCACGTGTCATTTTTCAAGTGCCACTGAAGTTTCACTTTAATTGAACAGTCTCAGACTGTTTTCGGTTCCACACAGCACTTCACTCTCATTGCTGATACCAACTGGACAAAGACATCCTTAGTTGTGTACACTGAAACAAATCCTTTGAGTTTGGCTTTGGGAAAGAGGGCTTCAGATGGGAGTACCTAAGGAGCATTGCCTGGCTCTTGGTACAGGTTTGTGCCATTTAACACAGGAGAGGTTGCAGCTCACTGTCACAGCCTGGGAATGTGGTTTGAAGAACGTGGTGCTGCATGTGGATTGCATGGGAGTTTAACAGTTCTCATACATGCTCTTACCTATGCTAATATGGGCGTACCAAACCTGTACTGGAGGCAGCTGAGATGGACTAGCTTTATTTTTAAAAAATGAAATAAAGTAAGTTTTGTAATTAATCAGGGAGGGAGTTATTTGAGTCAACCAACACCTGCCAGCTTTATAGATGGAGTTGAAAAATGCACACTGAGGATCTATATTTTCTGTATGCAATGTTTGCAAAATGAAGTTAAATATTGAAAGCAATATTCTCGTGTTGTTTCTCTCTGGAGAAACCTGTGATGTTCAGTCCAAGCCAGTATTACTGTGAGAACCAACTTACACATGTGGATCCCATCTAATCAAGTACTAGTCATCTTGATTTAAAAAGGTCTTCTTTGAAATTTGTTGGCTTAAAGAAAGTGTTATTATATTTCTGTCCCTCTCTCTTCTAGGATATTAAACACAACATCGTTTGAACTGTATGACGCTCTGGGCAATTTTCCTGCCTTGTGGGTCTTGAATGTGCTTCTTATGGTTCTTCAAATTCTCCACTGTCTTTGGTCTTACCTAATCATAAAGACAGCCTACAAAGCTATTTCAAAGGGCAAGGTAAGACAGCATGGTTCTGTTTCATGATTTTAACTTTTTCAATATCCATACAGGTCACTTTTTGGTTACTGTTTTTTTTCTAATCCATAACACACTACTGAACACACATCTTATTTTATGTAAACTCTTCTTTCCTTTCATGGAAACTTTTTTCCACTCCTAACAATTGTCAGATAAGTTAATGATACTCTTCATAGTGATTGCATTTATATATGCTTCCACACTTCTTTTTTTGTAATCTGGTACACTGAACCAAACTACATTAGGGAAATTGGATTAAAAAAAAACAACTCTCTCTTACTCTGCTTGTTTATCCTTTCCCTTGTGCTGTGCTGGAAGGCTGGGAAGTGGAACCCCTTGCAGGTAAGTTTCTTTCAAGTTACTTTGCAAAAGATTTATTTTGACAAGGCTGATGTTTGTGTTTTGGTTTGGTTTTTTAATTTGTAGTTTCTGATTGGTATTTTTTTCCGTTGTTGATATTTATATATTTGAATTAAGGCTATCTTTAAAGGCCATATTTACTTCTTGGCTATGCATTGCCTAAAACCATTCAAACCCACATTTATCTGTAGTATCTGGGTGCTGTTACACTGCAACCTTTTATACACAAAATACACACACATGTCTATATATCAGCAGGATAAGCAGCTGTCACCATTCAGGATGCATATTTGAGAGTGTAAGTCCTCCACCTTGTAGTTCTAACAATTGCACAGGAGAAAATTTAGATTGTACAAGAGCAAAGTTAGACATTTGCAGTAACACAGTGACCAGGTTAAAGATGCATATGTATGACATATACACAGAGGATTCTTCTTCCTTCAGATCTTAATTCCTCGCTGGCAACCCCATTCTTTCCATTTCTGCAGTAAAATAAGAAATATTTTCATGACACCTTACAGATATCTTACAGTAAATTTTCTTCCTTAAGTATTATTTTGGTTTTGTAGTACTAGTATCCACCTTTGGAACAGCTCAGCTGATAAAGGAATTTATTATCATTAAATTCATAATGTAATCCTGATCGTATATTTTTTACTCACTGTTGCTGTACTTAGAAGTTTTCTAAACCTATATATACATATACATATACATATATATATATATATATATTCTAGACTACTTCTGCAGAAATTACTCCAGTGTGTTCTTTTGGGGATAAACAAAGAGAACTAAATACTACAAGATATGTTGCAATCATATCAGGTTTTGAGTGCAAAAATAGAGCAGATCACATGTTTAAATGAAGTGGCTGCAGCATAGAATCTTCATTTGATTGTTTGGCTTTGGGGCAGGACTTTAGCAGAAGAATCAGCAGTGAATCTAATATATTAAGAGAATTTAAGTTGATGTAGAATTTTTCAATCATCTAGTCTGCCCTTGAATTGATCACAGGTGCTCAGTACCCTGTGCTGAGACTATTCCCTTCTGTCTGATAACAGTATAATTTTGTGTATTTCTGTACCCCTAACAGATTTAATATAGAACTCCCTTCGTATGAAGGACACTGAAGTAATCTGTTAATTGAAGCTGTGTAAGCATGGAACCAAATTTCTGGCCTCTGCTGAAGTTCGTGGGTGTCATAATTGTGGGCTTGCTAGACATTGACATTAAAAACTGTACTTATTAAGAGGTATATGGGACCTGTGTTTCCTTTTTTCACTGGTCTCAAGCAGAATAGTGTCACTCAGGTGTTATGATATTGTAAGGACAACACTGGGAGCCCCAATGGCAAATGGCTGTTTCTGAGATGAGAGCTGGAGAGCTGAATTGTCATGAGGACTTTCTGGAGTAGGGGAGGACTACTGTAAGCAAAAAATTATATGCAGTGGCTCTGCTCTTTAATGGTTTTGAGGAAAAAGACTTGACATATGTTTTGCCCCCTTTATGTCCATTCACTATAGTAAAGCCAATTGTAATTGCCTGCTGTGGCAAACAGCATAGCATGGAGAGATTTTAAACAAATGTGATGCTCAGCTATACAGATAGGAGTAGAAGCAGGCATGAAAACTGCATTCTTAAAGCTGCATGCAGGTTAAACTTCAGACATTTTTCTGTTGATGCTTTTTTTGTACTTCATCTGGTGCACTCTTATCAGTTTTGGAGATTTTCAAGGAAGTCAGCTGGATATTAGTGGACAATCTCTATCAGCTCAGGTCGTCTGTTTCAGAAATAGCTTTCCAGTGACACGATGGGGCACACAGTTGAATAGCTCTAGTAAGTTTGTCACTCCTGTGTTAGGAACTGAACTGGACTATGTCCACAGTTTGCAAGCCCCATTCTCACCATTTGTCTGAAGTCAGAGACTGGAGTTACCTAGTGTGGTGAGTTATGTTTCAGCCAGTACTCCTGTCTCCTACTGCTAGTGTGTAGAACCGTTCCCTGGAGCCATGTGGTCTCTAGGGAATGAGCTGGGAGGTGAGGGGAAGGAAGTTGGGTTGTATATTTTGTATTACTAGGTTGAAGAGAAGCACCCCAAATGAAGGACAGGAAATACAGTTGTAGTTAGGAGAGCAGAGGGACTGAGGCTAGGTTGAATTTGGGAGCTTGAATATTGGTTACTTCAGTCTATGCACAACCCGTTTCCTTGAGCACTTGGACATACTACCTTCAGTGCACGAGTGCTAAGTTCTCACCCTCCCTTTGTACATGGCATATGTGCATGGCAGATGTGTACAGACATCTGTGTTTGAAGTGAGTCCAGACAGGCAAAGGAAGAGAAGTGTGCCATAGCTGAGATTACCTTCAAAGATCAAATTGAAAAATGTGTGAATTTCTGATTCTCTTGAACCAAAAAGCTGAGTTGTTTCCTTACAGTCACCTACTGCTTGCTTCTTTTTTAACTTCTACAGGTAGCAAAGGATTCCCGAAGTGATGTTGAGTCAAGCTCAGATGAGGAAGAAACAGTACCTCGCTCAAAGGCCCCGCACAGCACTATGGCCAGTAATGGGACCAGCGGTGCCAATGGGACAAATGGGTATCTTACTGGTGGCACTTGCTCAGAGGAGCATTAATCCTTGAGTTCAATCATGAGACATGAACAGAATGAACTGTTTGCTACTGGAAGTAAATTATAAGTTGTGAATGCGGTTTCTTCATATATCTCAGCATCAGAAAAAAATATGAGTATCAAAGCATTCTGATAGCGCACTGCCATTATTTCCTGTTTGTGAATGAAGACAGCACACCATTCTGTATACGTAGGCATGCTGTATGTGTATGTAACTGACACAATGGGAGCAGTATTTTCACTTGTACTGTCTTGGAAATATTATTTATTTTGTATTCTTTTGGGAAGTTCTGGACAAAAGGGAATATCCATTCTTAAACTTTGTATCTTGGATTCTCAGTGGTGGAGAGCATCATGCTCAGATCTCTTCTGTCCATCCCTGATGCTTTTGCTGAATCTGCTATAAGTAATAGTTGCTTAATTTGTTACTTACAGTAAGATAGAGCATAGCTTTATAGATTTTAGATCAGCTTCACATATTTTTGCTATCTTTGTGTTTTAAAGTACTGGTTTTGAAATTGCCTATCAAATCACAGTGACTGTTCCTCCAACATAAAATTTTAAAACACTGGATCAATATTTTAAATAGTAGGTAATGTGGTTAATTAGCAATTTGGGGAAAAAATGTGGTAATTGTGGGATATTATTTTAGCATAATTTAAAATTCAATTTGGTGGTTAATTGCATTAGCAGTAGACTTGATTTGTTGTGCAAATACCCAAACGCATTGATGTCAACATTTAGGATAAACTCATTCTCACTTTTTTTTGACCTTTCAATTTTTTACCTGTATAGATTTCAGCTTTTTGCAGAGATTCCGTGTAAAAAGGTATTTGTTCAAATGCACCATTATGAATCCAGACCTCACACCTGAAATTGTCCTTGCACATTCTCATAAATGAGAGCAGGGGTGTAGTGGGAAAAAGAGCACATGAAAAGTTCATTGCTTCCTCGGACACAGTTCACTCTAGATATTTTTCTTAAAATTATTGCCACTCCCTTAGTAAGGTAAAGAAGAGAAGGCAGAATGCCATACATTACTAGAATTAGTTTATCTTAAATGTGTGAAAACTTGACCAAAATTCACTTAACGTAATTCACAGCAACTTTTGATTGCTCAGCAGTATTTCATCACCTCTAATTAATAAAATTAAGGGTGTCTGTAAAATAATTTTGTACTCCTTTTTTATTCAGGATTTACAAACAATGTCCCAAAGAAGACAAAGTAACACCCAAAGTAAACATCTTCTTAAACATTATATACATACTTCTTCCAGTCTCTAGATCAAAGTTTGATGTAGGATGCTAAGGATCATACAACTCTTGCAGGACACTTTTCTGTGATTTGTGACAGCAGTGCCAAAAGTAGGCAAGGTTCTTGGGTAGCAGACTCTATGCAACCTACTGTTCAACAGTGCTGTGTGTGCACACAGAACCAATGTGCTTGTAGACCAAAGACTTACATATATATATATTTTAAAAAAAAAAGTTTAAAAAAAAAGAAGGAAGAAACAAACCAGGAAAAAAAAATCCTAAGTGTGTCTTCTGTATTCAAAGGGTTTGGAGTGCTGTGTTCAGCTGGAACTCTGAGCCAGGAAGTCTTTCTGATTCCTTCCACCTATGCAAATAGCAAAATATACATGGCTTCTGATGCCATAAAACATGTTTAAAGACTCTATTTTATACAGACTCCAGTGGAGAAAGTTGTGTTGTCACTTCTTTCTTTTGAAAACAGATTTGTCCTATTCCACTGGTCACTCTTGAAAACTTCTGAAACCTTTATTATCCGTAAAGATTCTTGTGTGTTACCAAAAAAAATGTGCTAAAAAAAGTTGAAAATAAAGGTAAGAAAACTGGAAAATTATAAATCCTGGAAGAAGATCTATCAGTTTTACTACCTACAGAGCATCTTTTGAAAAAGTCAGGTAACCTTGTCAGGTAAGCTGCAGCTTATATGTCCATGAGTATATCTGAGGGAGCAAGGGAGACTTATTTAAATCTCTGTCTCCCCCAAAAGTTTCTCTGCCTCTAATTTTTCTCTTCTGTCTCCTGTGCATTTGATTTCATAACCAACAGGGCAGGTTATACATGTGAAAATATACCAACTGCAATAGAAAGAAGCCCACCCATGGTGTTTGAAGTCACAGCTGTGTAGTAATTACTGTCAAGATAATACCAAGATTTTAAAATAAAATCATCCTGGGATATATTAAATGAACATTATAATTTGTGAAATCTGACCTGCTAATATGGTAATTGAGAATATCAGTTTAAACACACCCCTTCCATGGTGTTGATTACTACCTCCACTGCATAGATGGTTACAAAAATGGCATTCTGGCACAATACTTTGTCTTACATGAGAATATTGCTCTGAATCATCAACATGCACAACATAGACAACATACTGCTGTGTTGGTGATACCAGAGCAGAGAGCAGTTCCCAACAACAATCCTTGTGCAAGAGGCCTTCAGTCTCTGTTGGTCCTCCCCAGCAATGCTCTGTAGTGTTGATTCAGATTTACAGTCAAGGCTACAACCCTTGAGATGATTTACCATCACTGTCTACATATGCTTTTAGTGTACCATAGAATCATAGAATGTTAAGGGTTGGAAGGGATCTTAAAGATTATCTAGTCCCAACACACTCTGCCATGGGCAGGGACACCTTACATTCGACCAGGTTGCTCATGTCCTTGTCCAGCCTGGCTTTATCCAACTGCCAGGGTTGGGGCATCCACAGCCTCCCTGGGCAACTTGTTCCAGTGTCTAACCACTCTCACAATAAAGAATTTCTTCCTAATATCTAGCCTGAATTTTTCCTCTTTCAATTTTTATCCACTACTCCTTGTCCTGTCACTACAGTTCCTGACAAAGAGTCCCTCTCCAGCTTCCCTGCAGGTCCCCTTCAGATACTGGAAGGTTGCTATGTCTCCACACAACCTTCTCTTCTCCAGGCTGAACAGCCCGAACTTTCCCAGCCTGTCTTCATAGGGGAGGTGCTCCAACTCTCTTATCAACTTTGTGGCCCTCCTCTGGACTTTCTCCAACAGTTCCTTGTCCTTATGTTGGGGACACCAGACCTGTACACAGCACCCCAGGTAGGGCCTCACAAGAGCAGAGTAGAGGGGTAGAATTGTCTCCTTCGACCTGCTGGCTGTGGTCCTTTTGATGCAGCTCAGGACATTGTTGGCTTTCTGGGCTGCCAGCACACATTGCCAGCTCATGTTGAGTTTTCGTCAACCACCACCCCCAAGTCTTTCTCCACAGGGCTGCTCTCCATCATTTCTCCATCCAACCTGTAGGATTGCCACAACTCAGATGTAGGACCTTGCACTTGGATTTATTGAACTTTAAGAAGTTTTCATCAGCCCATCTCAATCATGTCAAGGTCCCTTTGGATCCTCACTGGTAAAGAGTGCATCTGGGATTAAAACTCTTCCTTTGAGGTTTAAATTCATTTGCATCTATGATATACTAAAGCATGTACACATGCTTTATCTTGGTTCAGGTAACTCCAAATGACTTACCTATCCCCCATAAACCTGGCGTTTTGGAGTTTAATACAGATATGTGTAATACAGATAAGTTTAATAGATAAGTTTAATATATAGTTTTAATACAGAGATGTCTGGAAAATAGGTGAGGTAAGAGATTCAAATGACACATTTGAGGAAATGGGATAAGAGTAAGGAATCGCTGAGAACTTCACTAACCTTTGCTAAACAATCACTGATCTTTCAAGCTAGAGGATTTTTAATAAAAGTTAGGAATTCACACATTTTTTCCTCTCTCTAGTGGGAAGGACCAAGTGTTTTAGTGATCAGATATAGCAGTGCGCTTTGATTCATTGCTTTAACTAATTGTTGTCAAAACTTTGGCTTCATCTTGCACTCTGCAGAGAAAATGCTGTGCAATTATTTCCTTTTTCATTTGTATTTGTTTGCTTCTCTGATGAAGAGCTTTGCAAGATGCATTTGGAGGCCATCAAGTATGTAGAGGTTAATTGCACATATTCCAGAAAATTGACTGAAATTATTCGCATGGTTCATAGTAAATGTGAGACCTTAAAAGGTTCTGTATGTTCATACCTTTTGTAGAATCGTCATTTTAGTAATTTTAGAAATGAGGGTTTGTACTCCATAACCTCTTTGTCTTCAAGTTCTATGCTCCCTTTTTATAGTACAGTACACGACACAGTGGTTGAGATGTTGAAGTAGTAAAATGAGGAAATTATATGTAGAGTTGATTAGTAAATAGTAAGAATTTGTCTTCTCTCCCTAGACAGCCCAGAATATAGTAAAATAAGATTCAGGTCACACTTTTTTTTTACTGTTTCCCATATTGGCATATTTTGTACCAAAAGAAAAAATATATGGTGGGTTGCTGTTTTTTTTTCTTATTAAAACCAGCATTGCAGAAAATGGTAGAAATATCTGATCAAACAACAAGGGTGGACACTGGAGTCTTTTGGGTCTTGGATCAGTGTTAAATAGTGCTAGTTTTAAAATACCAAAGCGTCTCATGCTGTTTCCTTGTTGCCCTTTTGTAGTTTTTTTCTATGTGTTATTTATTTAATGATTCCAGCAGAACTGGTACAGGTGACACAGCTTCATATGCTCCTGTCTCAGCCTGTGACTATTCTGTGACCACATGATTGCCAATATCAAATGCTTTTTCTGAGACCCAAATACATGCACTAAAATTTTGCTTACAGTGAAGTGATTCTTCTCTTAAATCTGTATGTGTTTCAGGTGAAAATCACTTTCTGGTTCTGAACAGGACATGACGGCGACAGCCATTCCCCTGCAGCACGTGTCAGTGGTGATCGATGCTGGTTGATTTAGTCACTGTGTGTGTTTTATGCAGAGTGCTCTAGTAGGAAGCCTAATGCCTGTTTCGTTCATCTTCCCATTATCGCAGCCTTCTGTATCTCAGAGAAATTGGTTTTCTACAGTTGATGCTTTGGTATTTTTTTAATCTCTTTGCTACAACTCATTTTTATATGTCTCCTATTGTCTACTTCCTGTGACATTTGGGGGAGAGGAGCTACTGAATAATTTTTACCCTTCCTGTAATGTAGACCCTGTTAGGCCTAACTTCAGTGTTCTGCAAACTACAGTTGCCTTTAAACCATGAAGCAAAACCAGTGTGTATTACTCGTTTTGACTGGTTTTGATTTGGAACAGGGACCTAATGGGAACTTCAGTAAGACAATGTTACTCTTTTTTTCTTTTCTTTTTGAAAAACACTAGTGGAATTTTGAGAAGGTGGTGTACATGTATAGCCTTTAAATTGTAAAGATTTCTGATTGTAGTTGCAATGAAAACACAGTGTTTGAGTGTCTCTGTACAGAATTCTCAGTCTTTAAAATTGCTTTCAATTAAAAAAACGGGAGGAAATACTATGAAATGATGTTTTGGAGCTATGTCGGTGATCACATATGTCAGACGAATGACAAAAATGATTGTCTTACATGACTTAAAATGATCTGTGCAACAGTACGCATTTTCTGGCTTCTCTTGAGCTTCAGCTTCTTGCAATTCTGGGGTTTAATTTTACCATACCATACTGTGCATGTTGACTGTTGCAAGTCAGGGTGAGGCAGATGACATGCTTTCACCTGTGTTTTCATGACAATCCTGTGCTTGAGCAACTCTTTCAGAAATGCAGGGATGTGTAGGAATTCCACTGTCCTGAATACAGTGATACACTAGCTAAAAGTCCTTTCATATATAGCTGTTGTGTGGAACTTTGGGAGTTATTTTGTGTTTAATTTGACTGGGTTTGGGTTTTGGGTTTTTTTTAATATGGAAAATAATTATTCCTCATAAAATCTCTGGAACCAACCAGTATTGTGGGCTATTTTATTTGGAGACACTTTCATAATAAACATAAGTATTAGGAATGTAGTGTTGGTTTTCTTCTCTTTTCTCTGAGATGCAAACAATATTTTCCTTTGTTTTAGCTCAAAGATTGTTCCCCACACTGCAGACTCCAGCACTTTTTGGGCAGATCCAAGTGTGTCTTGCTGAGTTCATCACTGCATTATTTTATATTACTTCTGGTATGAAACTGTTTGTAACAGGAAGTGTTAGAAGGACAAGTTCTCTCTATACAAATTAAAATATTTTATTTTTTAAAAAAGACATTTTCCTAGCATTTCAATATTAAAATTTTGCATGTTAATAATTCCTGAATGTCCAGCTTAACCTGCTGTGGAAAAGCTGTCTTTTTTCAGTCTAAGTGGACAGAGTTTCTTAGAAATAGATATTCATTCAGATGTTTTGGGCTAAACTGTCAGTCAGCAAAGCACCACTTAATAACCTCTTCTGGAAGTGATAGAAGAGGGCCACTCTGGTATAGTGGTTCTCCAAAGGAGAAAGCTGCAGCTCTTGATTTTGCCAAGGAACCTGAATCTTTCAGACCTCTACCCTTACAGTAGACCAAATCTGTTTGCTTTTCCCTCTCTCCTTTAGAAACATGATTTTATCAGGTGGCTTGCCTGCCTTTGCACCAAGTATAGGAAAATACAGGCCAGTTAGTCATGCTGGTACAACTAATATTAAAAAAACAGAACTACCAATTTGCTGCATTGTCTTTCCATTAATGGGGGTGTGTCAGACATGGAGTTAGACAAGTAAAATTTATTTCTTGTTAGCTTCATTTGGAAAGTTAACTATTAGTTGTTTGCCTGTTTTTAACCTATGAGGTAAGCATTTACATTAATGTATTGTGCTTTAACTTAGACAGCTAGTACACCACCCATGCGGTCACCCCTCTATCTCTTCAACCTACTCCTCACTTAGCCAAGAAGTTAATGTGTGCAGCCTGCTGTTAAATGCCTGGATTCCTTGATCAGAATTACCATCAGTATAAAGTAAGTGTAGCATGCTTCTAAATCAAACAATAATGATGCACAGCTGCTGTTTGTTCATCACACCTGTTTCTCTGCCCAGCCAGTTATTCCAGCTGTAGCTGTGATGCGGGAGATACTGGATAGTGAAGAACTGAGCTCGTGATCAGTAGCCAGTGCAAAATAATCCACTGAGACAAGTCAAAGAGCATCCTTCCACGTAGAGTTATCCAGCAGTCACAAAACAGGTGAGTCAGTAGCAATTTGCATTGTTCAACATGCTGTGACTGAAGAGGAAGAAAATCAAATTGACTCTAATTGCATCTTCTTTCAATTCATTATTTCAGTGCATAGCTACTTTAAATATATATTATATATAATGTCATATAAAAAAATACCACACACTTCTGTGATTAAACGCTATTTTTAGCACAGTCTGTCAGTCTCCCTAACAACTTTTGGACCCGTTGCTCAGTTAGTCCAAATTTGAAAAGGAGATTGTGTTGCAGCTATACCTGATCTTATAATGTACTTAAACTCAAGAGCCAAGTAAAGGAGAGAACCACTAGAAGAAGGGGAGGCAGGGTGCAACCAGTGTCCTGTGGCTTTAGCGGCAGCCAAGCAGAGGCTAAACTAGCATAACTCAGGAGTGGTTCTATGGCTCCCATCCATAGACTCCGAAGAGCTAGGATATTGCAGTGAAGAGAATGGCACTGTTTAAGGACAAAACCAGATCTATAGGAAATCAGGCTTCATTGCCATTGCTTCTGCTGCAACAACTTGTTTATAAGCTCAAGATTCTAAAGGGTTCTTTGTGTGTAGTTCTCGGAGTGATTAGGGATAATAAGGATGAAAAGAATGGAGTCTCACTGTCTGGCAATCAGAGCCATTCCTCCCAACCCTTCAGGAATACAATGCTATTTTAGCAGCAACGCCTGATGTAATTGGATTGCAACTATTGCTTTCAAAAAGGTAAGAGCATCACCATAATTATTTAGTATTGTTTATTCATACAGTTAAAATATGTACAGTAATCTCCCTGTGGAACTGATTTCTGTGTGCATGTCTGTTAGATCATGTTCAGCAGGGCTCGTAAAAAGTTATAAATCACTCACAAATGAGTTCACAGCAATGTTAGAGTATTATAACGACACAAATAATTTAGACCATTTCAAGGCACTGAATAAATTCAGTTTATTGAACCATTAAAGAAGACAGTAATATAACACAGCTGGAACATGACTGAAGCACAGCATAACTTCCATGTCTTTCTTAATTTTCACAAGTGTAGCCAATACTTGTTTGTTTGCTTTTCAGAATACATCTAACAATATCCAGGAGTAACCACCTCCACTCTTGATTGAGTAGGTTTGTAATAAAACTGTTCTGTTAGCCAGGAGGAATTCTACAGTAATTTGATTTATTTCCCTAGCTAGCATACAAATAATTGTGATTAAATGCACTTAATACATATGCTATTGACATTTAATGTTCTTTTGTCTTCCCAGCGGTCTTTAAATTCATAGGGTATTTCCAATACCTGATAAATTCAACACCTGTTTTTCCAGATTTTTACATCCTATTAGGAGTGAAATTTGATGAGGTGCTGAGCACCAGTACATCAGTTTTCTGTATGGTCCGTGTTCACGGCCCACGCATTTCAGATTTGACCCTTGGTACCTAAGTACGGGTCAGCAGTTTGAAAGGGAAAGCAGTGTTCACGGTTGAGCAAATTGATTTATGAAAAAAGAAACGCCTTTTCTGACCTTCACTGACATCTATTTCTACCTTAAGATAAACCTGATCCTGCTCATAGATGGAGCACTAACACTAGCTGGTTGTGTGTCATAGTCCCTAAGCTGCATATTGCTTTTGAACTCAAGAGCTTTCCCATTTGCTCTTTGGGGTATTTCAGACTGTATTTGTGCACTGACCAGTACACTGGGGTCTGTTGAGTCAGTATTATATTGTATTATCCTATTTGTCCTATTGGATATCACTGTATTATACAGTTTCATAACAAATAGAAAATTCCAAATTACCTCAGATCCAGGTGTGTGAAATCCTATAAGCACCAAGTACCTTTATTAAAGCCACAAAGGTTTTAAAATTTTAAGACATATCTTCCGCTACCATAAAGGCTGTTTCATGGGAGTCACAAGCCAGTTTTACTTCCTCTTTTTTAATAAGCAAAGAAACTTTTGTGTACACTTTCCTGGCCTTTACCCACTTTTGGAATGGCTGGCTATGTTTTAGTGGAAGTAAGATCTGCATCTGATTTGCCTTGCCAAATATAAGTGGGTATATTATTCACACTCCAAAAGGAGTTGTAAAGGTTTATATTACACACAATAAATATTTCAAACTTTTACTTCTTGCTTTAGGCATATGCACAGAACATTTACAGCCAGGCACATCATATTTTCTAGGAAATAATTTCTATGAATGTATATTCCAATACAGTAGTTGTCCCATATTTTATGCTCTGTGCATAGTAATCTTGACAATTCATTTTTTCACCAACTACTCATGCAAAAAAATATGGCACAAAGTTTGAGCATTTGTCTTTGTTACTCAAGGTGTGTTTCAATTTCTTTCTCCTGTGAAATTGATGATCAAATCAGATATGCTACAGAATATCTGAGCAATAAGTACACCCTTAATGAACAAACAGCTCCATTTGAAATTATGAAAATTCTGTCAGTCTTTGTGCCTTCATACAACAGCTGTAAAATAGTTGGTTGAGCATCCTGAAGTTCAGAGCAGCTAGGAGTTGCTTGGCACAGATAGGTAAAGAAGGGCAGGAGTACACTTCAAAATGAATAGTCATTCTGGATACGAGAGCAATGCCATTAGTGAGAAGGGATATGCTTTCTGACATGGAAGGCAAGAGCTTCTGTACAAGGAAGGGTTGCCAACAGCACCCATCATGCCTGGGAGAGAAGATAGAAGTGGGAAGTGCAGAGGTGGCTCAATGCTTTTTTTTTTAACTCCTGACTACAAAAAGTGCCTACAGTGATCTACATAAAGTGCCTACAGCATGCTTTTGGTGGTAGAAGCAAGTAATTGAAATAAATACCTGCTATTTAAATATTCCTTTATTTAAATAAAAGGAAGCAAATCTGCAATGAAAAGACCCCGTACTTGAAGGCAGGCTCCCAGCCTGTGTCTCTGTCTGTCCCATTGTCGGTTACAGAATTCTCAGAGAGTGCACAGGGTTTATGGACAAAGCAGAAACTGAGGATTTGTTTAATTAGAGATGTCATTATAAAAGCACTTACTAATCTCTGCTGCCATTCTGTTCTAAAATTGCAGTGTAATCAGCTGGCACCTTTACCCTCCTTACTGCTAGTTTTGTGTATAACTGGCTATAGCAAAAGAAAAAAAAAATCAACAGGGCATACCAAGGAAAATGATGCACTATTTAGAAAATAGCAAATTATGCCTTATAGGGAAGAAGAAATGGAAGATCATCTCTCTGCTGGATCCAAGAGGGATTACTTTTTTTTTCTTAAGTTGCACTCAGAAGACTGAGGGTGTAGTCTGTGGTGTATCCATCAAGCTGTACCATTAAGTCTAGACAAACCAAATGAATTAAAACACAGTTTACATCTGACCAGGAGATGCTGATAAGAGTATCTTATCAGCATCTCCACATTTAAACATGCCTAAATGGCCAGGTCTCACATACTAGTTTTCAATTCAAGTGGTCTTTTACTTCACTAGAATTTCTGGGACTGAATTTAGTAAGATTTTATTTGAACTATGTTAAATTATCAAATGAAGCTCTTTCTTGTTGCAGCTGTCCATTTAAATATTTTGTAATAAGGAAAACACTTTACAACCACAGAAACCTGAAAGACTCATCAATGTTTTTGGAAAAGAAGGAGAGAAACTCCAGAAGGTACTTTATTTTGCATATCTTCCTGGGGTAGCTAAATAGAGATCATCACATCTTTAAGCCACTTGCTACTGGATCAAAACTTACATGTCTGGAGGCATTCAGTTAAGGGAGTAGTTACTATACTGTTGTTTGAAGAATGATCCAAAATGTCTCTAGATGACAGCAGACTACAATACTGTTTTCATTATTTTTCTTTATTTAGAAAACAGAGTAAGACAGGGATAAATACACAGAGTTTCACAATACAGAAAGGAAACAAGAGTGCTCTACAGCTAGAAAGAGAGGTCTGAGCTAGTTTTATGCAGACTGTTTATACGATAAAGCAGTGAAAGCTTTTCTGATGTTGGCAACAAATGCAGGAAAATTGTTAGTTTCTCTCACTTTGAGCTGGAACTCTGCTATACAGTCCAGAGCAGGAGTACAGGAAGTCACTAAAATGACAAAAATTTCCAAAAAATAAGACTTATTAAAAAAAAATAATATTAGTGTTTTCGCATGCTTCTGAAATACTAATGTAGTTTGTTATCTTTTTATGTTTTGGCTTCCACAAGTATTATTTTTGAGTAGCCTCATTTTCTGTCAGCAAGGACAAAGCCTCAAAAAACACAACAGGTTTTTTGATTTCCTGACTTGCCACTCAGCGCTGTGCTCCTACGTGAATTGTTACAGCAACTCCAAATAATCCACAGCCTGGTCAAAAACTGAAACACATTTCTAAATAGTTCTGTTGCTCTGCCAGCAGGCAGATTGTAAACTGATGTAACCCAGTATGTGATGTACTTTTAACTTCAGAAGTTTAAATTTGAATTAGTAAAACCAGAAATCTATTCAGTCCATACCTAAAAGCCCGAATAGCATCTATCTAGACGCTCTGCAGCACAGCACTTAAATTCTTCATAACTGAAGTAAGATCCACATTGCAAAACAAGCTTTAAGATCTGAAATGCTGTATCCTTACAGAAATCCAGATTGCTGGATTTCAAGGTTTATTCTTTTACCTATGTCACCCTGTAAGGGTTTCTCTGCCCTCTAGGTTTCTCAAATGAAGTTGAAATATGCCTGTCAGCATAGACACTGACTCTAGCATAAACAAACTACAAAATGAAGCATCCTTATCTCTGTATATCCTCTTTCTCTCGCTTTGCTTGATAAGAAGTAAACAGCATCTCCAAAATGGAGATTGAAGATAAGCAGTTATATTTTCATGTAAGTTAACAAGACAAACATAATTAAAGAAACTATATTATCATTGCAATATTTTTCACTCAAAAATTGGAAGATAAAGGTTACAACTGAACTGCACTTTGCTCCTCTCCACTTTTTTCAAATAGAGGCATCAGATTCAGTCCTCTTGTGTACGTATTCAAAATTCACATACCTTCATAATCTCCTTGTTCATTTATGGAAAGGGTAAACATGTATGGCTTGTCAGGATCTTTGTGGTCAATGTGTCTGAATATAAACTGTAATTGTTCATCTAAAATAAACACAAGCAGAATTAATTAACACCATTAACCTCTGCTGGAGAGTCACAATGAAAACTAAAAATCACAATATGAAGTTAGTTTCAATTAATATTCTTAGAACATTTATAAATTAGGGAACCCTGGTCTCTTTGAAAGACAAATGCATTTCAACATAGTTTGCCATTTTGAGAAACAATGGTAATGCCTGGGCTCAGACAATTCATCAGGTGTGTATGCTGGTTCTTCACTGCACAATCCAGCATTGACCACATTGGATCAGTGCACACGGGAAATACAGAAACCACAGCAACTTACTGTGAATTCTGCGTATCTCCAACCCAAGACACTCCTCAAACAACACTTTAGACTTGCACAGTCGTTCCATTTTCTCCTTGACAGCTTTGTCTTTAGAAGACGTTACTAGAATTTTAAAATCCACCATAAGTATCAAAGGCAAAACAAGCACATGAAAAATATTTAGAACAGTAGAAAAGCCCTAAAGAACAAGTGCTGAAAACAACTCCTCCTTCAATTAAAAAAATTTCCTTATTATTCGTTGCTTACTTACTTTCCATTTGCTTCACCAACTCTTCTTTTAACTCTTGGATGCTGTCAGTCAAGTTCTTCTGTTGCTCTTCTTCTTGATTTAGCTTAATTTCTGCCAACTGCTCTTCCTTTTCTGATATACATTTGCTCTGCTGGAGAATCTCTGAAAGGAGGCAAGAAGACATGAACACATACAGTTGATTAAGTAGGCCCCTGCTATTTAATACTTAAGTAATTTGAGATGATTTATTTGAATAAAATGTTGTGAAATGCATTCTATCTCAGCTGCAAAGAGAAGTCAGCATAATTACACTAAGAGTATCAAATAAAGTTTAGAGTGAAAGTTACTCCTAAGAGAAGCTACAAAGTAGGGAGCTGTGATACTTCAATCAGATGTGATGTTTTCTGGTGCCAGCACTGTATACATCTTCACAGCCTGAAAACAGTGGATCCTCTCCACAAATAATTTGACAGAAAGCAAAGAATGGACACACTGACTGATATTAGAATTACAATAATATTTACCTGATATTCTGAAGTTTAACTACAAAATTCAGAGAAGTTGACCCTGAACTGATGAGCTGACAGTGTTCTCTTACTAATATGGAAAAGGCATAAGTAACCTCACAATATTTAACTTTACTAAGCAATTTAATTTACTTTTTCTATCGAAGTCAGCAAGTTTTGGTACTTTGTTGTTTTAAATACTTAAGCACCAAAATCACTATGCAGAAAACTGACTTATCTTTTTGCACTATCAATGAAGTTTTTCAACAAATTTCTTTTGAATTGAAATTTACATCCTGTAACCAACCAAATATGTTTGGTTTTAATTCTATCTTCATTCTGATGTTATTATTTACCTTTTAAAATGTGAAGTTAAATATACTATTGAGCTGTATTTAGGTAATTTTAGAAATGTTAGACAATAAATAAAACACCATACTGTACCATTGTTATACTCCTGAATTTTGTCAATCATCAAGTCTCCTTCTTTCAGCTTCTTGGACCATTTCGCTGTAATGGAAAGTTACTTCAGTTATCTGAAGAAGTTTGATGATAACTTGGAAAACGTAGAGGCAACAGGAACATAGAGCCTTTTTACCTGAAAGCACGTCTATAGACCCCTTGCATGAATCTCTCAGCGTTAAAGTCTGATTGATCTGTTCAGTGCCATAAACGCTTTTAAACTCGATCCAAAACTCTTTCATATCTCTTTCAAAGAGAGTTATTTCATCTTCTGTCTTTGCATTAGCCATGGTGCTGTAACACACCTGTCAGTGAACAGACACAGCGTCAGGACACGGGAGGCACTGCCAGCGGGTGTAACTCACGGAATAAACCCTCGGAGCTGCTTTGGTCCCCTTGCCTTGTTGTTGAAACTTCTTCCCGCAAGTCGGTTTTTTTTGTCACCACTGGCTCAGCGGGAGCCGCGTTCCCCTCGCTCCTCTCCCGGCGCTCAGATGCTGCGCTAGGGGAGGCCGCGCCAGGGTTCCGGCGGCACCGCGCCCGCTGCAGCCGGGGCGCCCCCACCCCTTCGCCGCCCCCCCGCGAGCTGGCACCGAGCCGGGGCCGGGGCCGGCTCCCCACGCCGGCAGCCTGGGCCGGGGGTCGGACCGGGCGCTCCCCTGCTCTGACCCCACCAAACCCCGCACCCGCCCAGACCCACCGCGTTCAAACCGCGCCGCCTTCCCGCCGCCAACGGTCCGCGCGGCCCGCCCCGCAACAACCGCGCCGCTCATTGGCCCAGCTCCGCCAAGGCCCGCCCACGCCGTTGCTGCGGTAACGCCGCGCGCGCGGGGCGGGGCCGCTGTGAGGGGCGGAGCGGGGAGCCGGGAACGGGGAGTGGGGAGCGGGGAGCCGGGAGCGGGGAGCGGGGAGCGGGGAGCCGGGAGCCGGGAGCCGGGAGCCGGGAGCGGGGAGCGGGGAGCGGGGAGCGGGGAGCCGGGAGCCGGGAGCCGGGAGCCGGGAGCCGGGAGCCGGGAGCCGGGAGCCGGGAGCCGGGAACGGGGAGCGGGGAGCCGGGAACGGGGAGCGGGCTCGCTCTGGGGAGCGGGACGGTTCCCTTTCGCTCCTCTGAAACCGCAAGTTGTTTCCAGTGTCTGTTTTACTCACAGAACATGGTCGTAAGTTTTGTGAGGCTCCTGAATTGCTTTTTAATTCCCCAGGCCTGAATTCTGTCGAGTGTGGATAACAATTTACCCCTTAAGGTAGATCGCAGTGAGAGGAGTCCGACCTGCACCTCTTCGATGCGAACAAACCCACCACACAGTAGCGCTGCCCGCGCCTGGTCAAACACTTGCATAAGCCTCTGTCATGGCGAATGTGCTCCTTATGACACGGTGCCTGCTTTTTCTCCAGTTCTTTATATTCCCTTTTGGCTCTTGATAAGAACTAATCTGTGATCCCAGATAGCAGCCTTCAGTTTATCATAAACGCTACTTTTGATCATTTTGTTACCACAGCTAATTATTTTCTCCTAGCTTTACTTTTTGCCGGTGCTGTTTAGATAGTCTCAGAATAATGTCAACTTATTAAAGCGTTGAGAATTGCTCTGAAAGAATTAATTACTGCCTTCCCCCCACCAGACCCAAAGCAAAGGCTGAGGTGAGACCACCAACTATGAGTTGTGTTACTCTTGTATAAACTTGTATAAGCACTTCTATCCTGTTGTATTCCTCTCTCACTTGAACACCTCTTCTCTAGATTTCACAGTTTCCTCAGCATTAGTCCTAAAACTAATAGACTTCTGTTTCTTATCTGCTTTACACTTAAATATACTGAAGTTGGGCTGTTTCAAGAATGATTACGTAGCCAAGTATAAATCTGGGAGAAGGAAGGGAAAGGAAAGAGCTTCTTGAAATATTCTTCTCTTCCAAATTAAAAAATTAAGATGTATCTTCTCAGTGTTCCACTTGGAAAATATTTATACTTAGGAAAATAGCTGTCAGCTGTTGTATATAGTGTCTGCTGGTGAATTTAGTAAATTACTCATTAATCCTTGTAGCTGGTCTAGCGCCAATGGAAACACTGATGTGGAAATTAATGCTATTGTTCAATTAACTAAGCATAATGTACCAGAAAGTTAGGCCCAGCACATAGGCCTCCATTAACAGATTTCAAAGAATGTTTGCTTTGATGGCTTTTCCTTCTCTTGCAAACATTTACTTAACAACATCTGATAACAGTTATGTAATATTTGCTCTAATATGTAGGTGCAAGGGAGCTGTAAACATTTTATCCTCCCTCCAATGGATCATCAGCATGATTCTTGTTTCTACGTTATTACCAAGAACATATAAAGTCTCTAGTTTTGTATGTCTTGGAAAATAAAATAAATTGAGAAATTATCAATAAATTAAAAACTCTTTATATGAGCAGATGGCATTTTAAAGGTTTTTTGCCTTGTACTAGGAACTAATTTGATCATGTGAAGGCCAAACCTTGGTTCTGCAATATCAAAACAGGACAAAAAAGGTAATTGCATACGCTTTCTGACCATTTTGTATAGATCACTAGTTTTCCTTGCAGTTCCACATGCTAAACTACAGCAAATAGTTTTATTTCGTATATTATCTCAAGTGACTTTGAAGTACTAAGTGCATTACAGAAGCATTTTGCAGGTCTTTGCATAGAAAATGACCGGGGGAAAGTTTATGAAGGAAATATTTCTTTGTTAGTTTAAACAAGTTATTAAATATAGTATTTCAAGACATGTTTTGCCATCTTTTCTGGTTATTAGAGCTTGGAAAGTCTTTAGTGTCTCAGACTTTCATTGGTTGTGAAGTACTACAGGCAGGACAAGAGATGACTGGCATGTCAGTTGTTGATTGCCTCTTGGATGGAGCAGGATCATGAGTGCTTCCAGGTACAATGAAAACTGTCTCTTTCACAGAAACCTGCTTACCTATTCCAAAAACTCCCTGCTTTCTGTCTTGCAGATTGTGGATTTGTTGCTGTTTTTTAAACATCCTTTGTAAACATGACTCCTCTAGCATCTCTAAGGTGACAATGCAGGAGCTTCTGAAACTCTCAGAAGGAATATAGGAGAAAATGAAAGCTTTTTAATGTTTGCTGTTAGCTGTTAGTCTTCATTAGGTCTAAGGTGTTTTATCTTCTACCTAAGCAGAAAGATAATCAGCAGCATAAGAATCAGCAGGAAAATCTTGAAAACTATTATCAGGAGGCCTTCAAAATGTAGACTAAAAGAGGTTACTTTACTGAAACAAGGCCAAGATATAACTTCAAACATTATATTGACAAAGTTTTTGGGGAACCAAAGTGTGCCTGAGTGGTTCTGTCTAAAGAGTTCAGCCTTAGCAGATGCATCGTATCCCAGTGGATAGATAACATGGGTGGGTGAGTTTGTAAATAAAACAAACACGCAAAAAGTTATTGCAATGGTTCCGCACATCCTGTGTCAGAGAGGCAACTTTTCTGATACTATTGAGTAACAGTGGTGCCATTAAAGAGGTACCATAAAGGGTTGGTTATTACTTGGTAGACACTCTTTAAAGGACTTGATGGAAACTGACTGACTTACTGCAAAATATTTTTTCTTATAGAACAATAGTTATTTCAACTTAGTTAAAACCAGCAACTATGATGAGGTTAAGTACTAAAAGAAAGATTGTTGTTATTCATCTACCAACTGACTTGACATTTACGCTCACATTTAGAGTTCATTATTGTTTCTAAACTAGATTGAAAAAGAGAGGAAAAACTTAGATTCTCCACAGTTTTCCATGCTAACCTCAGACATGTATAAAATAGTGATTTTTATTGTTGTTATTGTAAGTCTTACTTGTCTTTAAAGGCAAGATACTTTTGCAGTAAAAGAATGTAGCCAAAGGACATTTTCTTCAGTAATAAGGTATAAAGAATTATTTGCGAGAGATATTTCTAAACAAGTACAATCTTGGAAAAGAACTGGGAAAGGGAAAATTAATTCCATCTGTTCTTTTATATGACAGTTGCTTTGCTGTATGCTGTGAAAAGCAATAATCTATAAGGGTTAGCAAGAAACAAACCTCAAATATTTTCAGCTAAAAAGCTAGGAAATATTTATTGTTGAAATATCCTTAAATTTTGCTTTTGGAACAGTTTTCCTCGAAATCAGATGATACCAGTTGAAGTGAGTAATTCAGTCAATGCAGAGAAAAATACTGTAGTAATTCAGAAACAGTGCATAGAATTTTAAATCTGGTTTTAACTTTAAGGTTTTCTATTAAGCTCAATGCAACTGGTAGCAATAAACGTATAGGATTTAAAACTGCTAAAAAGTTTCTAAAACCAGACTATTAATAGGTAAAGTAAATGGGAGTAAAGTAAATGTGAGATTGTGTCAGGAGGAGAGGTCTTCTAAGTCCATTTAATTGTCATGCCTTATTTGTTGAACCTACTTGATGTTTCCATGTGACTTCCCCGAGGACACATCATAAAGCCCTGGTAAGCCATTAAGTCCTTCTTCAGCACAACCAGTTAAGTAGTTCATATCTTTGTCTCCACAACTTCTGCAGTTTAACTTGATGCCATGGAGAGAGCAGTAGGGGAAGTGTGCAGTGCATATATAGAGCTGCTTTTGTCTTCAGATTCTAATTGTTTCAAATACATAAATAATCTTTGATAGAAGATATGAATATGCTGGAATATTAGAGCCTGATAAAGAGCTTGAAATTTTCCTCTTGCTGCTCTGATAATATCAGAAGATGGTATCATCAGGCTTTTAGTATCCATTTAATATCTAGTGGAAAAAGTTTTTTCATCTAGCCACCTCACAAATTAACATAATCTTCTCCCGTTCTACACTTATTAGTACTAATATTGATAAATCTGATGTGCTTATATATTATCTGTTGTAATCTTTTAAAATCCTGCTATGTGGCAGAATCTGTTTCCTCTTGGCTGTTTGCCCGGGATGTTGCCCTGTGCTTCACTTGGGAATACTTCAGGAAAATACTCATAATCATCTATTCCCAACCTTGCTCTGGTTTGCAAAGCAGGTCTCATTTCTGCAGGGCTGGGCAGTCAGAAGTGGGGCTGCAACTCCTTCTGGAAAAGCTGTGTAGGGCTTGCATCGTGTAAGCGATGCACAAGAATGGTGGTACCAAATGATGACTCGAAGACTAAGCTTCATCTGCATTGTGCCCTGGACTAACAGGCCTCTAGTGTGAAGGAAACAGTTGTTTTTCAGTGTTTTAAGAATATTGCTGCTTTAAAAATAAATCTATAGCTCAACAGCCTCATTGATGTATGGATGCTGGTTGTATTTTCTGTGACTGAAAAATGTGTTGTCAAAGTATTAGTAGCAGCATGGTAGCCAAGTTCTATTTCAAAGTTAAATGTACAGCTTTAATGACAGTTCTGCAAAGATCAGTTATTTGTGTATTCTTTCTATCCTTTATACAGGCAACACTTAATGAAGTACACACATTACTAATGTCCATCCTGCAGAGAAATGAACTGTGAAAAAATTTAAGCAAACATGTTCCAACTGTTCATACGAAGGATTACATAAGTTATACATTGTGTTTCCACAAAACTTTCCCCACAATTTGCTGCTGCTCAGCATGTACTTCACTTAACTTCCTCTAATTAAAATTTGCAAACAGAAAAGCTTTCCAGGGCTAAGAGACTCATGTGCTTTCCCGGAGTTTTGGAGCCACGTGTTTCAAGAATGGCTGGGTACACCACACCAATATAATATAAAGGCAACGTCAATCACCTTCTCTCACTTTTTAATAGCTCCCCTCCACAGTTCTCATTCTCTGTTACTAGAAACTTATGATTAAAGGAACTTTACTATATTTCAAGTACAGTTTAATCCATTAAGATGGATCTCCTCCATAGCAATGGCGTGCTTATCATTCAGCATTTACAGAGGGACTACAGGGCTTACCAGGATTTCCTTAATTTTATGTCACATGTTGGTGATCCGCGGAATATATTCTCAATTTATTTTCCTCTTTGGTTTCAGCTCAACCAAGTGGTTGGTACTAAAATGATATGGGTGGCAGTCATTGGTGATTGGTTCAACCTCATATTTAAATGGTAAGAAGTTGGATTTATTTTAAAATTTGGTATTTTTAATGATAATTACTATATGTGCCTCAAGGTTAGAAAACTTTCTGTGAATAACGTACTAGTAGACTTTCCCGTTATTATAAAAGGGGAATTCACAATGCAGGTTTTTAAGATATGTTTGAAATGACATCATGGTAAGATGAGAAAAACCTGTAGAACTATTATAGAATAGTTTTGGCAATATAGCTCTTCATATTCTTTATAGGATTATCATGTTTTGCTGAGGCCTTCTTACATAAAAATATTTTCATTGAGTTTCTGCTTTATTTTATTTTATTTTTTGTCAGGATTTTATTTGGCCATCGCCCATACTGGTGGGTGCAAGAAACAATGATTTATCCTAATCAATCAAGCCCATGCCTTGAACAGTTTCCTATAACGTGTGAAACTGGACCAGGTAAGAAATGTTGGTGATTACATTGGTACATTTAATAGGTATAGTGGCTTTGAGGGAGAGAGGATGTGACTTATGAAGGTCTTATATAATATACAAACCTCAGAGTTCATATATAAAATAGCATCAAAAAAAGGAAGAAATACAATGTGACTGGTGTTTGATTGCTATATGACAAAATGTTTACTTCATTGCCTTTAAATAGTGCAAGGGAGGGGGATTTACTTTAAAAATAACTACTAGTAGAATGAACCAGCATATTGGAAAGGAATTTTCACAAAACTTGTGAAATACGTTGTTTAATATGTTCCAAAATAGAGCACAGGGCTGTTGAGTTTGAGGACCAGTGCACTATTGCAAGAAATATTCAAACCCCAAAAACTAGTAGTTGGTTCAGTGTAAATAACAATAGTATCAATAATTGTTGATGTAATGTATCATGAGTGGAAAAGGTAACCCCTCTTCCCAGAACCAGACACTGACACTAAACGTGTATATATACAAATATATGGGGGGAAATTATTTTTAAAATGTACTTTCTCTGTGTATTTTCACTTTTTTATGTCTCATTGTCTTTTCTGTGGAACTCAAATGCAATACTCCTGAAGTCAAATGAACTTGTGCAACCCTAATATGTGAAATAAGATGAATTTTCTTTGAGCTGACTGACTGAATTTAGTTCACTGTGCGAGTAAATACTGACTGTGGAAATTAATGTGCTTTGCACCTCATCAATGCCACTGCAAGCTTTAAAGCAGTTTGCATAGCTGAATTTGTTACAATATCCTCCATTACGTTCTAATTGTGAACAAGAAGTTTAAGCCTTTGTATGAGGCAAGGTTAAATAATGCCTGGTGTATATGTGATCTGCAGTCTCCTTCAAGTGAATTCATTCGAGACCTAACCCAAAGTATTAAAGTACTTCAGAGCTTTTCAAAAGCCTTTTAACTGAGCCCATTTGGTACCCTGTAGTTCCAAGCCCTGGCTAAGGAGCCAGTCAGTGTGTTTCATTCTATTCATTGAACCAGATCTTCCTTCTTGTTACTTTCTTCCTGAAGTAACAAGTCATTCCTATTTCTGTTCAGTGGATACAACCGTCATATTGATTCTTTCCTTGCACTTAGGACTACATTTTCCCCACCTCCACATTTGCCCTGAACCGTTGACAATATCTGTCACTGACCTGCTCCTCATTAACAAGAGGAGGTGCAGTCAGTGCAGCTGTTAACAGCACACAGTCATTGCATGAGCTTACAAGGTACTTCACACACTTTTAAAACATGCCAGTTATATTAAAAGAGTAGAGGAGCAGCCACAGACATGAGAAAAGCAGATCCAAATATTGCTAGGATAGCCTGAACCCCAGACTCTCAGAGCTCAGCAAGAAGGAAAGCTGTGGGAACTGTTTATATGACTACATGGCAAGCAGGACTTGAATTTGATTTGTACTTCTGGAACTAGCTGAAATAAAACCCTATTGCCATTTTTTTTCTGATATATTTAAGGCTTTAAGAACATAAACCTTAAAGTGGAGCTTATGCTTTTTCTAGTAGGTAATTTGCAGATGAACTATGAAACATTATTCCTAGATGACATTTTCCTAAATGACAAGACAGAGGAGCTTTCCCAATGCTGACAGACAACATTATGGTTTCCTTATCAGTGACATTTGTTCTGTTGTGAGGTTTAGGAGTGCACATCTGTTAGGCAATTAACAAAAGAGCTGGTAGAGTGACTCTAAAGATGCTGGCAAGCAGAATAGCAAAAATGAGTGCAGGGAGTCAGAAATCATAGTGCTTGTCCTAGGCATTCCTGTTTTGCTACTTCACTGTAATATCCTATTGCTCTACACACTGCTATATAGTTCTGGATCATAACACTTTCTGGACCCAAAATTATTTCTTCTGACAGTGAAATAACCCTGTCCCTTTTACTTCACTTTGTCTCCACAGAAAGCCAAGCTGTAGAAATATGGGATTGACAGATTTCAGTGATCTAATTTTCTCTCCCTATTTTATTTTGTTGAATGTAAACTTGGTGAACAGGGGAAAAGAAGTGGCCAAGTAATTTTAGGAATCATTTCCCTTACATCATGCCAGCATAGTTTGTTTTTTGATGATTTTCACAGTTGTAGGAACTTTTCTGAGGCTTCATATTGTTTCCAGTAAAATTAAAATCTGACTTGTTAAATTAAAACAAATGACATTTATATTATTATAAGCTGGACTAAAAGGAAATTACTGTTTGATCTCTACATAAGAGTGTGTTCCCTGTTACAGGCTGTTGGTACTGCAGTTGGTTGGATATGTTACAGTATCATTTCATGTGCCAATTTCACTGATACTCTATTTTCAAGCTAGTTGATATGTATGACACCTTAAAATTTATAACATAAATCAAACTAAAGTATAAAGACACAGTTCTTCCATCATGCTTGAGATACATTTCTAAATTTATTAGAAAACCACCCAAAATGTTAATTATCTGGATTGTGATATTATTAATGAGACACAGATCTCAATTTTTCACATCACGATAATTGCAGAAGCAGATAAAAGGCAGTTTGGAAGGGTCATCTAAAGTTACACTGTTACTTTAGTTTAGAATGTTACAAAGAGCTAAAGCTCTCTTGCTCCTTTAGTTATGAGGAGGCCCATTCAAACCCTTTCTCATCTGATCCTCATATATAACTTCTACATTCCATGCTACAGTCCTAAGAGAGTCCTAGATGCCTTTTTTTTTTTTAATCACAGTCCAAATCTAAATAATGGGAAAATACTGTGTTTTCCAATCAAGATTCCACCCCACACTAATATAAGATAGTTAAGCTGTTACCTACTTGATTTTGGACAAATATGGCTTCCCTATAGATGAGAAGTTCATATTAAGAAAATTAAATTTTGCGAAGCAGTTGACATTCTTTCAGCCTTTGTTAGCCATTTCCTTTCTAAATGATGGGGTGCCTGAGTAACTGCCAGTTGACATTTTCTATATGACAAATGCTACAGTCATCATTCTTAAGGTGAATATTTCCTTTTTGTTTTTACTAGGAAGCCCATCTGGACATGCCATGGGATCATCCTGCGTCTGGTATGTAATGGTCACTGCAGCACTTAGCTACACAGTTAGATGGAAAGATAAATTAGCTGTTACCCTTCACAGGTCAGTGTCTTTCCATTCCTCTAACTCATAAAGAAAATTCTTTATATATATGTTATGTTTTTAATGGACTTAATTTAAACAAATATTCATAGTCTGTTCTATCCAGTTTGTAAAAAAAAGTAGCAGCCCTTTATTATGATCTGCCTCAGCTAAAGAAAAATTATATGAAGAGGATTTAGCCATTTGTATAGGTTCTTATTTATTAAATTACCATCATTGCATACAATATATCTAAATCAGCTCCTACTAAAGGTTGTGTCACCTCTTCAGGATTGGAAATTTTTGATTCTATTAATTGTCATTATTTATTGGATCTTCTGGTTAGAAAATAAATTTACTGCTTTGATGGTCATCCTTCTTAGCCCATTTTAAAGCAAATGCACATAATGTTGACACAGTTCACTGTAATGTGTTACTCAGCTCTGCGGGAAAGTCTCATAATTGCTGTCAACCCGACAAGGTTGTTCCCATACTATGTAAATTTTATCATGAAATAACTGAACTTTTACATTTAGGTATGACTTCATGATGAGAAATAAGCTCAGGGTACTAGTGCTAATTTAACCTACTATGCATGACTTTCATCACTAAAGCCACAGTGGTGTCTTGGACCTGAAACTGCTGGGGTCTCTTCCTGTAACCACTCTTGATAATGTTTTAGTACTGACTTCCAGGTTTTAATCATCTGATTCTAAACTGCTCTACTTGGTAAATCTCTGGCTGGTAAAAATATGAGCCTGACATGATGGGGCTTGGGATAAATTAGTAGATTAAATAATTTGTCTTAATTTTTAACCATTTTCCTTTTCTCTCTTAGACTGACATGGTCATTCCTCTGGAGTATTTTTTGGATTATCCAGATCAGTGTGTGCATTTCAAGAGTATTCATAGCAACACATTTTCCTCATCAAGTTATTCTTGGAGTATTTGCTGGTAATGGTTTTTTTTCTTTTTAACATATTTGTAAAATCTCAAAAAAAAAAGAAGTATGAGAAAAGACAAGAGATTTTTCGTAGTGCTACTCATCTTGCAGCCCCAGTGGTGCTCTCCACTCTCTGGAAGGTCAAGGATTTGATAAAAGTCTAAAAGTAAAATTTGCAAGGTTAGAATGTGCCTGCTGCCTTTGTAATTCACAGAGTGAAGGGAGTGAGCCTTTGTCCACTTGCCAGTCGATGCTGACTGTGTTATATCCACACTGCCTCAGACTAGCTCTGACTGGTTTGTACTGGCTGCATCCAATCTTTGACTGTGCTGCCTGTGTGGAAGAGATCAGAGAGGAAGTTGTTCCTACATGGCTCTGAGCTTTCATCTCAGGAGGAAGGTATTTGGGTCACTTCAAATGGTGACCAGGTGCAAACTAGCATGTGTGCAATGTGGACAAGTATGGGGTCAGAGACCTGGGGCAAAATAGAGAAAAAGGTGAATCAGCAGTAAAAACTCCCCAGGGTGATTTAAGAAGCTGAAGTACATTTTTCAGAGTTACTTAAGCGTGTTGCAAATTGGTATTCAGGGAGTTCAAACTATGAATAATCTCTCTAGAATCTATCTGATTTTATGGAGGGTGACCAAAGCATTGAGCAGGGGCTGCCTGCTCCTGTTCTCTTTCATGGATGCAGTGCAGCCTGGGTAGCCCTGGCTAACAGCTTTCCCTCTTCACAACCAGGATAAAATGAGTACGAGAGAAGATAAGTGTGTTCTGTGTCTTTTTCTTCAACACTCAAAGCCTGTGTGGGAACTGGTGTTGAATTCTGCATTGCTGGAGCCAGTCTTTGAGTGAGGGACTCTTTTGGAAAAGGAATGTTCCAGTTTACATCTAATATTTGATAGGTTGTCATCTGGGAGATGCAGTCAGGCCTTAAGGTATGCCTCATATCAAAACCATGTAGTGCTTGGTATTTAATTTCTTTTTTCTAAATTGGTAGTTTTGAGTGGGAGAAAAGGTTTTGTAATGTACTACAGAAGTGGTAAATTGTGTGTGTGTATATATACACATAGATATGAAAGACATATTCTTCTGTCTTCAAAAGTCAAATTCTACAGGCACACTGTAGAAAGTGCTTCTTCAAAGTACAAGTGTGTTGTTCCCTGTAACACTGAGTTTCTAATCCACAGGCATTCTTGTGGCAGAAGCATTTGAGCATACCCCTGCTATTCAGACTGCAAGCTTGAGAATGTACATCAAGACAAACTTGTTTCTTTTCATCTTTGCCCTTGGGTTTTATCTATCCCTCAAACTTCTTGATATTGACTTGTTATGGTCTGTTCCAAAGGCCAAGAAGTGGTGTGCCAACCCAGACTGGATAAACATTGACACAACTCCATTTGCTGGACTGGTGAGGAATTTAGGGGCACTCTTTGGTTTAGGTCTTGGAATTAATTCTGAAATGTTTGTCACAAGCTGCAAAGGTAAAAATAGCTGCAAGCTAAGTTTTCGCATATTGTGTATAGCTGCTTCTTTAGCTACACTGCAGCTGTATAATTTCATTAAGATACCTACTCATACTGAGTATTTGTTCTACATTCTCTCCTTCTGTAAGAGTGCAGCTATGCCTCTGACTGTAGTTGCCTTGGTTCCATACTGTGTCCACTCATTAATGAAGACAACTGAAAAGAAACTTAATTAAGTAAAGGTTCAAAATGATTAGCAATGTGGGGATGGATATGAGCTGTTCAAGAACCTTCCACAAAGGCAGTTTTGCTAACTCATTTTAACCAAAGGGATGCTACTGCATCTTTGATGTGTTCCTGGTAAGTAACCAGTACATCCAAAATCAGTACACTCTAGAATGATTTTGGCAGCTCATAAATATTAGTTGCTGATTCCTAGAAATATTGCAATCACACTGCAGTATGGTTAGAAATGACCCAATACTCTGGGTCATAACAAAGTTTTAAAGTATAATCAACTAGTTTTATTTAGCTATATGGTGGTCTTTAAGTTCTCTCCATCTCTAGCTAGATGATGCTTCAAGCATCAGTTGTATATAGTGATACTCGGTATTTAATTTTTTATATATAGATACTGTGTGTTAAACTGCTACATAATGGTGTGACAGTATCACACCACCTACCACTGGACTGTACGGCTGTACCCAGGCACTGTGAAAAAGGCCAGCGTAGTTATAAGCAAGGCTTTACATTTAACTTATTGAGCTTCCTGAGCAAAACAGCTTCTGATTAAGTCAGATGAGAAAAAAAAAGTTTATTTCCATTATACTCTGCAGAATATATTTTTGCATTACTATGTGGGTTTTGTCATTCTTACTTTTTCAAAGTGGTCACTTAAATCATGAATGATACAGATCACACCTTTGAAAGTTGTCAATGATGAAATTATCTCAGCATATGACCTCAAGAATATTGTTCATGCTCCTATATTGCAAAGATAGCTCTCTGCTAATTCTCTCAGATCAAGAGACACAAGCCTCAATCACTGTTAGTAGTTGTGTAAATCATGAAAATGTGGTTGCAGACTGTCATTGCAACTTTATATTCTTGTCAGCTTTGTTTACCTAAGCACACAAGTAGCTCATATGTTAAATGTTTGCTATATAAAATGGATGTTCTAAATAGGCAAAGGTGGGTACTTTCCATTTTTACTCATTATTTGGCATCTACTGTTGTATATTCCCTTTCAGTACACAATTTTTAAGCAATATTTTGCTGATACCATCTCATAATACTTAGTATACAAGCTGTTTACACATAGCCTTAGTATACAAGGCCATAAGATGAGTAATGAGGGCTGTGTATGTATGATCTGAAAAAAATAAGGCTTAGAAGATGTAAACATGATGTTGTTTCCAGACTTCCAATTAGGTGTGGGATAATTCAAACTGAAAGAATCTTATTTAATTTGGGTAAACAAAGTGAATAGTTTTGTATTGGCCTTTAGGAATAAATGTTATACAAATTACAGCAGCAAATCTGAAACAGGCATCCTTATTTAAGAGCCTAGTAAGACTACCTTGACTTAAAAAAATGAGTCATCTGGTTTTAACAGTTTGAGGAGTATTCTACTTTGTGTATCTCCTCATATCTTCTGTACTGGATCTCTGAACTCTTTTTCCTGCAGCAGCTGACCTGAAACCAGTCTTTTCTATAATTGTAATTCCTTAAGCAAAATTACTAAACTAATGGGACTAGAAACAAATAACCAAGAACAAAGACAGCCAAGACAAAGATCAGCTGTGTTAAGTTGCTCTGTGCTTTGTTATTCCCTACCAGTGAGGTGACCTACAGAGGCATCACAGAACACTAGCAGGTTGGTCTAGCTGTCCTATTTCTGGCCCCTTCTGGCCAGCTTTCACAACAGCATTTGGATTTAGTGGCAATGTTGGCAATTTTAAACTGGGAGTTATGGGTAGACATCACATTTTTAAGCTTCTACATCATGAGGTCTCTGCTTCCTGGCCCTGGCAAAGAATCTTGGGGCCTCTGTTGGGATAGACACAACCATAAATGTAGAATGACAACTGGCATTTCTGCAGAAGACAGCAAATGACACCATCTACTGTCAAGACTAACAATTCAGGCTTGAAAGATGTAAGCAAACGCCTTTGGGTTGGCAAATGCCTTTGGGTTGGCTCAGGGACTTGTCACCAAGTTCCAGGGCTGGGACATCTTGCTGTGAGGCAGCTACGGCAGCACCACCACTCCAGCTCTGCACCGAGCAGTCCATCAAGGCTTGTTGCTCATGCCCAGACATACTGTGTAGCTCCACTTGAAATTTAATCCCTTTGCACAGGTACCAAAGGTCTTTATAATCAACTGGTTGGCAGTAGCACATAGAAATTAAGTGGCAGGAGCTGGCACTCAGGAATGTGCAACTGTTTGTGTGTGCTGTGAGTGCCTGCATGCTTCTGGGAAGTACCAGCATACTTCCCAACACTTAGCTCTCGATATTTCCTAGCTGCTTGAAAACAGGATGATGTTACAATGAAGAGCAGTAGCAGTGCCACCTAGGTGGGGCCGTGTCCCTGTGCTCCTGCAAGGGGATGACAGGCAGGGGCTAGTGTTCTTGAGCTGGCCTTCTCAGCAGCTCTGTCCTGCACAGCAGACCCTTGTCACAGACATGATCCAGTTACCCAGAAATACCTGTTAGCTGGTGCAAGATATTCATGTGCCTGTCTGAAGGGTAAGAGAAGTGCTAAAGAACAAGAGCAAGTGAAAAAATACAATTCATTGGTTTAATTTGGGTCATGAAAATGGTGTCCTTTTAGGCAAAAGAATTATGAAATAAGTACACATAGTCATGGTAGTTTTTAATACAGAGTCATTATTTTTCCATGGCCTTAAATACTAATATAAATTAAATATCATATAGGTATGTCAGTAGCTTATTCATACTGATATATATATTGATACTCTGTCGATATTTTCAGTCCTAAGCCATCAAACTAATTATTGCTCTGAAACATAAAAAGGCTGAAAATATTAAAGCAAATAATGCAGTTTTTTTTTTAATTTCTAGTTAAGGTTTAAAATACAGACTTCCTTGAGAAAACAGCCATTTCAGTGCCAGCTGTGTGAGTTCAGTAGGGACTTTGGCAGCAATTCTATTAATGGATTTGTACAAAAGTTGAAATTGGGTTTTGCTGCCTGGAATTAAGGGATGTATCCTAATAAAATTTTCGTCCTTACAGCTCTATTCAATTACTGATACTGTTACATAGTTTTATAAAAAGTGGTGTGATTTTTTTATAAAGTGAGTGGAACCGCCCCCTGCCCTGCAGATTTTAGGACATGGAGAATGACTTTTCTGGTTAATACTCTATTATTCAAAATCAATATTTAAATGTTGGAACTGTAATTTAGACTTTCAGTCTATCTGCTTTGTCTCCAAGATCCTAGTCACTAAAGCAAAGACTGCTGTTGTGCTGCAGACAATAACTCATATTTCAGAGAAACCTGCAGTAGATCTTGTAATAAACTGATAGATACAAGCTTCTGCCAAAAGAAGCTCCTTCTTGACCTTTGTCATATCTGAATGCATTGTTGATGTTTATCAGCTGTATTTAATGCAAACAAAGAGCTAATTATGGGGTTTTTTCCACCTTTACTGATTATGATTTCTATAAAAATACACATTATTGTCTTGCCTTCAAAAAAAAAAAAAAGAACTGGTTTAAATAACTGATGATTAACTGTAGGATTTCACATTAATTTATCCAAAGCATGTATTCCTATTCAAAAATCTATTTGACAGCTTTGATTAGAATGGTGAGTGCTAGGTGGAGAGTGGTGGGCTAGGAAATGATCCTCACCACCTTCTGTTCCTCGCCTTGATTGCTTTCCTTACTTTTGTGGAGCTGCCTTCTTTGTAAGTACTTCCTGGTTTTGTTGAAGGGGCACCGTGGTGTCAGTGCTGTGGCCACACACGGGGGAAGTGCAGCCTCCTCCTCAGCACAGCTGACCTGTGTGGTACGACGGGGTGAAAGGGTGGGGGTTCTGTACCCACAGGAAAGGGATCTGCTGTAATCCTCTGCAGACTGAACATTAGGAGAGATGTGATCCCTTCATATGTACAGCATCATTCCTGGGATTGTTTTCACTCATTCAGCTTACCTAGAGAAGGGGCAGTCTCCAGAACACTGGAGCAGAGTCTTCCTTGATTGCTAGTTGAGGCATGACAGGACTGTGCAGCCTGACTGCAGCTAGTGGCAATTCCACAGATCATCAGAAAAGATCCTTCCCATTTTCAGGCTTGCTTTCCCCTGTCAGTGGGCTAATTTACTTCCTGAATGCATTAGCCTGTGCCTAGTTCCCTGCATGTGCTGGACAAATGTGCTTGATGCAGAGCTTGATGCATACCTTCAGTGTTCCACAGGCCTCACAGTTTGTTTACAGAAATCTTTCTAATTTAGAATCACAGTAATTCAGCTAATAGGGGCTCCAGTAGTAACAAGTTTCCAGTAGGCTCCCTCCATGGCCATCAGTTCATCATGAGTGCCCCTTTCAATGACGAGTCCCTGGGACATCACCGCAATGATGTCGGCGTTCTGGATGGTGGACAAGCGGTGGGCAATGACGATGCAGGTCCTCCCTTCTCTGGCCTTATCCAGCGCTGCCTGCACAGTCTAAAGGCAACAAAGTGTCAGAGTGAAAATATGCAAACCAAATCAGGGCTCAGAGCTGCAGGAACCCAATTGCTTCAGATAAATTGGCTTTTAAAAGTGACAAGTGAATGAGGCTAAATCAAAGGTTATGATACTGGTGTGCTTAGCTGGGTCATGAACTCTGTTCACAAGCAGTACAAAGGAGGAACAGGTAAACACAGACAGCAGTAGAAATTAATGAAGGCTTTTACTCAGGTAATGTGCTAAGTGTCAGCTCAGTGTGGATATGGTTTTAAATTCCACCATTTCTCTAATCTCTGCAAGTAACCAAGCTACACAAATTATCGCCCAAGTTCTTAGGCCCCTCACTGCTGTTTTTATTGGCTAGTCAGGATTATTATTTGCATTAATACATTTTTATTTTGGTTGTTTTTTAATGTACAGTTACATTTATGAACTATTCCCATCTGAATGCTTTGAAACCCAGGCAATTAGAACCCACATTTCTGAAAAAGTGCTGCCTCTTATGGACAGTCTAGGAGCCCTTGGAGCTGACTGCTTTTTTTTATAGCTGTGCCTCCTGCATCTTTTGGAAAGATCATTAAAGATGGAAGTGCTGAATTCACAATATGGAATAATGTGCGGTCCTGTAGTGGAGTATGTTGGGATGTCTCTATAGAACAGAAAGGCTTTGTACACCGTAAGCCATTGTATTAACTTTCCCCTATTGCTCATCACTGCACATCTACCTTTTCGCTTTCCGTGTCTAAGGCAGAGGTAGCTTCATCCAGTAATAAAATTTTAGGATCTCGGATGATGGCCCTCGCTATGGCAATGCGTTGCTTTTGCCCACGAGACAGCTGGGATCCTTGTGCCCCAACATTAGTTTCATATTTCTGAAAAATATACAAAAAGAAGATTTTATTCACTTGTAAGCCAACACAGCAGTACACAGCCTGAAGGAAGAGCAGGAGGAGAGAGGCAAAAATGCTGACCACAGCTGCCTCCTCCTTACAGAAGCCAGGGATGCAGAAACACTGTGCAGTGCTACACTTGTTTGAGGAGAGGTTTCCAAGCCATGCTTTGCCTGCACGTGCTCAGAGGCCCAGGCAGCACAGTGATAAGCCTAGAAGAGAACTGTGATAGCAAGATGCTGGCTGATTTGTCTGAGGCAAAAAGAAATCCCCTGCCCTAGACTCGGGAGAAGACGCTAAGAGTGATTTCAGAGCTTATTTTGTTTAGGTGCCTAAATTGTATCCACACCTTTAATGTTCTTTTGATTTATGTTGATATGATTTCAGTGCATTTAAATACTTCTTAAGTGAACGTAAGCAGCCAGCTTCAAATACTTTTTTCTAAATATCATGCCCTAGTCACAAGGCAAATCTCTTACAGCTGAGAACAGGATTTATATATTTGCCTACTGTGTAAGAAGCCAGTAGCACCTCACAACCACAGTCTCAGGAACACAAGGCATGGTCATGGCACCCTCTTTGCTCCTACAGCTGTAAAAGGACATAATAGGTGTACGTGTGTAGCAACTTTAACTGGGTTTGGAGCAACCCCCACTGCAATGAGCACTGAACAGCCTGTCTGTAGTTCCACAGCCAAGGCCTCGCAGGTACTTACATTAGGCAAGGACATGACAAAATCATGCAGTTGAGCCTTCTGGGCTGCTTCTATGACTTTTTCCATGGTCGCCTCTTTCGTGTTACTGCCATATTTGATATTATCAGCAATGCTGCAGTCAAATAGCACGGGCTCCTGTGACACTATTCCAATTTTTGATCTAAGAAACTGTACATTTATGTTCTTAGAGTCATGTCCATCTATTAACTATAAGGAAATGGGAGAAAACTTGAAACATCATTAGGAAACAATGGCCTGCTACACCCAAATAGTTTATAGCAAAACTAAACGATTGAACTATATTATTAAAATGCAAACACAACTGATTTAAAGTGATTAGAAGAATTGCTTATATTTGTCCTTTGTGCATGATGTGTATTTTGTGTTATGGCTTTCATTCAGCCAAATGCTAGACCATTTGCTCAATATTAAGTTATAGTGAACTATCTAATTGCTTGAGGTTAGGCACATGCTTTATTGCCTTCCTGACACTGAGATCATCACAAGGATTTTTTCCAAAGAAAGAGAAATCAATCTAGATGGGTATTTACATTAGGAAAACATATAAAAGCTTACTAAGCTATCAGTAATCAAGTTAAATCTAGACAAATTCAACCTGCAAAGAGGCTGCATATTTAGGGATGTTCCAGGCTCTTTGTTGCTCCATTTAGACTTGATTTTTGCTTGTACTCCCACAATATACAGCACACATTATATGTTTCATACAGGAGCTACAAAGGCAAAAGCCTATGGGGTACATAATGCATAAGAGTGCACCTGAGGCTTGTAGTTCTCTTATCTTGCCTGAATACATCTGAGATGATATTTGGGAACTGTCCAAACAGTCCATATCTGTTTGAGAAGGAGCCAAAGCCCCAACCTGCACATGTACACGCCACCACTGCTAGGCTGCACAGGAGGACACAGGCAGAAGGCCCCTGGAGCACTGCTGAAAACAACAGCACAGAAACCATGTTTTCTTTGCTTACCACACTTCCTTTGTCAGGGTCATAGAAACGCTCCAGAAGCTGGACACTGGTGCTCTTACCACAACCACTACTTCCAACAAATGCTAAAGTCTGTCCAGGCTTAACAGCGATAGAGAGTCCTTTCAGAACCTGAATATCAGGCCGAGAAGGGTATGTAAATTTACAATTAAGAAATTCAACGCTTCCCTTGAAATCCTCCTGGTGAAAAAAAGAGAGAGAAAGATGTTACAATGACCTAAAGCTCAAAACTGAGAGTTGTAAGGTACAAAATAAGTCTTCCTCAGATACCATTCTGGCATCTCTTGTTTAAAATACGACATTCGTGCTTGTGAAATTAGCTGAGGAAAAGGGATAAAAACCACACTGGAGTAGCTGTCCTAGACATGAAGCTATTAGTCATAACACTACTTCTCTGCTTGTACTTCCCCACATGTCACTGGTCAGAGCCATCAATTGATGGGATTGCCTTGCAAATGGGTAAGTTTTTAATTTTAATACAGACACTCTGTATAAAATAAACAAATTGAATTTTCTGGGTCTGACTTTTCAATTCACCAGAAATTGAGCATTTTCATTTTGTCTGACTCAGTGATGCTTCGCCTCCTCATGAACACCCCCACCAGTTTGATGTGAATGGAAAAAGCCTCCATTGTAAGCCAGTGATAGTCAGGTTTGTGCATGAACTGTAGAGCAGGAAATAAAAACTTGTTATTCTGTGAGTCATCCAAATCTGTTCCATTCCAATGTACAGGTATTTTACATGCCAAATTCCTAATGGCCCACTTTATACTACTCTTGCTGCCTAGTACAGAGCTCACTGCTTCTAAAAGAGCAAAGACAAGTAACAATTATACAGCCAGCATAGCCTTCTTGTAAAGCAGTGATCCTCATTGACTCCTGAATCATTAGTGCAATTTCCATGCTTATATTGAGCTGAATGACATCACAAATTACTCATCTCCACTCTTACCCATTTTTCCCCTTTTTCACTGTAAACACTGATTTTAGGAAGCCGATCGACCAGTTGAAAAAAGCGTGCAGCAGATGTTTTGGCTTTGGCATAGTTTGGGGTATAGGAAGAAGCTTTTCCCAAAGCAGTTCCACTGGTGACTATAGCAGAGATCACCCTGTGGGGAAGGGGGACATGGTCATTCTTGGGAAGCCATCAGGGAACCGAACACTAGACCAAGCCCAGCACTTCTGGAGACCTGTTTGTGGCTCCAAGCAGGCTCTCACCTGAACACAAAGCTGTAATGGAGTCCTTCAGAGTCAACTAGAAACCCCCCGTATCTGTAGGAGACAGAGTTGGCAATGAACACTATGCTCTGGGCAAAGCCAAAGCAGAGCCCATAAACGTGTGCTTTTTTGATTGCAGCTCTATAGGGCATATTCAGGTGCTTCTCAAAATTGTTGATAAACATTTTCTCTTTCCCTATCCCAGCTACTGTCCTGATGTTAGAGACAGCTTCACTGGCAATCTGGAGGAGAAAAAGAAAAAAAACAGGTAAAACCTCCAAATTTTTGCTTGGAAAAAGTTGAGTGTGCTTTCACAAATGCATGATTCTTTCATGAACACAGGACACTATTGCAATATATAAATTCATTCAAACATGATACAGACTGGCCCAAATATCAGCCAGCCTAAAAAGAACCTTTCCTACAAGGAATTATCTACTGACATCCTCAATAGCAATGTTCTGCATGCTCCACTGGAGCTGACTTACTGTAAGTGCACTGAGGGAATCAGGCACATGCTCTCACTTGTGATTTATTTCACATAATGTGAATAAATGCGACATCTGCAAAAGGAAAAATGTTTTTAGGAACACTGTTATTCCTAACATTAGGAAAGGTGAACCAAACTGCTGAGAGATCTGTGTCTACCACTTCAGTCCAATCATTTCTGAAAGGTCAGTCACACTCCATGCAGCAATTGCTTTTGCAGTTAGGGAGTTCCCAACAGCGTTTCAATGGTTTGACAAGCTGAAATATTGCACCTTATTTGCAAAACATTGCCAGTTTACATTTGAATTACTGAGGATCGCAAATGACCGATTTTTCAACTACCCATGACTGCAAATATGAATTAGTCTTTTTAACAGCATTACCCGTCCAGTAGCTTCCAGTGCTTTCTTGTCCTGTGAGGCAAATCCTGTCAGCATTTTAGCCTGCACAGCTCCAGATAAGGCCAAAAATGGCAGGAAACACAATATAACTAAGGTCAGTTTCCAGCTGAAGTAGAAAGAAATGATCATGGCCACACCAATGTTAGTAAAGGAATTGACAATCATTCCTATCTGTGATCCAGTTGCCTTTGAAGAAAAGAAACAGAGATGACTGACTTATACTCCAATAGTAACTTCAACAATCTTAAAATAAATTTTCCTATAAAACTTTAGAAAACTCTAAATTACATTAAAATATCATAAGGCACTAAGAGCTGCTGACTGCACTGAAATTTAGCCAGTTTGGATAGTCTGTTTCCAATTAATTGTATCAAGAGGAAGCCTTCAAATGCTCAATATTCCTTTCATCCACCAAATTTTCCATTGAGAGTTCAGAATATTGTTTCTACTGATTGTGAGAGAGATAATCTAATTATTGAAATTAGTTCCCTTGGTTCCCTGAGGAATCACTCATCTGAATACACTGTTTAGCCCTCACATTTACCATCTATATATAAATAATAAACAGGACCCTTTTGTAACTTAGTTATTAGCAACAAAGCCTCAGCTGTGCTAAAATCAGTAAGAAACATCACTGAAAAAGCATGAAACAAAGCTGTATTTCTGCCTATCTTTCCTTTATTAAGGAAAAATTTTAAATATAGCTTTGACATCACCTTTATTGAATGCATTCATCTCCTTATGCACTTCAACAACACCATTCTTTTTAATAAATTTGATTTGTTTACTACTTTCATAGCAGTAAACAGCAGCCTTAGATAGGAACTATGCTGCTATGTATTAGAATAAAAATGTACATTTGATATCCTTGATGACTTTCAGTCAAATCCATTTGCAGGATGTGAACTTGCAGCACAAAATGCTTTACCATCTGTTCTCTGACCTGCAGCAAGCTCTGTGTCAGTCAGGGAAAGGTGGAGGGCACTGCTGCCCAGGTAGCTCTGTTCCCCCATCCCAAGCTGTGGAGTGGATGGCTGTGCCCCACTGCTCTGCCCACTGCTCTGCATATGCTTTGAACAAAGCTATCCATTAGGAGGCTATTATACAGTTCACTCAGTGTTTTACAGGTTTATTTATTTCAATTAAAATATGCCCTGTAAGTGCCTGTAAGGTTTGCAGCTAGTTTCTCTGATTCTGTAGAAATTGCTGCTGACAAGAGTTTTGGAAACCTCTTCTCTCATTTGTTTTTTAAATTATTAAAACCCCCATTAACAGTTTTTCAAAACTAACCTACCATGTTCAGTCAAACTGAAACAGGACAGTTTTTGTAACAAAGAAATCTGTACATCTCCTTCTTTCTTTCTAGAAAATTGCTTGCGTCGGAGCCAGGTAAAATGGCATCTGACTCACACCTATCAAAGGATCAATCCAGATAGGATATATATATAACAGTTATAGCTCAACATGATTTAACCTTCATCCACTAAGGAACACTATGCATTAAGTTAGTGTTTCATTTTCCCAAATACTGAAACTGGCTGCAGGATTCCTGGCTGGAACATCAGCCAGTACTGCAAACTGTTTTTTCAAGTGGGCTGTCAGTTTAAATTGAAACTTCCACAACATACACAATACCATGCTGAACACTGGAAAACATGGTTAGTGATCAATGTCACTAAAATACTAGTTTGACATGTTTTGGAAATAAACACCGAAGCATTGTGGCAAAAAGCTAATTCATTTCCAGAAAAAAAAAAAAATCCAGACAGGAATAATGGGTCGTAAATTGTGAGCCTATTGGTGCTTTTAGGAAATACCACTATAATAGTTCCACACTGACAGTCTATGATAAATAGAAATAGCTTAATTGTCTGACCAAGGACTGTTCTACATTGACCTGGCTGGTTCCACTCTAGATAATTTCTGTAACAATGTGCCAAAACAGGCCTTCAATCAGTGCTTAACAGTAAAATAATTCATAAGCTACCAGGTCTTACCCCTTGGACCTGTGAGGCATCTGTTGCAAGTCTTGTAGTCAAAGCCCCAGGGCTGTTCTTCCGGTCATCAAACCAGCCAATGTCTTGCCCCAGCATAGCCTGGAAGCCAATTTTCCTTAAGCGCCTTGTAAGCAGCTCACCAGACTTGGCAAAGGTGTATCCCTGGGGTGCATGAGAAAAAATATAAATACTGTAAGAAAGAGATACCCACAGAGTAAGGGTTCAGAAACAAAATTTAAGTATGTTGGACTGCTATTACCTGTAGAAACTGTGTGAAAAATGAAAGAACTCCCACCAAGACAAAGAGCACACAGACACCATTGATCTGGGTATTTTGTTCTTCTTCATCAAGAATGGAGAAGGTCTTTGAAAAAAAAAAAAATGGTGGCATTGTATTAGAAGTGTTAGTTTTTCTGTGTGTGAAGTTTGTTCTTGACTCCCTACTGCCAAGTGCAGAAGCCCACCCTAGAACCAAAGCCAGAACACAGAGCTCTCCCTCATCCACTGCAAAGGCATCATTCCTTATTTTTCTAGGGTGACCCTGGGTTAAAACATAATGGGGTTTTCTCCTGTTGAACAACAAGTTTATTATACTCAGTGTCTGCAAACACTACTATTACTTGTGGCCCATCCTCAGTTATAACTAACCAATCACCACTTACTCTAAACACTGATAACCAGAGAATTGCCATGAAATAAATAGCATAGCAGCAAAGCAACAGTACAGCAGCATCTCACCTCCTCTCCGGTCTATGCCATTGCAACTTTATTGGGCTGTACAAAATAAAGTCTGGGTAAGTAATTACACCTCAGCATGACTTCCTGCACAACATTAACAGACGCTATAATTACCATAAGTAGGCTCCAAGAGGAACCAAGTGTCTTTTACTTCCAGAGTGTGGATACAAGCCATTCACTTACTGCTGGGCACTTGAGAAAAAGCACTAGTGCTTAAATTATAGCCCCTTCACCCCATTCAGCACCAGCCTCCACAGCAGTCTTCTCTCACTCTTAATATCTGTTCTTTTTCAACACTCGCCAATATTATTGGCTGCTGCTGAAGTAGTGGTACAAATCTAAGTAGCCATCCTTTAGCAATTCCTTTCAGTCAGAGCAGTTGATATGTAGGTCAGTGTATCTATCTGAAGCTGTTTATCTGAACTATTTCTGCTTGTTGCAGTCAGAGCATATCTTCTGGTTGAGTTTCACTGGAAAGGATCCATTTCCCATACTTTGAGACAATTCCACAAGGAGAACGAAAGCACAAGTAAGAAGAAACTACTGAGAAATTTGTTCAAAAGGTACATATCCAGGATTATCCACTTCTTCACTGACTTTTGGGATTAATTTCTGAAAACTTTTAGGGCAGACTCAGCTTAATGTATCCTTCTACTTAATAGCTGTGGGGATTCCCCAGCCTATTTGTCCCAGAGTACAAGTCCACATGTTTGACACAACAACATTGCAGATATTCAGACAGATTTAAAAGCAGATGCATATTCCATCTGCCTGACTGCCTTGACACCGGGCAGAAATATTTTAAATTTATTAATAATAAAACACAGATGTTGGACTTTGCTTGTGTTCGCCATGGATTGCTTTTTCTTGCAGCCTTTCTCGTTCTCTGCTTCAGAGCTAAAATGCACATTAAAATGTTACTATAACATACCCCAAGAATCTGACTGAATAACAAAGCATAGAGTGGATTGACTGCTCCATTCATAGCTGCTGCCAGAGATCCAAGCACCAGGTATGGCCATTCAGAGGCATTGTATTTCAAAATTCTGGTAAATGATACAGGCCTGGCGTCTTCCTCCACAACGGATTCCTAAAAAACAGGTTGGATTCATGAAGTGAATGCATTCCCCCAGTGATGCTCTCCCTTTGACAGTGAGATCAAATAGTTAGCCTAGTTTGTTAAATGACCATCTCATGCCCAAACAGCTGCTCTAGCTTTGTACAGGAGGGGGAAAGTCAGCTGCTCTCTGGAGTTCTTTTGTAGGCCTGATGAGTCACAAGAGGGTTACATAAATGACTACCTTTACTGTCTCTGGAGAAAAAGAGAGATTCATGCCTTGTGGAGCTCTAATGATTCCAACTGAAGAGGTTATTTGCAACCAGTTTAAGATATTCTGCCACTGAAACTCAGGATGTTTCCTTCTATCTACCTCCAGATGAGGTGTGGTGCAAAACCTAAACTTCTTCCTCACAAGCAGCTTTTTGTGTCACTCATTAAATCTTCTTAAATATTACTTTTTAAGTATTGTGGATGAACACACTGATCAGACTCTGCATCAAATTAAGAGGTATGTGATATAATTAAAACGAGAGATCTCACAGTGATAGCTGGATTCAGGCTTTATACACGCTAAGTATGACTCCCTTCTGTGAAACATCCTCAGACTATATGTTGAATTCCCATAATTATGCCCAGTAAATGCAGAATATTCATCATCAAATTATAACTTGTCCTGCAGTTTGATATTTGCAGAATTTTTGTAACACGTGCTCAGCCCTGCTCATGTCCCTCAGTTCATATGACTAGAAATGCCCAGACAAAAGAGACACTGTGAAGACATCTCTGTTGGAAAGGAGGTAAGGAGGAGTGGGTGGAAGCAAGTATCTTGTATTTTCTCTTGCTTCTGAGCTAGTGACACAGTGACAGCACTAAAGCACTCTATTTATCCACAGAATTGGCTTAGCAATAGCAAGAAGAGTGACTTCCCACTGCTGCTCTCTGTAATGAACAACCACAGCCACGAAAATTAGTGCAGAGAGCTTCATAAGCAATTTGGAAACCCACTGTGTATATTCCTACATATTCTGTGTAATTTTAAGGCCTGCTGCCTTCATTTTCTATGCCAGCTGATTGCAGGAGGACACTGACAGCAAAAGGACTCTGGGTTAGTTGCAGTGAGGGGGTCTCTCTGCTCAAGTCTCTGGATGATTTTGAGATGAAAGTGAATTTACTCTTTATTGAACAAGAAGCAGTGCCATTTGTATCACTGAGTGGCTATTACATTTCACAGACTGAGCAGTTTGCTTTTTGTCAGTTAATTCAGCTTTTATGAATATGTTTCTCAACTAAATCTACAACATGTATCAATTTACCAATAAGTCATGCTCTGCTGGAAATTTTGTATGGACCAATAAGCATAACAGACATCAAAATGCAGCCTAGGGTTTACACAGAAATAAGAATTGAAGCTGTGGTTTTGTTTAAGCAGAGAAGAGGATCAAGCCAAGAAAACATACCCACCATCAACTCCTACAACACAGACACCTATCTATAGGTGATCATTACCAAGGGATATAATCTGATTGGTTGAAGATTTCCTAACAAGCTATTGAACCTGACCTTTCTTGCTTTTCCGTCATCTTCTCCATAAGAAGACGTAAGATACGTAGACTCTGCATGATCTCCTCCTATAGATAATGGAGGCTCAGGGACCATATTAGAGAGCTGAGATCTCGAGCGCTCCCGAAGTGAAGCTCTGCAAAGAGGACACAAATAGTCTGTTCTTCACAGCTCAGTAACACAATACTTGCTTGCAAAGCAGGTACAGTTTTTATATCAACTAAATCAGGATGCACTGAAGTAATTAGTCAGAATCCCACACACCTTTTCTTTCTTTTCTATGGTCTTTCAACTTCTTGAGGAAAAAATATCTCACAACAGGGGCAAATACTTTTCAAAATCATATTCCACTCACACCACTCAGACATTGTCTTAGATATACCACGCACTCTGTATTTGTTGAGTAAAATTGCAGTGTGTCCTACTATATTTGCACAAGTTAAGACACCAATTCAAACCATCATTACCACTACCAGTAATTCAGTCCAGAAAAACAGGATGTTGAAACAACTCATCTCTACCTCTGATAAAACATAACTCTGTAATGTAGGACATGTATTCATTTGCATATGTCTGACATGGGCTTGCCTAAAAGAAATAATAAGTGTCTAACTACAAGGCAGTCTGGCTTATAAAATGCTTTAACTTCCATCAAGCAGAAGCCATAATAAAAATGTCCCTGTAGATTGCATTGATTTACCAAGTAATTGCACAGCAAGTCATTTTTCAAGGGACTGGACTGCAACTGCATTAGATGTTACAAATGTGGCTGTATGTTAGCAATAATAAAAACAGAACATTACCACAGTAAATCAAAATTGGAGAGAAAGTACTATGGATAGAAAGAGGAGCAAAATTAAGAGCCTTGCTATTTATCCATGGACTTCAATCAGTAACATTAATACTCAAGCTATTTCTTTCCAAATGAACTCTGTCTCAGTAAAATGCTTGCAGTCCTTCAACCCTCTTTTACGCAGCATACAGAAAAGTCATTTATTAGCACTACTGGTATTTTGGAAGAGCAGGATGAAGCATAGAGATGTGGAAACACATTGAGATTTACAACCATTTTTAAGACTCACCTCAAACTGGCCCGATAGCTTCCTCTGCTGAATGACTGGACTTTCTCAAGAGTTGGCTCAACCACATCATCCTCTGCTGCTGCAAAATATAGTATATAGAGCTCTCCAGTTAGTGCTAAAATTGAATACAACCTAACTTCACTGTGGCTCTACAAAAAAGTGTCTCCAAGTCATAAATGGAATACCTTGTAGAAGGCAAAGAATGTAATACAACCATGCTACTCAACCTACATGTATCACAAGGTTTATATTTGTATTCGACAGGATGAATTTAACTAAATTTTAGCCCAAGGACCATCTCACTTGAGATGTGACTGCCAAAGGCTTTTTCGCTGTTTGAACTCCGTAATTTCTCTCTTATTTTAAGATAATCATATCCAATGTATGACATTTCACAAAAATACAAGAGATCATTCTATTAGACCTTAATTTCCAGAAGCTTTGATTCAAATCTGCATCTAGCAAAACAAATAGAGTGGTTTCAGCATACTCTGTAATTTGCTTGAATTTCAAATGCAGCAGGACTGGACTTTTGGCACACAATGGAACTATAAAATGATGGGTATTGAAGGTCAGGACTATTTCAGGGTAGATCTATATTAGGAAGGTCATTCAGTGCATATGCAGCAAAAACACTTTGGCCAGGACTATCAATGTGTTACTTCTATGAATGATAAAATTCAGCCATAAAAGTAGAAGAAAAAAAAAGAAACAACTAGTCCTTACTAAAAAAAGTACTTAAAATATCTGGATTTTTACCTAATTCGATAAAAGAAAACAAAATATTTACTTTCTGTTTCTTCTGTAGTAGGTGCTGGGTCTCCTTTGCTTTGCAAGGTCACCAACATGAAATAAACCCCTTTCCTCTTCAAGAGTTCCTCATGAGTTCCTCGCTCTACAGCCCTTCCGTGCTCAAACCCCACGATGACATCGGCGGCTTTGACGGTTGACAGGCGGTGAGCTATCGAGATCGCTGTGCGGCCAAGGCGAGCCTGGCAGGAAACACAGCACATGGAAATGCTTGGAACCTGAGCCGTGGAATCTAATGTCTAGTCAAATTAACAGGAGTAGTTCCAGCTGACTTTGACTTAAGCTCCATCCATAGCCCACAGAGCAGAGCTATAGATTTCTGTTAATGTCCCAAAGTAAGCAAAAATAATTCTCTGTCAATAATATCAAGGTTCTACTTGTGCATACGAAACAGTTATTAAGCAGAGCTTCTCACTTATTTGTTGAAATTCAGCAACACTCTCTGCAGAGTACGTTAAAAATAATTTCTGTCCTTTAAAGTCCAATTTTTGCTATACTATAGCAAACCTTATGAAGTGCTTCTTGGACAATAGCTTCACTTTCATTATCAAGTGCTGACGTAGCCATATCCAGTAGCAGGATTTTGGGGTTTCGCACCAAAGCTCGAGCAATAGCTATCCTCTGTTTTTGACCTCCACTCATCTGGCTTCCACCCTCTCCAACGTGAGTGTCAAATTTCTGTGTGAAGGAGAAAGGTGAAAATGAAACAGATAACCAAAAAGTCTGTTAAGCTTCTGGTGAAGATATTGGTAAAATGTCCCTCAGATTTCTCCTTGGAGTAGACTTTAAAAAAATTATTGTCTTTGAAAGACAAAACCATTGTTAGCGCAGCATATTCAAAGGACAACTGGTGAAATAATTTTCTTCATAACGTACAACATCATTTTGCCTGAACTGAGCTTCCAAACCCAAGCCAAAAGTATGCACTGGTAAAAAGGTGAAATGTTCTGGTTTAATTCAAAACAACTATATGAGCAAAAGCTGAAATGGAGAGGAATCACCCACCCACTTTCCCTCAGATGACTCAGAAGCAAACTTTTCACAAAGCTGGATTTGGCTGCTGATGACCTGTGACTCATGGACACTGTGTCTGTGATTCATGGACATCACATTCTGGTGGTATTGGGTTCAGGTAGTGAATTAAACAAACATGTAAAGCCTGGCATATTGAGAGACAGGATAATTATATTTACCTAGAGCTAAATCCTCCATTTCCAGGAAATAAACATGGGCCTTTAAAGAGCCTTTCTATGAATAGTTTCCTGGAAGCCTGGAGATGCATAGATGGAGGATAAAAAGTATGTACTGACTGTTAATGGTACTTGAATCCCATCAATAACATTCACTGTTGTATCATGTCATTCTGAGAAGTTACTTGGCAAAATAATAATCTAGAAAAGTAGACAGCCCAGTACTATTCAATATGGGCTTTGTAAGGAGGAATTATTGAAGCCCTGTCATCATAAGAGAAGGAACTGGAGAAGAGGGAACCTCCAGCTAGTTTACAAAGCTTGTACAAGATTAGGTTGTGAGCATCAGTACAGACTACTTCTACAACATATGCTGGCTACTGAGAGGCTGGGCTCTACATTGCTTTTGGCCTGAGCAGAAACAAATCTACATACCATGAAAAATACATATTTTTAAATCGTGCTATGATTATTGCCATGATATTGAGTGTTGTGCATATGATTCCTGAGGAACTAATCCTGCTCGAGGCTTTTTTTTTGGGGGGGAGGGTTGCTGTTTGTTGGGTTTTTAACTTGAAGACATGCATATAATAAGACCTAATTAACTGCAGTCAAAGGAAAGGTTGCTGCCTACTATGTATATTAATCTTCTGCCCTTCCACCTGAGCACAAATTGCTGCAGAGGGGGAGGGACAAAAGGATTCTCTATTTTTTCATCAAATTGTGCCAAACACTTTACAAGGCAGAGCATACCTGTGGTAAGTCCATGATGAAATTGTAAGCATTGGCCTGTTTGGCTGCTTTGATTATGTCTTCCATGGTAGCCTCATCCCGCCCATAGCGAATGTTCTCTGCAATCGTGGTGGCGAAGAGCACTGGCTCTTGTTCAACAATGCCAATCTGTGAGCGCAGCCACTGGATATTCAGGGAACGAATGTCATGGCCATCCAGGGTAATCTACAGAAGCCAATTAAAACACAGACACAAATTTAAGAAAAAAAGTCAGGGAAATTATCCCCTCCAGTTCAGAGACAAAGAAAGACACACTGGATATGAAGGGCTTGTGATGCTTTGTTTCCACGACCTGCATAAAAATCAGCTTGCATACACAGAAGAGGGCAATACAGTGTCAGTAGCATTGGCTCTAGGAGTTGTGCTCTTTGATTTCATTTCCATTTTTGCTTGGCCTCAGAAATAAAACCAGGTGAAAAGTAATCATGAAAGTGATCATTATAAGTTTACAAAAAATCAGTTCTTTGTCTTTTATACATTTAAATAAAAGAAATGCACAGGAGGATATTTTGCTCATTTAAAAAATAAATTTTTAAAAAAGAAGGAAACAAAAAGGGAGTTAGGAGTCTTCCTTTCCACCTTGGAGAAGAAACCATGCTATTCTCTCAAGTTCCTAAGGCTGGAGAAACACATTCCAGGCTGGTACACTCACCATGCCTTCAGTGGGGTCATAGAAACGCTGGATGAGCTGCATCGTTGTACTTTTCCCAGCTCCACTAGCTCCAACAAAAGCTGTTGTCTCCCCTGCTTTAATAACCATATTAAGGTTATCCAAAATCTAGAGAGGAAAAAAAACAGAAACAGAATCTATCCATTCTAATTCTTTCACAGTCATACAACCAAATGAGTATACTCTGTATCTTCAAAGGGAGATTCAAAGCAATTTTACAAAATTCAGAACAGTATTATAAAGAAAGAGGATAAAGCAACCCACATATTTTTACATTGCTTGAAGAGTTTGTAAATGCAGAGCACTTATTTACACAACAGGGAAGCAGATTTACATCTTTTTTTGTTACTGTTGTTCAGCATTAAGAACTAGTCAAGTTAATACCACCAGAGAACTTGGCAGTAAATTCCCTTTAAAGAACACCGCGTGTGTACTCTGAGGGCCTGGTAAAGCATAAATATTAAGAATGTCAGACTGAGATTCTGTAGAAAAATCTGATACTTCATGTACTTCTCTCTCTAGAAGCAATAGCACTCATTTTCTTGTCCAATAATATGCTTTTCCAAGGAGAATTTGTCAATTCACACACAGCAATAGAGAAATTATGGGGTATACAGTCAATGTTCCTGTACCTTTCTTAGCATTTTAATGGGTCACATGGCACATCCCCAGGATAATTGAAGAGTTTTATAAAATCTCCTTGCACCATTCAGCTTTTTACTTTGTGTTCTATTCTAGCAAACATTGATACAAATGCATAATTGATTGTAAAAGAAGCTGTACACAAGTGAATTTGTCTGAAATTACTAGGAGTTTATGTTCAGCAGCAAGGAATATGTTGATGTGGCAAGGGATATATCAGAATGGTAAAATAAGCGGAATGGTAAGGAGAAGAACCCTTTAATAGAAGAATTATTCAGTTGACTTTTAAACAAAGGATCTGGGCTTCTAGAAAATGACCTCTACTGAAAATCTAGAAATTGCAGGCAGAATCGGGATATTTTGATTGTTTCCAATAATTGTGTTCACAGGATGGATGATGAATAGTTACCTTTATGTCTGGTCTGGAGGGATAATGAAATGTTACATTATGAAATTCAATTTCACCTCGTACTTTATCCAGCTTGTAGCCATCTTCTGACATGCAGTCAATGGTGGGTTTCTAGGATAAAATTTATTATGTTATTTATTTGCTGTTAAATAGACAACAGTGCTGCAGTATATAAATATTCCCAATACCATACAAAGCCATAGCACTTCTGTTTGAACAGCATTTGGTTGCATAGAGCCAGCTGCAGGCTCTGCCCCAGGGACAGCAGGCAAGGGGCATGAGATTGAGAGCCAGAGTGATGGGGGAGTTGTCCCCAGTGGATAGTATAGGCAAGAAGGATGCATCCTCTTCTCATTTTAGGCTGACTGCAAATACCACAGTCAACCACTCAGCTAGGTTTTGCTGGAACAGAGTAGCTGACTGAGCGAGGCATTTTGATTAAGTTAATTTAGCCAGCTCCTCAGGAATAAAATGGCACTAACCCTGTTCATATAAACATTCTCTCAAAGCACCCGACAACCAATTCATTGCTGAAAATCTGCACACCTCACCACTCTTCATCTAAACATCATCCTAGCACACTCTGTCCTAAGAGCTGGAATACTGAAGTTTTCCTGTGAAGTACTTTGGGTCTCACATACCTTTGGCAAGGCCTTGGGTATTGCAGACTGCTAGACACAAGCAGAGAACTAAGAGGACTTTGAGGAATTACAAAGAAATAAAATTTTCTAAGGGCAGACTTCTGAAGCATGGAATACAGAGAATGAATGAAAACTACAGCAACACCAATATTTGATAATTGAAATGTGCATGATTTTTTAAATGGCCTAACAGATTGAAGGGAATGTTAATACGAGAAATGTGTATGCTCTAAGATGTTAAGAACAGCTAGAAGATTGGTTCCTCTTAAGGAATATATCATACTTAAATTCAGATACTAAGCTATAAAGTAAAGTTTCACCGATCCTGCAAATGGGAACCTCAGCATGACTGTAAATTTAGTGCCAGAAAAAATCTGTATCAGGGCAGAGCTGTGCTTGTACTGTCTAATCACAAACCTACAAATGCGCCAAGCAGGTGGATCTAATTTTGTCACTCTTTCTCTAGACAGATGAAATCTCACTTTGGTTTGCTTTTTTTACCCTAAGGTTATCTGACTCAGCCTTATCTTGAATTCTACTGTTGCAATTCTTTATGCTTTTGATTTTTTTCTCTGAAAATCAGTAACCTTATTTATCTCTTTTTCAGTTTATCTTAGAGTTTTAGCTTATGAAAAGCATTTATAAGGCATGTTTTATTGTTATTACAGAAATTTGAAAGGTTACTAAAAAATCTATTATCATTACCACTGCCCCTCTAGTCCACTTTATACACCCTTATGTGCTCTGTAAAAGACAAGCAGCATTCTAATGTGTTTACAGTTTTTAACACGATAAAGCGTCTCAATGAACAGAGATACTACCTACTATTAAGAAATCAACAGCACTTTTCCAACAACTAAATTTATAAAGCTATAGAAAGGAATCCCCATCAATAAATGCCAATGGAGTCTCAGGCTCTCTCATACTACCTTATTTCAAGTATCTGTCTTGATAATATTGTGATCAACGTTTATGATTGCTGCATGACCAGGGCCTGTGCCTGTGCTCATTTGGGTAGCTCTGGGACAGGTGACAGAGGCCACCCTTGCCACTAATGCCAATAGTCACACCTTTTGATGCCATCTAGAGGCTGGGAGCTAGATGCTTGCTGCAAGTTTGATTGCAAAGTGACCATTACTGCCTGCCTACACTTTCCATCTGCCAGCACCGATAAGTAATTGTATGGCATGAGAAATAGGAATGAAGAACATCAGTAATTGAGGTAAAAATTCATTATTCAGAAGCAGGCCACTTAAGAAATCTGTTCAACACGTTTTTTGAGCCTATGCACATGCCACTAGACCTTTCTACTGGACAATCAATTTTTCTTTAATTGGATTAATTTTTCCTTATTTTACACAGTAGATAGAACTAGTACCACCTCAGGCTTATTTAATTATTTTTCCACTACAAAATAACATAGCTTAGAAATGCATTACTTACTTTATCTATTGTCTCAAAAATGTCTGCTGCAGCCCCACGACCGGTGGCAAAGGCTTCCAGACAGGGAGATGCCTGGCCAAGATTTAATGCTCCTACTAAAACACCAAAGAAAACCTGAAGAAGTGGAAAAAGAAATTAACAAAATACGACATTACATTTTTGTTATAATTTATAGTTTAGACATGCAAACCAAACTATAGTGGCTTGATGACTTCTCATGCATCTGCTGAATTGTGGTGATTCACTATATGAGCATTATCAGCCAACAAGAAAGCAAACAAATGCATTTTAGAAGGTATTTTCACTATTTTTCACAACTTTTTTTGAGGCCGAAGCAAATTACCCTATCTTATATTTGCCCTGTCCTAACAAATCATGCATCCAGGTATTCACTGACATGCCAGTGATGTATTTTTAAGCCATCTCAGTTTGACTGGGTGCCTGTTCCTTGAAACATGGACTGGAACTGAACATCGGTGGGAAGCAGATTATTTTGGGAATGTCTTTTACCAGTAAGCAAAAAGAGAAAGAAGCTTAAAACATTGTATTATGTATGCAGTTTTTTATGCATGTATTATACAAACTGCAGTTTGTATACTGCAGTTCCTGTCTCATCCAATGCTCAAAAAACTTACTTCTGGAGGAGGTACCAGCTGCAAAGAATACTTTTTTCTCTATGTCATGAAGAAATGAACTGTAAGGATTGCTACCAACACTGAATAAGCCACATTCTGAGGTGAGATTATTCTATCAGTGCAGGTGGACAGTTTCTGCAGGTAGCACACACCCAATGTGCTCACTGTTTCAAGTCCTTTTCTAAGAACCAAAAGGAAGAGTTACTAATGACCTCTTCTGAAAGCCCCAGGATCCCCTTTTTACCTAAGCCTAGGACAACACGAGAGAAAATGAGCCTCAGCATCCACTCTTCCTGGAAAGACTGGCAGACAATAAAGGCAGCTGAACAGAGTATCAAGTATCAGAGGACACTTCAGTTCAAGAATTCACACAGCTTGGTGTCTGGCCTTGCAGATCAGAAGCAAGTGAAGCTGTAGCATATCAACCAAAATACCAAAAATGTTTGTTCAAAATTTCCTAAGAGCTGCCAATGCTTCATTTCCTACAAAGAAGTTTTTATCAAGGTTCTTAAATGTAGAAAGGAATTGTCTAAGACTGAAAATGCTGGCAATTCTGATATGAGAGAGGATCTTCAAAGAACAGGACACTGGAAGATAGTGAACATGAAAAGGTGAAGGCTTATTTACCACTTATACACCACATATGCAAATATATTCAATATGTTCCTACAACAAGGAGTGAACTGCACTATATAGTAAGTATAGTTTATTTTTCCCAGTGCTACCATGTCAGAGCATGATTTTGAACAGTTTTTGAAATATTTTTTCCTAGAATTTACTCTGCTTTATTTCTTCTTAGTTTTTCAGTTACAGAGGTGGTTTGGCAGAACAGATTATAAATGTTTGGACAACGTCTTTGGTGCAGGCTTTTGGTCCATTTTCTTGCTTTGTTGTGGCTGATAGTTTGGACATTCACCCTGCACATTAGGAAATATGTAATGTAATGTATAATATGCAATCCTTTGCTCTAGTTTGACCTGGGAATTCTGCTAAGAAGCAATCAAGGACTCAGTTGGCCTTTAGGATGCAACACAAACGGTAGTCAGGATAAATGGGGCAAAGTGTATAAGGAAACACTACTGCTGAGAAAGAAATAGCAGTACACAGGACTCAGTTCTCCTGTTTACTGAGGATACCTATAGCTAAAGTGGAGGACTCTACTGTACACTATGTACTGCAAATATCTACACTGGGATGTACAGATTATGCCATAAATTCATACTCAGCTTTACTACTAAGTAATTTTTTTGTGTGAATGAGTCCCAAAGCAAGTAGGTTTTATGCATGTCAGAGTCCACCATGAACATAAGGGAGCAGGTTCTGTACATCTGACAGAAGAGGAAAGGAAGGCAATACTTAGTGTATCTGAATGCAGTATGACTGGTGGACAACACTTTTTGAGAAATCAGGAAAAGTATATTTATATGTTTTGTATCTACACATCCTTCCCTCCTGCACCCTATCAGACTAGGAGTGTATGGTAGAAAACATCAAATAGAAAATAGATGACTGGAAACTCAGAGGAAGGGGAGCAGAAGGGCGAGTCTCTCCACTGACAGCTACAATTTTTCAGCTACAGGGTAGCTCCCCACTGTTTGCCATTTGTCATTTGGAAGCACTGAACACCAGTTATCATGTGCAAGACAAGGAAATTGCTCACTTTGTTTTTCACAGCATTACCTCGTATCAACTACTCGTGTCAAGAGCAGGTGCAAACGATTTCCTGTGAGGGACATCCTGCTTGAACAGAATTACTCAAGTTAACAATGTTCTCAGAGTAATTTGCCAAACTCTTAGCAGGAAGCTTTGCACTGCGTGCTGCTGGTGGTTGAGAGCTGCGCAAGAGGCAGAGAAGGAGAGAAAATAGATGTCTCATCGGAATACCCAGGACTTACCAAAGTTCAGGAAAAGTTTGCTGTGGGTTTAGACTGGAGTCTGCCATTTGGGCAGTCCTAGCTCAAAGCAAATAACTAAAATATCTGTGGATGTTGGTTTTGTTGCATTTAGTCCATCAGTGGCTAGAGCATCTGCTGTGCAGAAATGGATGCACTAATGCCATGGTTTTTTACATACACTGCAGGAGCCACAGCCATGCGTGTTGTTATCCACATACATGTTTACATGTCCTTTGTAACAACAAAGCAACAGAAATTTTTTTTTCAAAGGAACAGAAAGTGTTCAAGAGAGAGAGGTTAGATTTGACAAAACTTTCTTTGCTTATGTTTCTTTTTATCACAAAGGGTTTTTTATTACAAAGTTCTTCAGAGAAGCCAGCATCCCAGAAGCCACATGCTGACTCAGAAAATGGGAAAGCTAGTTTCAGGCCTCTGACAATTGTGTAGTGGGCTCTCAAATGAAAGCATTATTCTGATCACAATAGGTAGTATTTAAAATCTTTAAAATAAACATGGATTTTTTTTTTAAATCTTATCCAATTGTGTCATATACTTTCATACGTATATTGAGTAATGATCTTTAAAAGATATACATAGTGTTTGTTACCACTGAGTCACCAGATACCAGAACACTACAAATATGTGTTTCAGAGTTACTATTTTAAAGAACAGTCCAGAAAAGTTGCATGAAGCTAAAATGGGTACCTGCAGAAGAGTGCCAGGTGAATACTCTTCTTCTTCAAGGACAAGTTTAGAACCATACCAAAAGGCTAATGCATAACTTAGGAAAATTATACACCACATGTAACCAGTGAATAATCCCATTATTATTCCTTTTCGAATTCCCCAGTGCTGAGCAAACACCAGATTCTTATCATATCTGTAGAAAGAGAGAAAAATAAAAGGGAATTAATTTGACAGAAATTTCAAAATGAGTAAAGACCAACAAAATGAGGCATCTTTGGCGACAGCAGAGTGTACACATAAGGTTGATACAGAATCAGTCTGAAGTGAGAGATCACAGCTGAAACCAGCAATGCTCCCAAATCATGAAATCCTTGTATGTTCTAAGTGTAACAAGCACAAGAAAAGCCACACTCATTGCAGATACCTCACCAGGGGATTTGGAACTTTAGCAGAGTAATACAGGATTTGACAATTCAGCCAACACTTCAGAGCACATCCTACAGTCATGTTATGCTTTCACAGAATTTAAGAGAAATTTGCAGTTTAACATCATCAAATCATGTCTTGCTGAAACTAGTTCTCTTACTTAGCTTGGAAGTACCTAAATTTTTCAGATGTGCTGTGAAAGTGATATATCAGACAATGTTTAGGGGAAAATTTGACAGTATGTTCTTACAAGTAGGAATGAATTGAAGGGAGCATTGCTGACGTTTTATTTCACAGATAAACTGAGTTATCAAACTAATCTTTCAAATGTTACTTGAAACCTAAATTTCTGAAACATAACATGCATATGCATCTCAAAGCTAACAGATAGCCATAGCTGTAGAATATAGAGAATATAATGGGCGTGAATCTGACATGCATTACAGCATTTCATTACTTCAGGAGGAAAAACATCAGAGATCTTGCAGTTTGTTCAAACAAACCTTTCAACTTCTTTCTTCTCCCCACCAAAAGCAGCCACTGTTCTGATGGATGAGAGCACTTCATCAGCCACAGCTCCAGCTTTTGCATAAGCCTTTAATTCTCGTCCTGTTAGTTTTGCCACAGCCTACAAAAGCATGAGAAGTGCTGGTTACACCTGAACTGCAGGTACAGAGAAGGTCAGTGATAAGCAGTGGTGGCTGCCACACTGTGCTGTCTGCTCTGCACAAGGTCACCTCCTGCACTCCAAGCAGGCTTTTATTAGGCACGCTGCACACTCGAACACTCGTGTCTTCTAGTACTAGGGCACATACCTTTGTAGCATAGGTTTTGCAACAGCTCTCTGCCCCAGGTAGCTAGAAAAAGCAGCTGGCAACACCTGCTTTCCCTCCCTGCCTCTCTCTCTGCTGCTAACTGTGTTTAAGCAGATTGCAGACTCAGGGTTTGTGCATAGGGGGAGGAAGGGGGAGCTTAAGTGGCCCTTCAGCCACTGTGGCAGATCCTAGCTTCAGAAAGAAGAGGTAACTGTAGTGATGGGGAGGATGGAAACAGATGTTGCCCAAAACTGTGCTTCGTTTCTCGGGCTGACAGCAAGCAGGCTCCTGCACAGCAGCCCAGAGCACACTGGATGCCAAAAGCTTACTTAAACTCAAAAAAATGGATGAAAATGTAGTCATGTACAATTCTACACAAAGATACCACACTGGCTTGAGAATGAGATAACATTAGAAAGTGTAAAGTGTCATTATTTACTTTCCCCCTTCCAATACCCTACTCCATGCACCTATTAGCCACTTTTGGAGATAAACCAGTCTAGATTAACCTTGGGTCTGTTTTCATCATGGTAAAAAACAAAGACTTGGTCTGGAAAGGCTGGTAAGGAGGAAACACTTAGGTCTGTGAAAGGAAAGAGATGGGTACAGAGAATTAACAGTGGAAAGGGGGAAAATTACAGACATAAAGGGGAATGAGCTCGGAAAGGTATTGCAAATGAAGGAAAAGCATTTGGGGTTTTTTTTCATTCCCTGCCAGGATTCTGCTCTCCCACTTCACACTGAGTCATTATTCATGTCATCTACTTGCAGCCAGCACAAGATGCTAAAGGAGAGCTGGAAGACAAGACATTAGTCAAGGTTATATTAGAGGTTTGATAGAAAAATGATAGCAAGCTCTTCCTGAAGCAAAAGAAATTAGATTCCCAGAGGGCTGAGCCCAACAAGAATGCAAAGGAGGAGCAGGAACTACCCAGCCCTGATGGGTGTGGTAGAGGAGGTGAGAGGGCAGTTTCCCTTTTCCCTGTCCTTTTTCTGCACAGTAACAGGAAGTTTGTAGGAAGTGGATGGAGAAGCAGAACAGGAACAACAGGGAGAGGGTGCAGCAGCTTCCAGGAGCAAGGACAGCTTGAGGTAATTTTGAGCAGTTATTTTCAACTATTTTAAGTTTCTGAAAATTGATCGTTCTCAAAAGCTGCCAATTTACATAGAGAAATCAAGTCCCATGTCTTGTAACCATCTAAACCAGTAATAGAGAGAAGGTAAAGGCCAGATTCTGATCTCAGCAATGATAACATCTATCCACAGGACCCACAAGAAGGTGTGCTTATACTCCCATCTTAGAAGCAGAATATGTCATTCTGGAAAAGCAACAGTGGGAGCAAAGCCCACCTCCCCTCCACACACCCTTTCCTTCCCCTCCTGTCCAGTGCTGCTGTGACCATAATCTGCCTCTCTTGACTTTAAAGGGGTGTAATAGACTTTACCAATCCTCACAGCTCCATGGCATGATCTTCCCTGCCTATCGTTCCTCAAAATGAACCTTTCACAATTCACTTACCAAGCCATAGATAGCCGCTCCAATCCCAAGCAAAGGGCTGACTGCAATGATAACCAAGGTCAATTTCCAGCCACTGACAAATCCCAGTAGGAATCCACACACAAAAGTGGTTATGCGCTGGATAAAGATTGCTGCTTGGTCAGCAATAGCCTCATTAATTTTGTTAACATCACTGGAAAAAATAAAACAACAACAAAAATCAACAGACAATTGGTGAGCATACCTTTTGTTTGTGTTACAGGTCCTGGCCGCATTTGGCTTAGTTGCTTTTCCCTGGAGAGGGCCCTTCCTCATCCCTATTCTTTCACCATCAACCCTTACAAAGACCCTGGGCTACAGTGAGAAAGCCTTTGCAATGGCAGAAGGCTTTTAGACATGAATACTGCAGAGGTGATGGCATCCTTTCCCAAGAAAAGTTGCCCTGACAGCTGACTTATTCACTAGCTGGTTCTTACTACTCTGCCCACGCTGATTCGAAGGACAGGGCAGAGACATCCCAGCTGGATAATGGAAAAACAGCATAGCTGATATAGCATTCCTCACATCATGGGGCACTGAGAATGTACCATATCACCTTGCCAAGCAGACAGGAAAGGGGAAGAGGGCTCTAACTCTCTTCTAGTTACACCTTCCACCACCTCCCAGTTCCTCCCTCCATTCTGTAAGGTAGTTTATTCTCTAAATGAGAGAGTGGGAAAATCAAGGAGGGCTACTTTAACATTGGAGGCAGTGGGAAAACATGACAGTTCTATCACATGGAGGATAGTGGTGCAGCAGTTGGTATCATTCAACTCCTAGGCAGCTGCAGAGTTCATTTGTTCTCTCTTAGGCATTGCCAATACAGAAAAAACGTATTCAAGCAAAACACTCTTGGCTACTACCTCATCTCTGAGATTAGAAGAACTAGGAACTCCTGGAATAAACAGTAGCTCAGTACTACTGAGATTTAAAGTGCAAAGTTGTAAGCTCATTGATACATCAAGTGAAAATATAGTCCACTGTTGAAAAATGTAAGAGTGTTGAGTAGAAGAATCATGTTTGTATTTCTTCTGGCAAATGGTTTTGCAGTCAAGAAGCTTTCTGCAGGTCACAGGACAATGTTGTTCAAAACCAAGGGAACTGCGTTATTTATTAGACAAATACATGCTTAGTTCCTACTTTTTCTGAAGAAATTCTTCACAGCAACATAAGCTTGCCATTTATTCTTCACGAAAAGAACACCACAGAAAGTAATAGATACCGGTGAGTAAAGGCAAATAAAATCCCCTTCAGCTACAGAAAAATCTTCTGCAAATGTGACTATTATGCAGGCACAACTGAGAAGAGCCATCTACAGTCGGCATATCCACCCCGCAGCTGCCTGCAGCCTGTAAACAGGAACTACTAAGGAGCAAGCCTTTAACTCTGGCTAAATGCTTACCCAGGATGAGATGGTTTCTCCAACTGCCTTGTGTCCATATCTAAAGATAAGAGCTTGTATCTTCTTTAGCAGAAGATTAAGCAAGGCTCACTCTTTCCTTTTAAAATCCAACAAAAGCAAAGTCATGCCCCTAATGTGATTTTCCTTTCTGAGAAGTGAGAGAGGGTTCAGATCAATGTCTTCAGACTCAGGGAGTGTGCACTGACAGCCAAATTATAGATCATTCTGAAAGGATTGGGCACAGATGGAGAAGGCAGGAGAAGACAAACAGGAAAAAAAAACCCTACCCCAAAACCCATCCAAAAAAACCCCCCCACATTTACTGACAGACAAGGCACAAAAGGGAAATAATTGTGGCTTAACAGTTATGGCACTCAGTTCAAAGACGGGGGAGATAATCCATCTGGTTGCTACTCCCAGGAAAATAGCTGTATTTGTATTAAAAGTTGTTTGTCAAATGCCTGATTTTTGGCACTCTGTGGTATTTGAAAGAAATTACAAAATGTTTTCTATAGCATACATTTTTTTTCCAGATTACTTACTCAGAAATTCGGGTGTTCAGTTCTCCTACAGATGTACAGTCAAACCAGCCTATATCCATTCGCATTATTTTCCTGAAATAAGCTTTCCTGATTTTCTGTATCTGACGAGCTGCAGACATAACCCAAAAGCAGATCTGGGAAAAGCATAAAGTGGTCGATAAAATGCAGTAAAAAGTCCTTTTACTCCCAACAAATGGGAAAATGCAATTTGGATAAAATGGGATAAAGCAATTTGGCTATTGATAAAATTACTATTCAGGTAAAATACATTCTGGCTACATAGACATGCTAGTTGTTTTGATCTTTAAATAATCCAGCAATTTTATATAGCCTGTGGATCAAGCATTTGTCACAGTTCTGGTAGGATGAGAGAAGAGGCAAGGTAAATTATTTATGCTGTTATGTGAATGTCATATGGACAAACTTTTTTCCATCTACAACTGCAAGTAGTACAGGGATGGCAGCCATCCTACCTCAGCAAAACTCTGAAATAGTTCTCAGGAAGGAGAATGACAAGTGATTTTTGTTATTATAAAAAGCTTCCAAAGCAGTGGACCCTATGCAGGAGTCGTCTGAGCTTGTGACTCATCTCAGTCATAAGGACTGAACCATTACTACAGAATACATAGGGTGTGATTCTTCTCCAACACCAGTTTTACACAAGTATTGCTCTGTAACATCTCTATAATAGAAACACAGGGCTCAATACAGTTGAGATGCCTGCTTGGAATCTGCATATCCTTCAGCTGCTATTGTAGGAGGGCATGGGGATTCCACAGCAGCCACACTTGAGCAAGTATTGCTTGTGGTGTGGGTAAAACTTATCCTTTTGCAAAGGTATGCATGCACAAATCCAAGGAGCTCTCAGACTGACAGAGCTAACATATTTCAGATGATAGAATGCGAACTGAAAGCATCTGTTCTGCTCAAATAGGTAGCTAGCAGTTAAAAGGAATATAATTAACATAAACTTCATTATTTAGTGATTTAAACTTTCAAATCAAAATAGAAAAAAGAATACTGACTTGGAGGTATCCTAACACGAGTATGGCACAACCAATTCCTGCATAGTATCCTGCAAATCTGGTCATTTCTTGTTCAATATCCAGCAGCCTGAAAAAAAAAGGGGGAAAAAAAAAGTTAGCAATACTGTTTTAAATTTGATTTCTAGTCTGGTGTGTCCTCAGGTTAGTCAGGTCAGCCAGCAAATCAACTTGTTTTGCTAACAGAGGCTATCCCTATCAGGGGCTGGATTCCTTGCTCTGCCTGTTGCACAGGGCCAGGGAGCTGGCAGGGACCAGAAAATGCTCTGCCATCCTGCAGTCTCTGGGAAACCCCCCAGACTGCATGCTCCAAAAGAGCACAGGTGAGCAGGAGTTTCAGAGAAAAACTGCAAAACAAGTTTTCATTAGATGTTGAATGTGCTTGCTTTGTGCCATTATACCAGCTAATAACACTCAGATTTCAACATAGGGAGAAATGAGGGCTGCTAAAGTCAATTCAAATATTACTTCAAATATAAGTTTCTAATCTGAAATGATTATTTGTTTTTGTTACTCAAGTAGGAGTGTTAAATTACTCATAATATCAGTGAAAGGCATTGAATTGCTGCTTTTGCATTTAGGTTACTTTGAAATAGGCATTTAAGATTGTTTTAGGTTATTCTTTTAGACAACTTTTTAAAAACATCCTGCAGACAGCAAATTCTATTCCATTTACCCAAAATTTTGCACACAGAACTTTTAAGCCAAAAGGGAACACTATGAATCTGACTTGATCTCTTGCAAAAAACAATCATGGAAGCAACTCAACTGCCTGACACAGATATCCAGTACAATTTTTCATGTTTAATCAAGATCATGAAACAGATCCTCCTAGAAATTGTGCCAAGGCACATGATAAATAAGGAGGTGGCTGGTGACAGCAAACATGTCTTCACTAAGGGCAACTCCTGCCTGACAGATTTGGTGGCCTTCTATGATAGGGTTAAGCTTTGGTGGCTGAGGGAAGAGAGACTGACATCATCTACCCAGACTTGTGCAAAGCATTTGACGCTATCCCACATGACCCCCTTGTCTCTAAGCTGGAGAGAACACAGATGGACCACTTGGTGGATGAGTAATTGGCTGGATGGTCACACTCAAAGAGCTGCAGTCAACAGCTCAATGTCAAAGTGGAGACCTGTGATGAGTGGCATTCCTTAGGGGTTGGTATTTGGACCAGGGCTCTTTCAGATCTTTGTCAGTGACATGGACAGTGGGATTGAGGGCAACTTCAGCAAGTTTCCTGGTGACACCAAGCTGTGGGGTGTGATGGACATACAGGAGGGAAGGGATGCCATCCAGATGGACCTTGACAGGCTTGAGAGGTGGGACCGTGGGAACCTCATGAAGTTCAACAAGGCCGAATGTGAGAGGGCAATCTCAACCATAAATACAGGTGGGGCTGGGGCTGGATTGAGAGCTGCTCTGTGGAGAAGGGCTTGGACAGACTGGAGCAAGTAATTTGGCCCCAGTCACCTCTATCTAGGTATGTGAATCACTTCCATGTGCTGTGAATTTCAAAGACCTTTAGAAAGTGACTTTTAATTCTAATTAAATATCTAATTAAGTGTGACTCAAAGATTAGAAAACTCTTGGAATGAGGCACTGAAAAATGACTTTTAGGAGAGGTTACAGGGTCAAACTTGGCTTTGACAGATGTGTATCTGAATGAATCATCTAGACTCCATTTATTATAGTTCATGGAAAGAAACAGGCTGTCTTATATGGTGGTTCATCTGACCTGCCTCAGAAATCCACCATAAGCTAATGAATTGTATTCTAGAAATGCTCATTTCTCTCAATGACAAGAGTTAACTAACTTGCTCAGAAGTCATCAGGCATTATAGGTCCTAACCTATAGTCCTAACCAGAATGACCAGAAGTCATTATTATCTATAGTGTAATCAGTAAAATAGATTAATGAATTCAGATATATAATATGTATATCTGTTATCAGAACAATCGTAATCAAAGAATATTCTTGCTGACATCTGTAGCTGAAAGATCAAGACCCAAGCTGACCTTCTGTCCCTCTAGATAATATCTCCAGCTCAGTAATTGACTCTGTAATAAGAACCATGTCCCTTTTTTGCCTTATGAATAGAAAATGTAAGATTCAAAGGCTGAACAGGACCCTCAGTAGCAAGGCATTCTCTGACAAACTATAATAACAATGGAAAATAAACAAATACATTCATTACTTACCCACATCTTACTGTGACATTCTTTTCATTCTGATGAATAGTACCATTAATCCACACTATGGTGTTATTTACACATGTCTTGTTTGGGTCTTTAAGCTCTTGCATTTCAATGTCATATTCAATAAATGTGTCTGCCATTGCACCAAACACAAGCAACACAGCTGGTTGGGCTATTCCATGAACAATAGCACAGAAACTACCAACGACCATCATTAAAATCTCCGTAGATGAAGCAAATCGAAACTAAAGAGAGAAGAAAAAATATGGTCTCTGCTGAGAGGCAGTCTTCATACTGCTTGTATACTGATAAATCACTAATTAGGTGGATCAGATAAAAAACATTCTCTTTAAACTTCAGAATTATCTTCAATACAAAAAGAAGACAAATCTCTCCAATCCAATCTAATTGCATCTGTGATTACAGCCTCATAAATTATTGAGCTCCATTTTAACATGTGAATGAATGTATCATCATGTAACATTAAGAGCTCAGTATTGTTCCACATTACCATCATTGCAGAAACTAGCTAAGAGATTAAGAATAGTAACTATAATTCATAGACAGAGAGGGAAGGGAGGAAAAAGCCTTGGGGCATTATGCAGAGCCTCCAAATAGAGTTAGAGAGTTTCTTAAAAGTCTGAGGTGCCTTGGTGAAAATTCAACTAAACATGCCAGAGCAAGTTCTCATAGTTAATATTCTAAAGCCTGTTGGTTGAGCCAGGCAGTTATGCATTGGCTTTTAATCTGGGAGAAATGTATAGAAATATGACATAGTATGCAGCAAAAAAAGAGACTGAGCTAAATCCTATTACCTTACATTCGCTATGGGCTAAGAGTGTGCCTACGTGTAGCTGGTCACTTGGCAAAGATACAGTGATTTAAGTTACCTTTTTCATGATTTTTTGAAGTTTGATTCTCTGGTTGAAGTCAGGCACAAATATATAGTTTAAACTGTCCATATAGAATATCAGTTTCAAATGCTATACATTTTGAAATAGGAGATTAAAGAGAAATCATAGCCTATTGAAGAACCTATCTCCAGGTGCTACAACGTGTCTAAGAGAAGAAAGGGTGGAAATTTGAAGCACATATGGAAAAGGGACCTTAGGGCAAAGACAAGATACAGTGAAAAGCAGTAAACACAAGAGAAATAAATAAAAGGTCTTTCCAAAAAAAAAACAAAACAAACCCAACTGTAACACTACCACTGTTCTGCAAACCTTGCTCATAAGAAATCTAGGAATTCCCTTGTTTAAAAAAACCTCCACACAGAAAATGCACAGATATGTGGTATCTGGTCTCTCAGCACATCTGAGGCAAACGTACTGTGTTAACCCACTGCACTTTAAATATCTCTGTAAAACTGCCTACGGAATTCAAACCCCTCTGCTTGAAAGAATAGCCTTCTCTGTGGACAGACTGTTCTCTCCACCCAACTAGAAGTTGAGATACTTAGCCAGGTACAGTACAATGAATGTAACTGCACTAGTCCAGTTTTACAGTCAGGACCATATTAGTCTGGACACATTACAGGCTAATTGCCCACACTATGTCCAAAACAGAAGTAATAAGACCTCTTAGCTGCATGCTGCAGCTGCAGGGTTGGACATCTCTTCACTACATTAAATTTAAAATATATGTGGACCCTATGGAATTACATCAAAGGCTAGACATACTATATGTTATTGTGCATCCACAAGTTTCTATAGCTACCAAATCTTCTAATACACATAGAGCAATTACAAGGGAGCTAAATTATCTGCCCAATATCACACAGTAATTTTTTGACAGAAATAAGAATGAACCAAGGTCACCTAGATCCTTGTTTTGCATCTTACCTCATTTCCACGTATCTACCTGTAGATTTAATATAATGTTTTTAATAGGCAATTTTGACATAAACATCGATTATCAATACCAAACTGACAAGATGACAAAGGGTTCTATTAAATTCCCATTGAATTTATTGGCAGGATTTCAGGCCAAAAGATTTAATCCTTAAAAGTTTGGGTTAGTCACAGCTATTCCCCAAAACAACCATATTGGTTACTGTCACTTATTCTGCAGCACAACACACATCAAATATTTATAGCCATTGCTTTCGTTACCAGCTGAAAGAAGCCAACACGAACACTGTTTTCTTTCTTCTTTGATGACCTTTCAGGACAGAAAACATAAAATTATCAACTTATATTTTAGAACATATTTTGTTCTATACACAAATATAAAGAATTGAACTTAACTCACTTTTCACTTTTCTTCTCTATAAAAGGTTCTTCATATGTATAGAAATTCCTGGCAAAAAGGATAAGATTTTACATTATTACTTTTAGTCTCTTGGTTACTTCTCTGAAATTACATTTTGTTGAGACATTTTCCCCAGGTTTATACTTAGTTTTATAAACAGCTCCTCAAAATACTGTTGCTGTAATGTGGATTGCGGGTTCTCTGAGGTCAGTGAGAGAAAAATCTACCATCCAAATTGTTGGCTAATCCTTTCTTTAAGAGAGAAAAAAGTCCCATATGTTCATATTGCTATAGTGCAATAGAATCTCTTATCCTATCACAGTTGGGTTGATTTTTTTTTCCTCGGTGCTCACATTTTGTATAATCAGTTAAATCAAAAGGACTAGTTGCACTGTTATGGATGGGATCCATACATAGCAAGTAGTCATCATCAGGTGTGTACATTCAGTGATGAATGAGTAGGGATATTCTATTTGTGGTGGGGTTGGGTTTTATTTGTTTCATTTGTTTTTATTTGGTTTTTAATGAAACAAATTTAATCAAGCTATATTTGTCATAAACTGTTTTCAGAAACCAGATCCTGGAAAGCCTGAAGGAAGCTTTCCTTCAGGTATGTAGGACCATATGTGTGTTATGTGTAAAAGTCCAACAGAACTTGGGTTTGAAGATAAGTGGGAAGACATGGTAGACCTTGAATACTGGCTTGGTGCTCTCTTAGATGTGCAACCTGATAAAGACAAAAATTAAGAGATGCTCTAGCTTCTACATTTTAGAAGTAGCTCTCAGACCATGTACGCTGTGTCAGAAAGAGCTGGCTCAAATTATAGCACCCATTCTCCAGCCTGCCACAGAGTTGTCCAAAGGTCTAGAAAAGAGCAGGCTCTTAATCCCATTTGAATCTCTGATTATAGCTGAAGGTCAAATTCTCTAAATCATTTCATATTTTAACTATCCGGAATTCTACGTTTAAATTTTAATATCTGAGCTCAAATGAAGTGAGCAAATTCCTTTTGTTTTAAAACCTTTTGTTTTAAGCTTTAAGAGAAATTAATCAGGATTGATTAAAATTCCTGAAAAACTCATTTCTCAAGCTAAAAGCACTGAAGAAAGATAAATTTGAATATTAAAAACATTTTCAAAAGGAAGACCATATTTTCCTGGCATTTTTGTTTCTAAAGGTTTCCAAGACTGCTTTGGTCTACCTGTTTCAGTTGTATCAAATAAGGCAGTTCAGCTGCAAGAGAACAGCTTTTTCAAAAAAAGGTCATATATTTTGTCAGTGTGCCAATTTGATCCGATGACATTAACTTCTTTGAATATTCCTAGAAATATTGATTGTTCCGTTCGTGTACACGACTTACTCTGATTTCTTCAAGCTGTTACCTGTTAGGGAAAATAAATGCACAGCCTAGTTAATAATTGTTGTTAGAGTACATAATCTTCTGTAGACATGTGAAATACAAACCCTAGAACCCCATGGGACCTGATCATTCCTAGGTTATAAACATCATATTCCCACTAATACCTATAGAAACCAGGGATATGGTTTACACTAAATATATTATTCAGGACATTTGTCAAAAGTCAACTCCTTTTCATTGCAAACTGTTTGCTAATATTCAACTGGTTCTCTTGGGAATGGTCTCATCAAGGAATACCACTCTATTGTCATTCCATGCATGCTTCCTGAAAGAAGGATTAGTAGCTCTTCAGTCTTGCCTTCTAACAGCTTAGACTGCAAATCCTGTGGAAGAGGGGCAGTTGTGGCCCTGGAGGGTATGATGAACCTGTTGTACTGACGTCTACTCTTGGGGCACTGTCTAGGGAACCACAGCTTAGAGAAATGGAATTATACTGCAAGACATAATTATGCTGTAGAGCAATTCCTTGGTCCCCAGAAAAGGTCTGGATTTAGCTCCCTTTCAAAAGATGTTGTGAAAGACATCATACCTGAAGTACAGCTTGTGTTGTCAGGGGCCCCAAAAAATGTCATCATAAGGTCTGATGTAGAAAAGATTTGCTGTACATCACTTGAGATGACAATGAATAAAGAGCTAGTTTTATATCTACATCACAATTTGGATAATCTAAGGGCACTTAGCATATGTACTTCGTTAATTTATGATGCATTTGCCAGCTCAACATCAGGTTCAGAACCATGGTTTGCTTTTCAAGCACTGCCTTCCTTTCTTCACATCTAGTGACACATCACTGAGCATGCACAGGTCCGTCTCACAGAGTAAACACAGAGCAACTTTGCTTTGCAATTCACAGAGGGTGCAAAGAAAGTCACTGCAACCACAAATTTTGCCACTATGATTTTTCTACCTAGGGAAGTAAGTGGCTGGAAGAGATGAACAGTTTTCTGTCCCAGAAGCAGCATATATCCCCTCAACCTATTCACTCCCTTGTTCTCATCATTCCTGCCCACTTCTACATCTATACTGGAATCCACAATGCCCCTTGCATTGAAACTGCTGCTAGTTAGCAGCCTAAGTGAGAGGGTTTAAAAATCAAAACAAAACACAGCAGGTGAGGTGAGTGGGGAGATCTGCAGCGCTACAAGCACACAGTGTGCTGGGGTATCAATATACACTGGGGAGAGAACACAATATTTCAGAAAACATTCACATCGGGTCTTTTTACAGTCATGAAGCTGAGGTTGTTGCTGCTATGTTGGAGACTTCAAAATGAGCTGCAGAATCTAACATGCCAGAAAGATATTTGATGAGGATTGTTAAAAACCAAAGAAATTATCTGGCTAACACAGAGTGACAGAAGGTGGGAACATAACACCTTCTGCACATGAAACTCTTGTTCAGTTTCTAATGTCATAGCAAAAAACTGCACACGTGGTGTCTTCTAATGGAACAGCTGCTTTTATGTTTGCAGGTATAACTCAATCTCTACAAAGATAACCACAATCAAGGCTTAGTCTAAGCTCAGACTGAATACTCTAAATGTATTCAGACTCTACTGTTACACCCACAGCAGTCCTATGAGACATCCTATTACCGATAAAAATTGGAAGGAAATCCCAAACCCAAGCAATGAATGATAATAGATTTGAAATACAGACTTCAGCTATGAAGTTTTCAAAATAGCAACAGACACCACAGATCAAGTTATAACTGGGACACAGCTGTTATATAGCAGAAAGAGAGGCTTGAAGAGGGCCCTCATTAAAAATCAGCCATAGGGTCTTGTAAAAGTATCTTATTTTGTGAAATTTCATTACCTACTTGGTTATATGAAGAATTATGCTGTGTGCTGCAAGTTTTAACAAAAGGCAGCTGTATGGTTCCCAAGGAATGAAAAACACTGAGGCTGCACTGTCTTAAACCTGAACTGTTGTCTAGGAAGGGGAAAAAAATCACTTTATCTCAGTCTAGTATGATTTGCTTTATTTTATTTTTGTTGGTAAAAAATAGTTCCAGCAGAGAGGCACTGTCTTTCAACATGAGTCTTCAGTTTCCTGGAGGTGATCTGTCATAAAGTATTTCAAGGGAAATAAAACTGCATGCTCTCTATTACTATCCAGCTTGATTGTTCTAACAACACATCTGAATATTTAAAAGATAACCCAAGCTAAGAAAGCATCCCTCCTCCCCAAGCTGTTTTGTTCAGAGCTGACTCAAGAATGCTTATTTTGATGACAAAGCAGGTGAAACTGGGGTTGATTGTCACATTTGTAAATCCCAGTAAGGCCCTCATTTAGAACACAAGCTATTTCATGCATGGTTTTAAGCTTTTCACTCACAAATGTTTTTAATGAAAGTTTAAACACTTCCAGGATTAGGCTGCAGCTGTCATACATACAAAATGCATGTATGCTTAGGGAATCTGGTGATATTTGAGTACTGGAATGCTTTTGAGAACACTTTTTACTCTATGTGAGGAGCAAGTACATTGCCATTCATTGCAATTTATCTTTCACTGTGGGCTACTGTTTTGTTTTCCTTTGAACATTACAATCTGTATAAATATTTAACACCCTCTTTTTTGATGGCTTTTCTCAAGTCATATAAATAGAACTGAAAATATTTAGCAGTTTCTCTTCATGTTTCTCCTTGATTCATGCTGCATTTAGACTGGTAAAATGGACATTGCAAAGGAAAAACGGAAAAAAGGAGGATAAGCTCTGATGAGAAAAAGGAATGCAGATCTTCATTTATCATTAGTTTATAAGAATTATGCCTATTATGACTACAAATAAAAGTGTTTGCTGAAAGAAACTATGGAAGACAGCACCTTTTTCTTTTTCACAATAAAAGCCTTTTACTTGTACACCAAAGAGCTGAGCGTAAAAAACGATGTAGATACCTTGAAATTGTTAGCTGCTATGTAAATATTGTCCATGAGTAGGGATTTTTATACATAGTTTTTTACAGAAAAGTTGTTTTTCAGGCAGCATACCCATAACAGCAGATACCACATAACTCTATATTTATTCCACAGACGGTTTTCTTTGTATTCTGTAGACTATTTGCTTCACTTAGGCCACCCACCATCTATTTCACATGCTTTATAAAATAAGGAGGTGACTGAAGAATAAACTTCTTACATTTACCATCCAAGTCAAAAGCATAGTTATCCTCTCCCAATCTCTTGATGCTACGCAGAACAACAGGGTCAGACATGATGATTATTTACTTCAATCAGAAGCCCTGAAAAGAGATGGTGGGAGGGAGAGGAAGAATATCAGCATACATTTGTCTGCAAACATAAAACAATATCATGTTAAACTTCTACTTACCTCAGTTTTGCCCTCATGATCCCAGGATGATGTCTGGGATTACAGCACTGATTACAGCACGAGTTAGAATAGCTGTGACAGGCTCAGTGAAACTAAAGAGCAGAAAAACACCTCAGAGAAGAGGGCTCAACTCACCCCAGAGTGCAAAGCCTCTGACAGGCTTCAGTGCCTCCTGCCTTGAGCAGAGCTGTTCCCAGGGTTTGTCAGCCACTGCAAAGAGCCCTGTCCCCATTTATGGCTCTGTTAAATAAACTACTGCCTTTGTGTGGGTGACATCCGTAGGCAATAGAGTGAGATATTAACATGACAGGTCCTGCCTCACTTATAAGGGAGCAGCAGGCAGGAGACCTCCCCTGCCTTGTGCTGTCCCAGGTGTCAGCAGCCAGCAGGACCATGACAGGGGACAGCTGGGGACAAGGGTGGATGGGGGGAGGCCCCAGAGCCACACCGACACCTGCATCATCACCACCACAGCAGCACTCCCACAGCCCTTGGCTACCAGACCTGCTCCTCTGGACAGTTTTATTCCTAACTATTCACACAGACATGCTGAGCAGATGTCATACATGAGAAGAAATAAGAAGACGAAGTTAGTACTTTTTTGTTAAAGAAGCACTTCTGTGAGGCAAAACCTGCCAGTAGTTAGGCCTGGCATCCAAGATGGCGCCCAGGGAAAAGCGCTGCAGAAGCCCTCCCCAAAACACACCCTTTCACAACCAAAGTCATCTCATCCACATCTTTGTTTAACGTAATGTGTCCCAAAACATAGTTACAATATCTTCTTCTAGTCTTCAAACATCAACATTTGCATGATTATACTTCCGTATAAAGCTCTCACAACCTCTCGTTTCAGGCATATTGCAATGCGTTCGGACAGCAAAACTTCTGTGTAAAAGACACATTTCCATAGACTACTTGTGTTACACCACCTGACTTCCCAGCCAGCTGAGTTTCTACCCATTGAGCCCTCTAAAGGAACCGCTTATTTCCTTTTAATAGCATTAAAACTACCAAAATCCTTCATATTGGCAATAGCTGTGTGATTAGCTACAGTCAGGCAGTTCCTTATAAGTGGGAAGGATTGAGAAGCAGATTGGCTTTGAAATTACCCAAGGATGAAGGAAATAAATTCATTCTTAGATCAAAGTGGAGCAACATAAGGATCTAGTCCAGTGGTTCAGGGTGCATATGTAACTTTTAATAATTTCACTTCCCATAATTGCCCAAACTTTCCTTTTTTTTTCTTTTCTCTCCAGTTTGGCTTTCAAGAACTGCTGACTCCCAACTCCAACTCTTTTTACCCTTTTCCCCTGAATTTTATGTGTACATCCCTTGGCACATCACTAATACATCGCTAAGTCACACTGGAAAGACCAAACTCTCTTGAATAATTCTAAGCATCTAATGCAAAATTCACTTATTCTTATTTTAACTAATCTTAACTAACTTTAATGATCAAAGATGTCTGAAGCACTCCCCTGACAATTAGTGCTTCAGTATCCTTCTTGCTAACATATTTTTTTCCTAATGTATAATCTGAATATCTTCTTGTGCACCAGGGAGATGAAACATATTCCTTTTCACTTTGTAAGTAGGCTGTATTTATTTTAATAATACTAGAAAATCACCCTCTTCAGATAAAGAAAGCAAGTCATTCAATTTTCCTTGGTAGGGTATATTTCTTAAACATCTGATGATTTCCACTGGTCTCCTCTGGATTCTAGTACATCTTTAATGGAGCGATGAGTGCATAAGAGCACTACAGCACCAGTCTTACTGATACTGGACAAAGATTATTTCCCGTGTCATGAATTATGTTCCTGTTCACACAACCCAGTATGACATTTGGGTTTTTAACAAAACTATCACATTGTTGATTCGCATTCATGTAGTCCACCATAGCCACTAAATTTTTGCAAACAATTTGCTACCGAGTCAGTTGCTTTCCAAACTAGGTTTTCACATTTGATTAATCCTGCCTGATATTGCCCATATTTAATTGCACCTTACATCCTTCAGCCCATTTTACCTGTTTGTTAAGGGGATTTTGACTTCTAGTGCCATTCTTCAGGAATATATGCAGAACATACCTGCAGTCTGTCCTACCTTTATGTCATGATTGAATTTAACAAGCATATTCTCCATTGTGTAATCCACATAATTATCAATATTACTGGATTATACCATTAAAAAGGCAGACCTCTGCAGAACTTCATTTAGCTCACCCATTCATTTGGACACTGGTTCATTGATCACTACTCTATGGGTGTAGTTTTTCTTGTCTAAAAGTTTCTGAAGAGCAGAGACAATCTACTCATCTGCTCGTCAGTAAATTCAGACCCCCTCACATTTTGTGACCCCCTAAATTGTGACCCAAATTCTCTTCTTAAGTAAATGTGTAAAGCCAAAGAACTACTGCAATAGCAAAATGTCTGGCCAGGACTAAAATAGTTACTTAGGAAATAAAAATCACAGCAGCTTTTAATTAATCCCCACATACAAATGAAAAATTTACAATTTTAGTCATAATTTCTCCATTCTCTGAGACAGATGGCAAATGAGCTGAACAAGTTATGGTACTTCCTAAGTTGCAGTCTCTACCATGTGCAAATTTCCAAGTTCTCTTTCTGCTTCTGACCAGAAATAAAGGAATACATCATCAACATATCACTGCTTCACATGGGATCTATATACAATTCATTAAATTTCAATTCAGCTGGGTTTGTATCAAACATATGGAAGAGGATTTAAAAAGGGCTTAATTTCCAGATTACATTATTCAGTTTATATTGAAATAAAGGTAGGTTTCCCAAAAGAGCAAGCATACTCTCCTGAGAGCTTCAAGTCCCTTGAGATTATGTTTTCACTGAAGAGTGATAATTTTTTCCAAGTGGGAGAAGAATTTTCACTCACTTTTTTAGTAAAAACACAGAACTTATTCTCCTCCCTTCTGCCTTTTGCTGTGTTGGATTAATTGAAATAGTTTCAAACAGAAGCTCCCGAAACCTGTTCAAATCACCCTAAAATTCTAAAGAAGAAGTTTCTCAGCCAGCTCATTTTTGGTAATTTTGTCAAAATGATCACATTCTCAAAAGAATTTATTTTTACATGTCAATTCAGTTGTGTGGTTGAAGCTGGAGATCTGAAAACAAAGACATTTTGTTCCATTTACAGGGAAGTTTGACAGTGGTAGTACAGATGGGGGAGCCTTTCACAGTGATGTGATTTTAAGGAAAATGCAACTTAAATATGCAATTGCCCTAAGGTTAGCCAGGGGTTTTTTACTTTAAGTATATGTTTTCATGAAGGACACAGTTAAAGAAAACAGGAATGAATAGATTGCTCAGAAAGCCATTAGTGTAAGAAAAATATGCAAATCACAATATTTGTATCTTTGTTAAAGCTTTTCAAATTTTTTGATCAAGTAGTTAAGCATTATTTGCTGAATTAATAATACCCAGCAGATACCAACTGCAACCATATTCTCATATTTTCTACTGCAACAAAATAGTTTGTCACAACAGTAATTTTAGTAGCAATTTGTTATTAAACGTGAAGGCATCATTTGCAACTCTATCTAGTACGGACTGCTTCACACTGCTTAGCACCCAAGTGATGTTACTGTATAAAGAAAGCTGAGCTACTACACAAACTGCTGACTTTGCACTGAAATTAGTACAATGGGAAATGTCACCTGGATTTTGAATACGTGTTCTTCTGGAGTAAAGAAGCAATGTTCCTACCTGTTCTGCTATCAAAAGAAACCCAAACTCTAAGGGTGGTATTTACAAACACTTTTTAGCAGCTTTAAAATGCTTCATAACTCACAGAAGTATAAATCTACTTAAATTAAATGATATAAACCACTTGAACCATCCTACTGAGTGTGGATCCCAGTGAAAAGCCATGAAGTGGTTAAAAAGCCACCTCACTACAGTTCTGCTTCAGAAAGATAATGCATAATGTCATACTAGAAAGTGATGAAGGCTCAAAAGTAAAGCAAAGCAAAGTCACTCTCTGCATGTCCTTTTTCAGCTACTTGTTATTTGACTCTGCTACTATTATTCTACTCTGTATTTTAACACTACGAAATGTATTTTGTAACTGATTTTTTAAGCCCAAATGCTGACATAGTTTTAAACAGGAATAGTGGGGGGAAAAAAACAATAATTGATAGACTTGAAAAAGAATTCTAGCTACAAAGACTTGCTAGAGCTAAATTTTCTAGAATTATGTCACTTTTCCAATAAAATTATGACTGTCCCACATTTTTGAAAGGAAACATATTTTTCCTATTTTTTCTAAAGCTCAACACATCAAATACTATCCTGTCTGGTAGGTATAATTCATTAGCTTACTGAAACAGATTAGTATAGCAGATAAGCATGCTGTATTAAATTATTAAAATAACCTTCCTCAGTGTCTGAATGTTTAACTGGGGATCACTTAGAACATATTGAAAAATACTGTTGCTGATGTCTGCATTTAAAATGATAGTATAAGGCATTAGATTATTCTATCTACCTATGTGTGTGCAAAATACAATGTAGGAGCAGAGGATACCTCAGAAACTGCACTGAAGTGAAATAGCATTTTAACCTAGCCCAATACAGTATGGCTGCTGGATTTCTGATAAACAAAAATCTTTCAGGAACTCAAAATATAGATTTAAATAAGTAATACTTGAAAAATGTTAACAAAGGAATATATCCTGTGAATGACACAACATTAGGACCTCATCCAAAGCCCACTACAATCTATTTCAAATAACCTCTTTATTCAGATTAAGATCTTTATTTAATATAAAAGGGAAGAAGGGAGAGAGAGAAAAACAGTGAAAATTGGCCCTGCAAGCACTGTTCTTCATGTTTCTTTAAACCTAGGTTCCTCAGATATAAATAATAGCATATAAGCAGAAAGACATTTTGCTTCAAAATAAAACTTGAATGTCTTGTTCTTCAAACAGTTCTATTAAAACAAAAACTCCAAAATTAAAAAAAAAAAAACACAAAAAACCCCCAAAAAACAAACAAACAAAAAAAAAACCAAAAAAAACCAAAAACCACAAAACACACTAACTTGCAAAGAGAATGCAGCATTTAGCTTAAATTGTCCCAAAGAAAAAAATACATGTACTTTTCAGTTCAGGAAGTTTCATCGGTTAACTCTGAAATAGATTTGTTACTCACCCGTGTCTGTGAAAAATCATAGAATCACAGACAAATTGCAAGGACCCTGCTCAATGAGTCAGTGAAGCTCCCAACCATTTCCCAGCATATTTTCATTATTCTAACCCATTTGTCAGAACTGAATTTTTAAATTGGGCATTGGCTATTTGCACCTGGGTCAATAACCACACGGTCACAATGTTCACAGTTCATTGACATCCAATGGAGTGTTTAAATTTGACTAATGCAATCTCACAGCATAAAGTCAGGGCACTTGGAAAGCAATTATACTTGAGGAGACCAGACATTCTCTGGAAAACAACTCACAATGAATTATTATAGCATTATTTTATCAGCATTAGTATCAAATTACTTTATTTGCCAGGCAATAATTTTGTACACTATTATCCCTACTATAAATAGCAACACCATCTGAATAACACAACAATTGGTTCAGAGATTAAGCCAAATTCACATTAAAAACTTGCTCAAAAGTTTTGTTTTCTAACCCACATCTTGCCTTTCTTACCATGGCTTCTAATTTTTTACAACTTTTCCTTTGAAATTAAGATTTTACAGCCTGAGTAGTAGTGAATTCTAGTTGGAGATGAGCCTTCCATGGATTTTTCAATAAGGGACACTGATGAGGACAATGCTGTGACCTCAGACAATAATACCACAGAGTTTAGAGGTAAATGGCAGGCAGGGTTTAGTTCCTCTCTGAATTCAGTTCTTGCTACAGAGGGCCTTGACTGATAGGACAAGATAGAAAGACAGTGTTCTAGTCATAGTGACTGTCAGCTCTGCTCGAGTCGTCTGCGCCCTCAAACTTTCCATGATAAAGCCTCATGCCCAAAAGTGCATCACCATTAAATGCTAACCAGAACTCCAGTTTTCCTTGTTCAGCATCACTATTGTGTTCACAGTGACAGCATAACTAAATGCAAAACTCGTGTCTCTTCCCACCATCTGTCCCAATGAGCAAAGCATAGGTTTGAGAATAACATTATCTGAGATGTCACAGTGATAATCATCTGCACCACCACAGCATAGAGCCAGAGGAAAAGAAAACAAGTTAATTGCAGTGCAGGGCATGGAAATGGAAAGGCTGAAAGAAATTTAAATGGTGGAGCAGATTTATTCACCTTTGACAGCTTCTTGAGGACCAAGTTGGCCAAAGGTAATTCAAGGCCTTTGCTTTTCAAAGTACTTGAGCAGAGCTCACTTGCACTTGCACACAAAATTATCCAGCACCTCCAGAAAAGATCTGGTTTGCCAAAGACAGAATATAATTTTAGCTTTACATAAATTACTTTGGTCTTCTCACTTAAAAACTTCGCTCATCTAAGCATTCAGAAAGTGTATGCAGAGCGTGTTCCAAACTGCTAATGAAGCAGGTTACGGCAGTGATGAATTGGAGCTAAGACCATAAGCTACTACAACCCTTTTGAAGGGCTCTGCTCCCTTGTAAACCTCTGCTTCTTTCAAATCATCCTTACAAAAAATCCTGAAGATTGATTAATTCTGACCTAACTTTATGACATCAGCCATAAAAATGAATCTCTGGTGAAAAATCACCCAAATCTGTGTATATCAAAAGGGAGAATATAAAGCACTCGGTTCTGGTCCCTCTCCCACACAGTCATCTTCATCTTTTATAGCTGCTAATGGAAAAATTAGCCAAATCCACTCCAACTCCTCAAGTCCTCTTGTACTTTATTTCCTTTTGTCCTTTCCAAAGATCTTTAGCAAGGGTTCTACAAGGAAACCTCTTTTTTACACTTAGGAGCAAGACTTCTTCTTTTGATGGCTTTTATCATTTTTACTGCAAACAAAAAGCTGTACATTGATAAGAAATCCATTTCCTTTTTTTTTTTCTCAATCAAACTACATTTATTCATACTGAAATGGGGAAAAGCAGACTCTTCCCTTACAGTGAAATCAGGAAAGTACCTAAGGGCACAATGAGTATGTTTCTGTGAACGTGACTTTCTCTTGTTATAAAAAGTAAAAACTCCAAGTCATTGACTAATGGGAGCAGACACCTCCAGGTAGGAGGTTGGCTCAAAGAAGGAAAAAAACTAATTTCTTCTCTCATGGTCTAAATCACCATCAGAGACACCAAGTCATAGTATGTTTATTTCTTGGTCACAAAAATATGCTATACTGAAACTAGAAAATACTTCCTGGAGTGGGTGCAGCAGGAAGGCCAGGATGTAGGCAGCAAGGGACTTACCTACCTCTAGCAACTTGTCTTGTTTCTATACTTAGCCTCTCACCATCTGCTCTTGGAAATTACCAGAAGCAGGACATGCACTTATTATCCCATTGATCCTACCCAAGTCTGGCAAGTAGTAAGGATTTCTTCTAAATTCCAAATCCTTCTGCAAGTAAAAATAGCAGAGATAGCAACAACACTTCCAAAAAAACCCACTATAAATTTTAAATGCAAATTATAACTTTTCTATCCAAATTAAGTGATTCACCGTGTTAAAATAAATCTTTCAAAAAGACATTTTTCAGAGTGCTTGCCCCACCCCCTGGGCAACCAGCCCCACCTCGCCTGTTCCTGTCAGAAGCTGGCATGTCCATTTGGGCCTGCCCCTCCCCTGTGCCTCATTTTTCCCAATCACTCTTGAATCCCACAAAACAAACACCTTTGGGGCTTCTGATCACTCATATCACTATCCCTCCTGGAAATTACAGAAAAATATGTTTTTTCTTGATGAGCCCTTTGGTTTGTTTTTGTTTGGTTTTTTGTTTTTTTTTTTTAGTTTTGGTTTGTGGCCCCTATAAAAAATTGTAGGTAGTTGTTTACATTGCAAAGTTGGACCACTGTGGATGGGCACTGAACCTGTCAGTCTCCCTGGCAGGCTGGAGTTAGAAACTAACTGAAAACATTGTAATTTCAGCACTTTTATTAATTTGACATAAAGTCCCACATGCCTGTTGCCATGGCAAAAACAGGTCTTTTCCTTCAGTATAGCTAAATTGGCTTTTATTTGTATTTATTGACCAGATTGCATACCAAGCCAAGATTCTGTTTTGGTTAATTTACTAATTCTAGTTTATAGTAGGCTGTGATGAAACACAGGTCTGCCTTTTTCTCTAGCGGGGCTGTTCTCAAAGTCTCTCCAAACCTGGGCCCCTGGTTTGCTTCCATGGCCAGACCTGTATGGGCTTTAGCAGGCATGAGGTACATCTGGCATGGCTGAGGTCCCAGGACAGGTAGGTGTGGGAGGGCAGGAAAACAGTGCCTCTGTGCCAAGGAGGGCAGATTTCCGTGAGGCCTCCAGAAGCAAGACTGGCCCTGGCTCTGATGTGCAACAGCCACAGACTACCCAGGGTGCTAGTCAGCTGCAGGTGCAGGAGGGCTGCAAAATCCCAGCAGAGTAAGGGATATTATAAAAAGAATGGTAATTTTAGTAAGTGTTGCAAGAGAAGGAAAGCCTGCCTTTGTGCTGTATCTGCTATGCATGCATACAAAAGCCACGGGAAAATTTTCTTGTCCTAAAGGAACTCTGAAATACTACACAGGGATGGCAGCTACCTAATCACTTCTTCATACTTTATTCAATACTGATGCTGCAGAGGAAGTTAAGCAACAAAAACTAGCATCTCTCAATTGCAACTTTGCAACACGCTGGGTAACTTTGAGCCAGCACAAGAAGCTGCATTTCACCAGCATACATATTTACATAAAGTACCATGAACAGCCACAGGGCTTCCAATAAAAATGGAGATATATTTAACCTCTCACATCAGAGCAGAATGCAGATATACAAGAAGAAAATAAAAGCAGTGATCTTTTCCCTATTATGTTTAAAAACATGTCAGGTGTTTGCAATTAATTTGCCAGAGGAGAATTCGACCATAGTAAATGCAACTTCATTGCATCTTGCTCTGCAGAGATGGACTGTCTGTTAGCAATCTCTGAAAAGATCTGTACTCCTTTAAATCTATTTAGAATTACTTTTTTAGTCAATTGCATTAGGTATCTCCTGTTTTTCAGCCATGAGCATTCATGAAGTGTAACTGAACTTGTTTCTCTAAGCAGAATTTCATCCATCATCAATAGTTACATTTAAGTTCACTATTAATTTAATTGGAGTATAATCCCAGATATGCAGGCTCTTCCCAAACATATTTTTTCAGTATTGATGTTTTCACACTGCCTGAGCTTCAGTCCAGTAGATGAAGAGTTCCAACCTCCACCCTTCTTCCTGTGCTCAAGGACCACAGGCAAACTCCCACAGCCTAGCTGGTGCAAATTTATTTCTCGAGAGACAAAGGGACAGTACTTGCTACCCTGCTTCTTGAGAGTCCAGCACTGACAACCAAAGGTTTTAGTAAAATAAAGTAAAGCATTTTTCCAGGTAGCACTGCTAAAGTATCTACAGTAACGGGAAAGGTTCTGGGTCCTGGTTACCTTGCTTGACCTTTCATTGCCTGTTGGCCTCAATCTCACTCTTATAACATATTACCAGTTCTTATTTCTGCTCAAGAAAGGGAAAAAAAAGGTAGTAGAGTTTTTCTAAAAATAGCATGCTACATTCACAGCTTATTTTACTTGACACTTGACAAGTGTGTGTTTGTCACCTTTCATGAAAGAAAATCTCACTAGAAGGATGTTTTATACATCTAGTTAGTGGTAGATAAATATTTGGGAATGTGCTTAAAAAGTCAGGCTTATCAATGCATCATTGTCAGAACAGAAATCCAGTTCCCAGAACCTTCATTGGGACTGTTTGCACTAACATGCTTACATGGGTTACGGCACAAGTGCTCAGCACCTCCCATGCTGCGTTACCCAACTAGGGAACAAATTAAATAAATTCTGCTTCAGAAGCGTGAAGTGGTTTTGTTTTAAAATTTAAATACATGCAATAAATTACTTCTAAGTTATCACTCATTCTATCAAAAGCAAAAATCACATATGAACTCTACTGAATGTTTGAATATAACTATTTTTGAATACTGCTTGCAGATCATCTGAAAAATAGAAAAGCCACATATCTCTGACTCAACAAGTTGTGCAAGACAAGATACTGCTGCTGTTAGTGATGCTAATTGATTTCAGTAGGGGTGGTGTTGCAGTTGAGTTTACAAAGGCCCAAAATCCTATGGGCTGGATTCTGCTAACTTTGAGTCTTAAATCTGGTCTATCACGATTTGCCATAGTACCAATTATACTTAATGCTAAATTTCAATCTCCTTTTCACCTTTCATCTTTTCATAAAATTGCTTGTAACTTGCCAAATTTCTTTTATTTGAAATTGTGATTGGTTTCAGGCCAAAAGTGATTTTTTTCCTCACATGAAAAACTATGACTAAGGTCAGACCAGCAAAAGTATTCATTCACACAACTCTAACAGCTGACACAAGAGAACTGGTTTTACATTTTTTTATTTTCCCCTCCCATTTCTGAGGGCTTAGAAATGTTTTTCAAATCCATCTAGTGTTTTTCTTCCACAAAAAGCCAACACCACCCCTTCCCAAAAAGCTGTGGCAGGGTGAAGACTATGCAAAGGGCGATGGAAAGCACGGTGATAAAACCTGGACACTGAGAATAAAGCTGAATACTGCGGAACATTCTCAAGCACCTCCTTCACATCATTGCCTTCTTGGTCCCTCACTGATTTTCTGTGAAGTCTCTCCCATTTCAATTAATCTAACACATTAGGTTAAAATTTGTCCCTTGACTTCCTTCTTGAATTTCCCTGCAGGTCACTGGGGACTTGTCAGTAATGCTGGGATTACGGGGCCATCCGCTCCTACAGACTTGAATATTGAGCACTTTAGAGAACTAACTGAAGTTAATTGGACTCAAATATGTTGCAGTAAAGATGCTTGCCTTGACAAAAAAAGCAAAGAGAAGGATAGTAAATGTATCCAGTGTTGTAGGTTGCCTAGCACTTAAAATTTCCTTTCAAAGGATTTAATGGCAGATTAAAGTATAACACTCCCTATGAGGAAGAACCACCCTTTTTGCTTTCCTAAGGCTCATATACTAACTAAAAACTGGTATACATGCAGAATAGCAGCTGATTTACAATCCTGGCTCTTGGTATAAATTTGGAAAACATTATACACTTTAGACTTACACTTCTTCTGCCACTTTCGAAATGGTGCAAAGCCTGTTGGATACACAAGCTGTCCTCAAGTATTATTGCAGTGTAGCTGGTACCCTTCTGTGCTCACAACTAATCCATCTTGGTGTGCCCAGAGGCCTTATTGCAGAGGAAGCTCTAGCCAAGGGAACTGAGATGCCTTTGCAACATTAAGTGCACCTCGAAATTTCCTGCAGCCACCCACCCAGAAAAAATACATACCATTAGATATTGTGTGATAGCAACTTTTGTCTAAGCTTTCTTATCCAAACTCTTTTCTCTTAATTATCACAATTGTTAGAGAGATCTAGATAACACGGCAAACTAATTCTGAGGACCACCATGGCAGCTTCTTGTAACTCAAACGGGGAGCAATTTATGTGTCTAAAAATATATAGAGCCATTTTAGATATCAGGACACTCACACAGGACTGAGACCCACCAGATGAGACCAGAAGAAACTGTACCATCAGCCAGAGGTTTTCCCTAAAGAAGGAATACCCTAATACACACAAATTGGCTTTACATACTTGCATTAAGGCAGCCAGCCAATCTTTCAGACAAGTCAGATAATTAATGGGCTACTGCAAGGTGAACTAAGATCTGAAATGTCAGCTACTGTGCAGTCACATGCACATTCTCACTCTGAAGCGTGTAAGATAGTTCACTCCTCTTTCATTTAGGGATAAAAAGCTGAAAGTTCCCAACCACGAATAAACCTCACAGTATTTGTGTTCTGGAGTGCCATATAAAGACAGAAATAAAAATGTTAGTACAGCAAAAAATCCAACACTTTAAATAGTAGTAGTGACAATAATAATAATGTCTAATGCAATTAAATCCTGCCTTTGCAGGAGAGATATGAAAGTTTTTGGAGTTAAGGTTTGTTGCATTCAACCCAGACTGTCCAAAACAGCATTAAGTAATCCAGCAAAGATTATGAAAGAAAAAGAGGTGATATTAAGCTTCTCCCTGATACTAAAATGCAACTATGGAGAGGAGTATTTTCAGAAAGGTGAGGTAATGTCCAGACATTTGTGTCAAAAGAAGCAATACATTTATCACTGAGAAAGCTTTGCAAAGTATCATTATATCTCCTAAACATTCTGACTTTTGGAAAGACTGTGATGTGAAAAATTACTTTTCAAATGCATCTGCATCACAATATGACTATCCACACAAAATACTTCATCTGGGAAGATTTATTCAAATCTTAGTTAAAGATTAATTATTCATGTTGGCTTGTAACTTTTGAGTGAACTCCCAAACAGAAAAACTTTTATCTGCTGATGTAATCAATGTGCTCAATGTATTTTTCTGTCACTATTGTTTATTTACCTAGTAATCAAATAAGGATCAAGTCCCTTTGCTTCTGTTAGCCCCAGTGACGAAGCAGCCATTCTGAACCTGTTTGATAGACACTTGCCAAGCCTGCTTGAACAGGGACTCATTGTCTTCTGATCCTTGGACTTTCTTTCTTCACACCAAGTCTTTCTAGAAGCTAAAGCTTTTCATCCTTTCTCCACCAAGAGTACTCAATCAAAAGTGATTAGGGAAACAAACTATGAAATGACACCACCTACGCTGATCTTTATCTTTAGACATTTTGGTTTGGCTGGTTTAATTCAATCCCTGTCAGGCCACTAGTATACCTTCAGGTGCTGTGAGACACTAGCACTGGAAATGTTAACATTCGAAGGAAAATACAAACAAGATTTGGGATAGGGCACACTAGCTGTAAACACATTATTTAAATTAGAAATGCAGGAAAAATATCAGCTGCCTAAAGTATTACTTCTCTATGGAGGACCAGATTCTGCTGACATTTGCTCTCCTGGGACCAGACGCCTCATTTACTCAAATGCCAGCAACAAAAGCCAATGACTTCTGTAAATAAGCAAACCACAGTGTGCTCTGTTAAGACTAGCAGAACCTGTTCACAAGACTATGAGGCAGATGAGAACATATTTAGACATATGATTTTAAGGAGTAGAAAGGACTTCTCATGGAAAAGACCCTTGACTTCCACAAGGTCAGAACACACTGGGGGACTGCACCCACAGGACCCGGCTTTGGTTAGTTTGTTAGTTAGCTTCAGACATGTGCTTCAGAATTTTCACCTGTCCAGCAGGAATAGCATTAGCGTCTCAGTTTTCACTGGAGAACCAAATTTCCTTCCCCAATGTTAAGCTTCAAGCAATTTTTCTACATCCTCTCTATGAGTCAGGGATCTCATTACAAAATACACCTAAGAAATCAATGGGAAATCAGGCAGTCAAGACTGTCTCATGCTAAGCTACAAGAAAACTATATTTAGAGCTTACATTTTGCTTGTGGGATTTCTCTTCCAGGAAGCTCCCTCACATGTTCTAAGAGAGTTGGAGAATCCTTTGTGAAAAGGGAACTTATTGGGAAAATTCCCAATTTTGATATTTTCTGAGATGCTAAACTGGATCTATTCAGCTTTCTGAAATGACTTTCTGCAGTTCAAAAGTAGTTTGCTGAGAAAAAAAAAAAATCAGTAGTAGAGAGAAAATTTCCTTTCACGTTTTTCTCTCCTACATTTGTATGGCAAAGGATTGCTACCCACAATAGTAGGACTCCAGACCTGACACTGATTGAGCAATGTCCCCCTGTGACAGCTTTGCATGCTGGTGGAGTGCTGTTTTGTGGTCATTTCAACCACACCACAGAGCCTACCACTACAATCAGGCCAGACAGGGCTAGGCAGGCACTTCTGTCAGGCTTTTCCTGAAGAGCAAATCTTTACCAGCCACCTGTTGAATCCCCAAGTCTCCAGCAAGCAGGACACACTTGACTGCCCAGAGAGTGCTGAAAGTACAGTAACAACCAACACCACAGCTGAGGCTGGTGTGGCACTGAACAGTGGCAAAAGAAGCAAGAACTTCCAGGCCCAAGCCAAAAGAAGCAGGGAGAGAAACTGAAGGGGGAAGAGCTGCCCACCAAGCAGAGGATGATGTAACAATTCTGCAGCTCCTGACAGGGTAGTCAGACCAGGTGTCACCAGCCAGTCTGTGACAGGCTGCCATTGCCATGGTCCAGTCAATTGTACGGGGCAAGATCACTTCCAGCTCCATCCTACCACCTTGCTTGGTTTCCCCAGTTTTAATTTCCTTCTCATTCAGTTAGTTTCAAAACAATTTTTACAAAAAAGCTTATTTATTCATTGTCCTGTTGAGAATGGTCTTTGCCCAAGCTTCCTTGCTTCCTGCAGCATCTGGCACTGCACAGCACTATGAGTGGAGAGACATGAAGAATGGGGAAAAGAAATTCTGCTGCCATGTTTATGCAGTAGTACTCAGAGCTGAATTAGAAGTGCCCATCAGACTCTGGGCCAAGGAGCAAGCAAACAAGTCTCCCAGCAATCATATGATAGCATCTGTGTCCATGCAAAGTGTAGAGCTTTTGTTTGCACAGTTCGTAGAATTCGAGGTTTTATTTGAGAAACATTGTAATTGGTTTGTTTCTAGTATCAAAAAGCTGCCCTAAACTAGTAAAAATAATTTCATCCCTGAAGGTTTTCACACACAAGGATGTCTCTTAAAAGATTAAGTCCTATCAACAATAACTCACACGCAAGAGAAAAGGTAGAGGTCTGAACCAAGCTCTGTTAAGTCAGTGGAAAGACTCCTGCTGCTTTCAAGACAATGCACAGATCAGCTAGTAGATTAGTTCCTTCCCAGCTCAGTAGATTAGTTCTCCTTAATGAGTCTTAACAGTCCCCCAGGCTCTGCAAATCACTATATATAGCCAGTAGTGCTTATACAGCATTGGTAGAAGAAGCAGGCATAGAATATATTAATACCAAATACTAAGGTAGACACATCACAGCACAAAGTCATTATCAACAGCAGGCAGAGGGGCCCTGCTCATCAGCCGATGTATGCCAGTTAGAAAGTACCACCAGACACAGAATTTACAGTGAGATCTTTTTGGAAACTATCACCATGCGGGTCTCGGTGCAGAAGTTTATGAGCGACTTGGGCTGTTTCTATGTTCTGACACTGGAAATGACTGGTGAAGGCAACTCGTGAGCACCTGGAGGTATAGACTGAGCTTGCAGATGTCTCCCCAGAATGTGAGTAGAACTTGTGTCTATTGTTACAGTGAGCAGTACCTATTGCAGCTAAGAGAACAAATTAAGCTTTTTTTTTTTCTAGTGCACAGACAAGAGAACATGCAGTCCTTTCCTTTCTAAAGTAATTTTAGCAATTATTGTTTATCTAGGCACCTAAAATGTCCAAACAAAATGCTAACTCAGAATGCTCTTTCCAACATCTGGAATCTTTCCTTACTTCAATTTCCAATTACTGGGTCAGTCACCTAAGAGTTTAAAAGGTTTTGTTTTCCTGGGTCTTATACCAGTGCTGTGGTAAACATCTGAAGTGCAAGCCATACAAGGAAGATACAATTATGGTGAAAAATCAGCCCCTACTGTACTAGACTACATTCATCTCCCTGCAAAATGCTGTATAAGAGAGTTTGGAGATGTGTTTCTTTTAAGGTGACATATTAATGAAGATCTTAATTTATCTGTTGACTGCCAAACTGAATATACTGACATATTTACCCAGCATAGGAAAAAGCACTCCTTTACCATGAAATGAAAGTGCAAAGCCCTGCACAATCAGGAATAGCTTACCTAAGACTGGAGATATGATGTGTTTGTGCTGGCATATTTTTTCAATTCATTAACTAAAGACTAAAAAAGGGGGCTTTTAGTTCTGTCAGGATGAACGATTAGTAAAGTTTGGGCTCCCTAGGCTCTGGAGAGTTGTTGGATGATCTCTCAGATCATTATCTGAAACATCTAAACCTTCTGCTGAGTGCTACATGAGTGCTGATTCTGAAGAACAACAGTCCTTAATTTCCCCTTGGCAGGTTTTCCTCAGCATGTCTGGCAGGCCACTCCATCCACTGCAGAGCAGTGACTTCTGGAAGTTTGCCCTGCCTGCACAGTGGCGGATGAAGGAATCCAAAACACACCCAGACCCCAAACTTTGCCCCACCCTGAGGTTCTTTGGCATGACTACCAAAGCAAACTCGCTGTAGGAGTAAACCAGTAACACCGTCCTTCAATACGGGGTCTATGTGCTTCAGTTTCCTGTAGTGCAGAGAAGCAGAGGAATGCTGTACTTTGCAGACATCTAAAAATCTTAAAGGGCTCTCAATGCTGTCATGCTACTTTTCTCTAAAATCAATTGCTTTTATAAGGGCACTTGTCTAGAAGTAAGAAGCCAAGCTCTATCCCAAGAGTTCTCAATTTGCCAGGCAAATATCAAAGTTTTGATGGAAAGTAGAATTTGCCTTCAGCTATTTACTGGCTACATTATTAATCAGAATTTAATATGTACGAAGATACATCAATAGTCTAGAAAATCATGCTGACATTTTCTCTGGAAACACACTCTTGGCCACTCCACGAAGCTATTTCAAAATCAATATGCCCCTGGAAGACAAGTGGCTTTTTTAGTGCTTTACAATTAGCAAAAAAGAAATATTTTGGATAACACTGTACATTCACAGAACAAGATGATTTTCTCGAAAGAAAACTTTAACTGAGACTATTTCTCCTGGTTCTGACCACAGACTCCTTCCAGCAGCAATAACATTATCTAGCAGAATATGTGGTGGCACAAGGCTACAGCAGAGCAAAACCCACCACGATGCTCAGGACTGAACTTTGACGTGTTACCAGAGAAGGAGCACTAGTACTCCATGAAAACTAGGCAGTTAGGAATTACAGGCTTAGTAACACTGGCCCAGGACTGATAGAGAAAAGAGCAGTGGAAATTCCACACACAGTGCTGCCCTCTCAGCTGTCTCCCCTAGAGCCTTTTGTCTTATAGATCTTCAGTGGCAATTATTGCTACCTAAACACAGTGGCTAACACCAACCAGAGCAATCACAGCTGTTTTTCCTACAGAAGGCAGGTAGGCATCCTGGCCAGACACTCTGGGACTTCTTCATAGAGCCCAGTTTCAAATTTAACCTTCTTTCCAGTAGTGCAAGTTCACTGCACACTGCTTCCTCCCTACAGCACAGCCAAGGAAGGAAGATGTGATTTACAGCTCCTGTTTCCAGTTAGATTAATCTTTTACCCAAATCTCTAATTATTTTGTTTCATTTTGTATTGGCACAAAGGCAAATTCAGTCCCAAAGTTATACATATCACAGCACTAGCTTGCCAAATAGCTTGCTGTGATTTATAGGTGTGGTGTTACCAAAGTCTGCTGATAGTAAATCCTCCCTCTCTTTGTGTCTAGCTCTGCTCCAAATTCTAAATCAGCAATCAAAGGAAATGTCATTGCCTGGCACGTCACTGCAAATGGACTGGGGGTATCTATGATCAGCTGCTGCAACATTCTGTTTTCAGACCTTATTTTACAGCACAGAAGCTTGAATTATCCTCAGTGCTTTCACACAGTTTCAATGGCACTTTGTCAGAGCACACTCTGAGTCCTCTCAGAAAATAAACGTCACCAACAGAGTGCAACATTACAAAGATGATTCCCAAGTGCACACATTCAGGAACACTGCAATCCTTGTCAAACTTAATACGGGCATTCACAGCAAAAAAGCCTAGTGTCTAAGTGAAGTACCTGAGCTAGAAGGCCAATTACATCAACTGCAAAACAACAGTGAGATGGGCTGCTAAAATAATCAGTGCAAGCACCCCAAAATTCAGTGGAAGCCCTCCTGTAGATGCAGTGGAAGGAGAAGCAAACTCTTACCTGTATATATTTGCTTAACTTCTTAAAATCAGAAAGCATTAGTCAATAACTCAGGAGTCCATAATGATGGCTACTGAGAAATTCAAATACATAAAATAAGATCATTAAGCAGCAATGAATGTTGTCACTGGTTATCCTTTGTTATCCTATGTGACTGACTTAATTATTTAATGAGAGTTCAATATTCATTCACTATCAGATTCTAAGATTCTTTCCATTTCTACTTGGTGAGGTAACAGCAAAGTTTAGAATCAGAATAAATGAACTCAGAAGGAATAAGAACAATGGACAGGGTCTACCAAATAGGTCTAATACATTGGTCCTCCTGTAATATTCATGTCTTGAGACAGCAAGAATGTTATGTAAAAAACAGCCTTTAAAAATCCCTCATTTTAAAGGTGAGATGTCTGCACCTCTACTCATATGTAGGTAACTAGAGCCTAGGTGGCTGTTTAGCACCTGCAAAAACGTTTCTCTTTAACAGAAAATGCTTATCAGATTTATTTGCTTTAATTAATTATTTTAGTTTAATTCTTGTACAAACTAAAAATACAAAAAGAAAACTAGTAATCAATTATGAAGATTTTAGATGGCAAGAACTGCATTCTACATTTATAAAAAAAATTAATCATAAACAAACAATATCATCCCCAATGGTTAGGAAACCTTGTGTTTCCTCAGTGCCTCTTTTTTTTATTGAGGGAAACATCTCCATGCATTTCTACATTTCTTTATACAAACACACTTCCTATGTAATATATTCTGCTGTGCTGTGTATCAGTGTTAAACAGGCAATGAGTAACAGAAGACTCAAGCACTGCCTTGAAGTCTACCTTGTCTATGGGGTAGAGAGCAGATCACTCATCATCACACAACACAAGTCACACAACAAATTAGTCATCAGATCCACCACCACACCTTACACTTCTCTGGTTGTTCTTGGGGTCACTCTGCTTCCATGCTACAGATTAGAAAAGCAGCCTGGGTGGCACCATACAGGTGGTCAAAGAGAATTGTCCTTTTTCCCAGAGGAATTACCCTCTCCAGTATCAGCACAAATAATGACCAATGCCCACAAAAAACCCCAGACACTACTTAGAGAATTGATGCAGTCATACCTTTCAGTCTGAAATGTCCTTAGAGGACAGGGCTGACTAGAAAGATTGGTCAGCAAAGCGTGAAAACAGTGGAAATCTATTGAAAAGAAAGACAGGGAAGGTTTTGCCAAGGCACATATTACTCATGGATCCCAATCACATTGTGCCAAAGCTTCTACCCCTGCTCTCCCCCAACATATAAGGGCTGCAGCCAGAAACAAAGCCCCTTACAGGAGTTGTGTCTCAGGAAGTTGAAGGGTTGGCTAAGCACATTTGCTTCATTGCACTTCTACATCATTAACTTATTTGCTTGTAGCTTTCATTTTCAGACTCACTGCACATAGCAATTTTGGCTTCCATATTTTCTCTTATAATTTACTGGCTCATCAGAGACAGATACAGAGTGAGAAACCTGAGTGGAAAGCATGTCTTCATAACAGGCTGTGACACCGGACTTGGAAACTCCCTGGCTAAATGGCTTGACAAAAGGGGATTTTGTGTCATTGCTGCATGTGCCACAGAAAAAGGAGGCCAAGAGCTACAGTCCTGCTCTTCACCCTCACTGAAGACAGTGAATCTGAACTTAGCAGACTCCAGTAGCATCGCCAGGGCTGTGGGGTTTGTGACTGAAGAGACAGCTGGCAAAGGTAAGTGGCAAGGCAACTTCCCAGAAAAATTATTCAATACAACCAAATCTGGTCTAGCTAAAAGTTCCATTCCCTCTCCACTCACTGCAGAGGCATTTTTCATCTTACTAATGAAACACATCCACTTTTCAGTTCTGTCATTTCTCAGTTCAGAGAGATTCCCTCCAGCAATGCTTCCCATTGCTTTCACCAACAGAGTGCCTAACAATCTTGTCTCTCAGTCCATTAAAACCGGATCATTCCCAGGTATGTTTTTTAGACTCTTTTTGGTGCAGCTGAAGAATGTCTGTGGAAGGAAGGTGCTAACTAATACTAAAAAGAACTTTCTTGACAATAAAATCACCCCACTCAATTAAACACGGGCAGTGCAGGGATTCTGCAGCCCTCCTCTAGTAAGCAGAAGAGCATATTTTTGCATGGCTGAATAAGTCTGATGCTTGCATTGTACACAATAATTGCACTGACTGTAACAATTAAACTCAATTTCAACCAGTTTTCCTGGAGTTGTTACATAGGTAGCTCTCACTATTGCTATCATACACCTCTGACAGACGTGTAAAAGAGGAAGAGTTTGTCCTGGGATACCTATGAAATGTGTTAAAAAATAAGTGGCTTTGGCAACGGGTGCTAAACAGATCTGCCTGGTAAATATATTCAACTGAGGCAATATGTGTTTCTTTATCTGCACTGACAGCTCAGACTAGACATCGCTAAAGGCCACAAAAGGGGATTCACACCAGTGCAACTACCAGCTGTAACACAGTTATACCAAATATTCAATAGGTTTATAAATTAATTAACTACCTAAACCAGCAAAACATATATCTTCTACCAGTAGGACTTTCTCCTCAAAGCCTGTAAAACACCGTTGACCTTGTCATGAATACTCCAGACCATTCTTGAATGCAGAGATTAAGAGCAAGGTAAATAAAATTATTAGCACTTACTTCCTCCAGCAGGCTCCTGCTTCCAGCTTGGGGAAAGCCACACGTTCTCAGTCAGGACAACCACTGCCGACACTGTCACTTCAGTCTGTGAAACTCTTTATGGACGCTGAGTGCTGGACTTTCAGCCTCTCCCCTCAGGCACAGGCTGTCCTCAGCAAACTCTTAGAAACGTCACTATTTATCTTAAGTTCCTCAAGTAATTTATAAAGGTAGTAAAGCAGTATTATCAATACACAGTGTTAAGCCAGTATCTTTAGAAGCATTGACTAATTCTACACATCTGGCTCAGACCTTTAGACCCCAAACCAGAAAAATTAGTCTCTCCACTTTTATGCAGACTCTTTCATTTTCACAAGAACGTAAATGCATATTAGGAGCCTACATACTTGAGTGGATCTGGACAGTAAAGTCCAGTATGGTGGCCTATATCTCCAGCCAAAGTAGTTTGAATACTTTATCCATGCTCTTTTAGAGTCATTGCCTAAGGCCTTCAGCAAATTTTACCAGGTATACAGAGTAGATCATACAAGCAAACCCCAGACAACTGTATTCGTGTCACTGAGGGTTTTGCAGACTGTGCGCTTGCTTTCCAATGTACATATGATACTCCAGGGTAAGATATTGATATATACTGAAATAAATGGTTTTGCAATCCTCTTAGGGCTTTTTGGCTTGGTGTGCAATGCTGAAGGAACAGCTCCTGTAGCACCCACTGACTGGCTGAGGATTGAAGACTTCCATTCAGTGCTGGATGTTAATCTGCTGGGATTGATTGAAATCACACTCAAGCTTCTGCCACTTCTGAAAAAAGCTGAGGGAAGAGTTGTCAATTTAATTAATGCCAAAGGCCTCATGGCTTTTGTAGGGGGTGGCTATAGTCTGTCCAAATGGGGCATGGAAGCTTTCTCTGACACTTTACGGTGAGTAGCCAGAAACACATGCATGAATCCAATAACAGATTCCAGACGTGCTGAGGAAGGGTGACTGTATGTTTGCCCCTCTTGATTTCTCTCTGGAAATCTTACCTAAAGGGGAGAAGGAAAATAAAAGGATGTTGGTCACTTGTTTAGGATTTTAGTCTCCAGTACTATGAACAGACCCATCAGGGAACTGCACTGGGAAAAATTTTCATATCCTAGACAAGTTGTTAGCATGCAGCTTTCAGGCATGTGAATCCACTACTTACATGAAAGCAAATCCTGGTCAGGTACCCAAAGTTTCCCGGGGAAGTTGTACTTGCAGACTTTTTGCTCTAACCTTCACAACAATCTGAGCTGGGTGATTCCAGACAGCAACCACATTACCAAAGGTAGTTGTAACTTCAGAAAATTAAGATGAGCACCCTTCACTGAAGCCAGTTGTGCTGTACTGCCTCCAGAAGGCTAAGGCCCAGCCCAGGGAGTCAAGTCTTCACAAAGACTAGAAAAGCTGGTTTCAAACCATTATGAGAACTTAGATAAAGAAAGTATATATCCCAAGGAAATAGAAAACAATGGCTAATGTACATGTGGTTCATTCCTTTGTATACTTTAGAATGCAGCTGCCTGGGTCTCTTGAGCTGTGCAGCAAGACAAAGAGGCCATTTGCACCTCAAAGAGTTGTACAGAAACTTAGAATTACATAGAGGGAACTACACTACAAGAAAACACACTAACCTTTATTGCTCTAACATTTAATCATTTAACCATAGCCCTTTAACCATAGGATGGAGAATAAAGTTCTAATACAACTGAAAATTTTTGCTCACTTTTACTTTTTCCCAGACACTTTAATAATCTGTTCCTGTAAACTGATAGAACAGTATTTGAAATAGTCAAAATTTTAGTATGATAATACATGACTAAGATGCAGCTGGTTGCTGCATCCTTTTCACCAGTCCAACATAAACGACACAGAGAGCTGTGAATCTACTTGACACTCTTTTTTTTTTTAAAAATCTCATTTAATTGCCAGCTGTTATTTTGCAGGACAGGAACACTGCTATGAGGCTAATTTGAACATCTCAAAATAATTCTGACATTTGAAGATAAGAATATTCATTTGTGTGACAGACTTACCACTTATGTTTAATAGTTATGCCATTATTGGGTGGTTATTGGAGTTTTTATGTTTCCAGGATAGAGATGCAGCATTTTGGAGTGAAAGTAAGCGTTGTTGAGCATGGTTTCTTTAAGGCAGGAGTAGTTAATTCAGATATCACCGAGAAATACCTCTTCAGACTTTGGAACGGACTGACTCCTGAGATCAGGGACTCCTACGGAGAAGAATACTTTGTTGAATGTAAGTAGAAAAAAAATTGTTTGAAAGCTTAGGGGGGATATTATCAACATGTATAAATACCTGAATTGAGGCTGTAAAGACAACAGAGCCAAGCTCTTTTTAGTGGTGTCCAGGATAGGACTCGAGGCAATGGGCACACACGGACACACAGGATGTTCCTGCTGATCAGGGATCATATTTTTGGAGTGAGGATGACCAAGGACTGGCACAGGTTGCCCAGGGAGGTGACGGAGTCCCCAGTCTTTCAAGATATTCAAAAGCCATCTGGACACGATCCTGGGCAACCTGGTCTAGGTAACCCAGCGTGAGCAGGTGGGCTTGGTACCAGAGGTCCCTTTCAACTTCAACCTATGTGTGATTCTGGACTTTGTTAATGCTCATCAAGAACCCCTCATGGACTGTTCTGGACTACATGTATGTTAGATGAGGCCTGAGCTATTAGTTCACACATAGATTGGTGAGATGTGAGGTCACACTACCTTCCTTAGTCCCTCAATACTTAGAGGTAGGATTCCAAGTGGTAATGAATTGCTATGCCCACATGCTAATTGATCTGAAAAGTTGTGCTGTGTCACACTGCACTTACTATACAGAACATCTGGCTCACAATATGGGTCAGGGAGGTTCATGCTTACTGGTCTCCTGGGTGTTTTGCAGCCTTTCTGGTCTCTGCTCCGCTGTAGCTATGCTGCTCCCAGCACTTGAGCCAGTAGTTTAAAGCAAGCCTGAAGCTGTAGCCAGACCTTTGAATACAAAGAATACTCTCACAGAGAATGTTGTGTATAAATGCTTTCAGGTTTATTTTCTTCTTTCCAGATGTAAAAGCACAAAGATCTTCAGTCAGAAGACTGTGTGACTATGATATTTCTAGTGTCATAAAATGCATGGAACATGCCCTGATAGCAAAGTACCCAAGGACACGATACAGAGCTGGATGGGATGCAAAGTTCTTTTGGCTGTTTCTCTCCTATGCCCCAAGCTGTTTATCTGACATGCTGTTGCGTATGATGTTTCCAGCTCCAGCAGATAGCGGGAGATCAGTTCCTGGAGTTCTAATTAATGTCTAGTATTAAAACAGTATCAGCTCTGCACAAATAAATACTAATTCTGTCAAAATCAGATGTCCTCTTTACCAGTTACTAGACTGTTTAAATTCCTTTCAGATGACACTTTCTCCATCCCCCACCCTTCCTTACCTGAAATTTCTGAGTTCACAGGTGGGCTTGTAAATCCAGTGTGTTTTTGAAGGCCATTTTTTATGCTCAGAAATGATACCTCTATAGAATCTGCATTCATAAAATATTCAGCTACAAAGCTAGTTGATACTATTCACACAATAAAAAAATTTTAAATAAGGAAAATAAAATCACTAGAAGAATCAGTTTTTCACATTGACTTCATCAACACATAGGCTGCTAGTGATCTTGAAATAGAACAATGGTCTTTCAGAACACATACATGTACCTTACAGAATGTATTTAGTCTGATTTAATCATCTATTTCACTGGCAGTTTGCTCATGGTCATATTCAGGAGCTGATAATCTTCAAAAGCTTCTAAGCACAAGACATGAAGTCAAACAATAACAAAGCCCAGCTAATGCAATATATTCCAAAAATTACAATTACAGTGTTTGACCATGTCTAATCACCTGATTATTCAATTGTGTAGAACAAAAACACAAATTTTTTTACAGATATGCAATTATGGGGAAAATCAAAATTCCATTGTACTATTCAAACAGCATATCCAAACACGTATTTTAAACTTCTTCCTAATATTAGTATAGTTTATGAGGAAAATACTAAAAATAATATGCCTTCACATTTCTTTCACCCTCAGTGTGCTCTGCAAATTGAAAGTATTATTATTTCACTTATCAGATGAAACAGGTCATTAGTGCATGCTATGGCAAATTCTTCCAAGTGTGCAAAGAGTGTGTTCAGAATGGCAGAATGTTAGCTGAGGTTCCTGTGCCTCTTGTACACTATTTCTATCTGCTAAGCTGTTGGCCAGAGGTTCACAAACTGGTGTCCCTAAAGATATTAAAATTGAAGGGGTAAAGGTTTTATTTGCTAAAGTGCTGTGCTGGTGATTAATCATTAATGTGCAATTCAATTAGGCTTAGAAAAATACCTTGTGCAGGTCAGAACTCCAAACATAAGAAGTTTCATCACTGCGTGTAAGAGGGGGCACGTGTGTAGGTTTGTACATGTGCAAGAAAAGGACAGAATGTAAAAAGTGTTAGCAACCTTTAAGTATTTCATCGAGGTTCTATTCTCTGGCAAATGGCTTCAAGAATAAATTTATTTTACTTCATTTCATGATAAATGCCTGATTAATATCTGGCCTGACAGCTATAAAGAGAATGTACATGAAAATACTCAATGGCATAACCTAGCAGCCCTGTACTTGCAGATTACAGAGAGTTGCTGAGATCTCTAAAAATCAGCCTTCTTTGAAAAAGAAAGAGTTCAGAATTCAAGAATTCAAGCAGGGACTGTCCTTCTAAGGGACAAGGAATACAAGTGAAAAATGAAGCTAGGAGTGGAATCAAAAGCTTCTGTTGAACGAAGTACCAAAACCTAAATTTTACATAAACAGAAGGGTACAGTGTGCTACGCTACTGAGAGGAAGAGTCCCAGCTGAAGTTTAGGAATCCTTCACCATCAAGTGTGTTAAACCTACATACTCCTTACCTACACAGTAACTCAGGGATGGCTTTCATCCACATCTGAAAAGTTATGATTAGTAAAGGGGAAAAACACATCTCTGACATGGCTGACATAGTAGCAGTTTTCTCCAAGAGTGGTTCCAGAGTTTTCTGTTGACAAATACTATTCTCAAAACTTATGCTACTTTTTCTTGTGGTATGCAACTGCAGGCAAGACTTGTGGAAAGGTCAGTCCTGCCTTCTACCTTTAAAAAAACATTGTGAACTCTTTCCTTAAGAACAGCAACCTGTTTCTCAAAGACATCCTTACAGATGTGTCTGTTGTCCTGCAGACTCCAAGGAATTTTCTACATTAAAGCATTCAGATATTAAAAAATGCCTTTAGAAAAACACATAATTTGCTTAAAGCTAAAAAAAAAAAAATCAAAGCATCAAATTCTGACCTCAGATATGAAAATTAATTGAACTAACATTTTAATTACTTACATCCATACTACCTTGAAGTCAGTATCTCAATAGTAAGAGTTTCCTGTTTCAAGGGCCAGTTTATTGAATGAGTGTAATGGGGCAGTTTTCACACTTACAGAGATGTCAGTACCAAGACATCTTCTATCACGAACTTTACACAGTTGTGTGAAGCATGAAGCCCTATTCCTATTTGACTTGATCTAAAGCACTGGTGTTTCCATCTCAGAGTGCACTGAAGTCTCCTCAACTGAAAAAAGTACATAGAGCCTGGAACGAATTATGGAATAAGAATGTGATAAAATAATAAATTTATTAGATTTATTCAGCAGCATCATTTTACAGTTGTCTTTTCTAATCAAAGTATGTTACAAAGTAATTACAAGCATTCTAATTAGAAATAGTATATATTTTGAGAATTTAGATATAAAACAATCAAATAGCAGAAGTCTCAATTATTATAACTTTAGGAATCTTTTATATGAGTAGCTAGCCAGGAGTACTGAAGAATATGTTCCTGTAATTAGGTTTCCTCAAATGGTTCATGTTGTGGGAACTATCCTGGCTAATTAACAGAAGAGCTACTAAGATCAACAGTATGTTCTGATGAAAGGTTATAGAAACAACCAGATAACTACAAAGACTGCACTAGTAGAAATTGTTTCCCTTTCTATTCATGTCCACCTTAGGAAATAAATAGTCAATAAAATTAAATTTTCACATTAAAAAAAAAAACCTGAATAATTTCTTAAATGAACCAGTATCTTTCATATTTTGCTGTTTGGAAATAAGCCATTACAGAAATCTAGCTACTTCATTTAGTAGCACAAATTACTTCCACAGACTCCAGCCAAGAACAGAGCTATTCCATTGATGAGCAAGAGAAAAATCTCATTAAGTAGTCATGGCACTAAAATCTAAATACATCCAATCTTTTTAGGAAGACTATTAATGGAATGGTGTTAATTGGAACCTAGAAGAAAAGTATGTGTCTTATAGATCGAGAGGAAATTATCTCAGGCAGTTAAAATATTGTAAGAACAACATTTTCCACAGGTAACTATTCAGCATAATGATGCTGTATTGACTCTTTCATCTTTTGTTTGACACAAGATAAACAGAGACATCCTTTTTTACATACAGTAGTATATAAAAGGGTGGTAAAGATGCCCAGAGCACCAGGAGAAGTTTTAAAAGGTGCTGTTACAAAAGGTATACTCTAAATACCCTGTATATCAGTAATGTTCCTATATTTGCCTTGTTTGGTTCTTTTTTTTAGTTTTAAGCACTTATATAATTAATTTATCCCTAAATATATGACCAATTCCATACAAATTTCTACTAGCAACATCACTGAACAACATAATCTTAGAAAAATTTACAAATGTACAATATATTTATAACATTACTTTCAGACAGCTTCAGTGCAAAGATATACATATAGTACATCATGATAATTGTTCACAAAAATAGAAATTGGCATTTGTCAAAAAACAAGGCATAGTTTCAATGTACATCTCCAGCCAGTGGCTAAGAGATGTGTATATTTTTATAAAGCATTTGAATGTGAACCTTACTCTTCTGTTTATAAAAAATATATGTGCAAATGGATGTGTCTAATTTTCCCTAAATCAGTTACCTAGTTATACCACAGAGTCCTCTTTAACAAGATTAGCGGTGTCTTTAAATGTATCCTCTGTTGCTGTGTAAGCTAATGGTTGGTCTCTCTTCAGAATAATCTTGGGAGGCAGTGAAGGAGAAGGGGTAGGGACATTTTCTGTGTCCCGTTGCTGTTCCTTTTCCATCTGAAACAATAATCATAAAATCCAAGTTTATATTCTAATGCACCATACATCCAACCTAAATTTTCAGAAAAGTTAAATAAATATTCCTAAAGACAAATGTCACTGTCACTGACATTACACTGTCAGTGTAAGTTATTTCTTCAAATCACCACCTGTAACAAAATCAAACGCTAAATTCACCTCAGGTAGTACAGCTAAGTAAATACAGTATTACAAGTTACTCTGGAACTTCTACTTTAATGCTTAGAGTCAGGAGTAGTTTGATATGTCTTTATGCACATGCATGAGTGTAGATACTGTTTGTAAGTGCTACATTCATTGGGGAAATGAATCTCCAGCTTTCTGAACTATCTCACATTGTTCAAGTATTAGAAACCTAAATTCTTCACAAAAGGCAGACAGTTTTAAGTCACGTGACTTTGGGAAGGAGGTTCTTAAGTCACTCAGGCTATTTGGAAATTTTAAGCTGTAAAATGAAAAGGGCTGGAATTACTGGTTCAAGTCAGTAGAACTCCAAAGCTTCACGCCCAAGCCCGGGGGGAATTCCTTCAGCACACATACCACCTGTTGGCACACTATCTGAAAAGAACTGTCTCACCCAACCATATGGGTAAGAAAATAAGGCTGTTGTAGAAACAGGGCTGCAGTGCACAGAGCTATTGAATTTTCGTGCAGTGCTGAAGCCAGGACTGAGAGGACAGAAATAGACACTTCACTCCTGGTGCAGAAGAACAGCCTCCCAGTTGTGCTGGGTCCTGGGTCTGTGCCAGAATGCACCAGCAAGCTGAAACCAGTCCCTGAGATCCCAGAGCAGGAGCGGACCACAGTGTTCGGGCTGGGAATGCAGGGAAGTGGGGAATGCAGCTGTGCTGCCTAGCTGAGCCTGCTCAACATCTCATTTTGCAGGAGGCTTAGTAACTTTTCTCACAATTACTTTAGTCCTACCTTAACCTGGACTGGAAGTTCTGTGCTGTTTCACATAGCAGCAGAATCTACCCATAATCTTTATTCTATGAGAGCAAGAACAAAGTCTAGCAATATGTTATCTGGAAAATAGAATTATTCAATATTAAACAATACCTCTGCATATATTGGGTTTTCAAAATTAGTGTTTTGTTTCATTTTTCTCTTGAAGAAATGCCACTTTGATTCCTGAAACATAAAAATTATTAGAACTTTACACATTTTTTCTGATAATTTCTCTGGAAACTGCCATTATAGCTGCTGGATTTCATTTGCACTGACTGCTAAAGCAGTGATTTCAGCTGGATGTTCTTACATTACCATGTTGTAATTCTAAGCATAGGACCCAACTTTCTTTTCTGCTAGATAACCAGTTATTTTTATCTTACCTAAAGCAGCATTCACACAAGACTAGGCAATAAAAATGACTAAATTAAGTCATGGAAGTCTATCATTCCAGACATGTATATCAAAGAAGAAAAACTGTCTTGAAAACAACACAAGAGGGACGTGAAACTACAACAGGTTGACAGAGTTGTCATTTCAAAGCTCATCAGAGGTGCCTTTAGGGCACAATGTATGAAAACAGTCCTCTAAACAAGCCACCACCAGCTCATTCAGATGGATTTTAAGATACAAAAATGTATCTTCCATGTATCAGTAATAATCTAGATGAGGCAATACTTAGATCTTGATTGCTAAAATGTCCCGCAAGAACACATAGAACAAGTGTCTTAAATGTCCTTGCTAGCTCTTTTAAATATGGATAAAATTACAAGTACCTGCCCTCAAAATGTAGTACAACAAACAGTGAAAAAACCCTCTCTATTCCAATCTGTTCACTTTAAAATAGCTACGTAGGTCAGAAAGAAGAGGGGGTTTAATCTAAATAGACCCTTATTGTGTGCTTTAGGCAACCCTGTGCTTGTGATGCTTCTCTCTTATCGAACTGTTCCTGACCAGCTGTTGTAAATCTTGTAAATATGGTACAGTTAGCTGGACTTGATGCAGATGATGTGCCAAGCCCATGGCATTATTTAAAGAGAACTGAAACTGTACTGCAGCTTCCCTAACAATTCAGTTTTGCTGATCTGGAGCAGAAAACAAAAAAGGCAGCCTTAGAGTATCTCTATTTCTTACCTGAGGTGCATCTGTACTCTGAGGGGTTTCCTTCGGAGTAGTAGATATCACAGAGGCATACACAGGATTTTCAAAATTTTCATTTTCCTCACTGCCAGCTGCTGCTACCTGTAGGAGAAGAAGGAGAATCAACATTCTTCAAAGAAGAAAAGAAGGTCATAAAGGAAAATGAAAGGTGAAAGTCAAGCCTAAGTTTCTCTTACAAGTGTTGGC